ACGTTCGATAACAGTCGGTCTCTCTAGTTTCTTGCTATCTCCTTGACGATTTTTTGGGCCTGATCAACAATTTCAATGGCTTCCACGAGGCCATTGGATGTGGTCGTAGTTAGGTCAGATAGGGACTGGACTTTGTCAGAACGTTCTTGTATTTCCGCCTGGATTTCTGCACGCAGACCTTCATTGTCTGATTCACCGTTATAGAGCCTTTTGAGGGCATCAAAGGTTTTTTCTGAGTCACAACGAGAGAGAAAATGGAATCAGCTATAGTAAAAAGGGGGTGAGTCATCTTCCTACCATAGTCTGCTTTAGCTATTGCAGAGAGCTCCAAAATCTTATCACACACTGTCCCTACATTGCGAAAGTTAGCCTGCAGTAGACGATTAGTTTGTCAAGTTGTGAATGGCCCTTGGAGCTTTAGTCCGCCCATCTCAAGATGCATCGACTGTTTTGTAATCTGTCATTTTGTCAGTAGATGACAGAGTGGAGATGGGTGATAGATGCCTATATACTTCTAAAAAGTTTTTCATAACCGGTACAAGTATATCAACGTATAACTTTCAGGATGTCAGTACCATTCTTGCTCCAAAGTATAACTTGATATAGGGGATTCCTATGTTACCTCTTGCATTCTACTATCTGTAAACCAAATACTGTAGCGGATTCCATCATCATTACAGGGTAAACTCAGGGTTGCCTGGGTTGCCTCTTGGAGCTTGGAGAAATTTGGGCTATCACAACAAAAGCTGCTGTTGTTGTTCACAAGCAGGCCTCTTGGGCTGAGGAAGGATTGGTCAAACACCATTCTTGCTTGCTAGGTAAGGAGAAATAGTCACTATGGCGTTCGTTCATATTGTAGATGGATTACAGACACAACATGTACGACGCAATGTCATATTTATAATGGAAGCACAGACATGCCCAAAGACTACCATAATAGGCCAGCCATATTTGGTGCAGAGACGTATTCCGAGCTGAGATGGGCGAGTATATGCATGTAGGGCTGCCCAACGGACGGCCTTCTCCTCATCTGAACTATTCTATTCCCTGTCCACGTCACCTATGTATAACATGCAAGCGATACTTGCAGTAGGTACCTGTGGATGAAGCTAGAAGGCTCAATTCTGTGGAAATGCTAGTTATCCATATCATCGGAAAACTGAAGTTTCCTGGCTTCTACATCAATTATCTACCATTATCAGAGAAGCATTACAGATTGGTTATAGACTCAATGTTATCTGGTCTCACGGGGAACAGTTGTCGATATATATAATTTATATATATTATTTTTATATTGTTCTAAATTTATTTAGCTATAATACACGCTAGTATTTATATAACATGGATTATCCATTTAGTGTGGTGTGGATAGACTACTAAATCCGCAGCAAACGGGATATCCATGGATATCCATGGATCGGGACCCTAGGATCCGTAATCTGCAGCAGATTCTGACATTTGAAAAAATCCCCGCACCGCAGATGTTTGGAGCGGATTCGGCGCGGATCTGCGGCCACGTTTTGCCAACTCCACCTGTGGTACTACTATCATTGAGATTGTGTATTGGATTTGTCTTTTATTATAATTATTTATATTATCCCATATAGTGCTAGTATCATGATCAATGCCTGTCTCATTCTCACTAAGTTATCCTTAGGGCGGGCAGTGACAAGCCGAGATAGTAACAAGGAAACAAGAGAGACAGCATTACGGAGAACATGCGAGAGGGTCACTGACACAAGTCCGCCGTCAGAGTAACGGGCTGAGGACATCCATAGACCTTCTTATGAGCCGGGGTACTGTAGCAGGCGGCATCATTGGCCGCGCAGTCAAAGACCTCACAACCATCCCCGGGACTGAGTGAGTTGGGATTCGCTGCAAAGGGGTTGCCCCATTCCGTGCTCAGCTCATCTAAAGGATGGATTTGTTAATACAGGGCTCTCTTAACTAGCAGATAGTTTGGATACACTCACAGTACGCGTAGTCCGGGTTAGAAGAGAAAGAATAGCCAAAGAAGAGAGGCTTATCCAGCGTCTTGGTCTTTGCGATCTTGACGGTCTGTGCATTCCATCTCTTGTCAGTCTCTCTCGCTGTAAGGAATATTTTGTTGATTGACGGATAGAAAGGAATAGCGTACCGAGCCAGACGCCTTGAATTTCTCGGAGTAAGTTCCTCCCTTGGGAACTGTGGTGAGAGGACCGGGAGCGCTGCCATCATAAGGGAACGACTGCACATAAACGGAGGTGGTACAGTGGTTGTGCACGACGGCATTCTGGGCCGAGACCAGGCCGAGAAGGGCACCAAATGTGAGCAAAGAGGTCTTCATTGTGTATGCTTCTGTTTTTGTTCTGTTGGAATACGAACCTGGGATACCTGGTTTCCTCTGGACAAGGGAAGGAATGGGTGGCCTACATATAGGCCTCCTGCTCGGACCACAGGTAGTATATCCGGGAAGGCCTTTGGTCTAAGACATGGCACCCATTCCATGTCTTGGATTGTCAGGCTACCAGCGCCCAGTAGTCCATCTCACGGCCAATCAACCCGGGCCGCAGGTGAGACATGCGCATTCCCGCCACTGCATGGACTCCGCATCAAAGACATTCTTCCCGGGTAGCGTTACATCCACCCCGCCATTGCTGATGATTCTTCATGCAGAGCAAGAAATGATTTCAGCGGTAAAGAGTTGCTGCCAGAATCCAGAAATTCGTCGGTCCACAATCGAGGATTCAGTTGGTTTTTCCGCTGCCAACCCGGGTCGTGGTATCGCCCAAGTCATCTCTCTGTAGTCGACTAGGCCATACTAAGAGTCCCATGTCAAGTCATGCGGTCACCCTGCCTAGTTCATCATCGTATAGTCTCCACCTCGACGAGCTCGTGTCGGGAACCGACCGGGGGGTGAGATGGCATAGGTATTCAACCGCATTTTTTAATTTCAATTGCAATCAGGCAACCAACGCAGATGCAGGACTTATGCAATACCAATAGGCCGGGGTCTAGTCTAAAGAATGAAGAAAGATATGCTGTTATGCTGGGGCTCTGAATTGGCATCTATTCATAGATTGTGAGGGACTTTCCGGGAACTGCTGATCTAATCGGCCGAGAGGCAGAAACTAACTAACTAGTTAGTTAGTTAATAGTTGATTGGTTAACTATGGTATTACATCATCTCCCTCTCAGAAAGCTTTGGGAGATATGCACCAGAATCTACGGGGGTGACAATTGATCACTTCAATAGACAGGGGGCATTCTATCGCTCGTCCTTAAAATATCGGGATTAAGAGTAAGATCAACCCTATGTAGTCTTCACCCATATATATCTCGATCGTAAGCACGGCATTATATCAAGTTCTACTGCGACGAGTATATGGACGGTCGGAACTGGGAATTCGTGTAGCTTGCACTACCTACCCAGAAGTTATATGACAGACATGCGAATATGGATAGGCTTGAAGCTGTCGGGCAGCGCTAGGCCTTGCTATTCTACGGTTCTGATCGCCGCAGACTCGCAGTACCTGTCATCTTGCATAGATATCTCTTATCGAATTCCTGCTGGTCTTCCGCCGGTAAATGGGACTGTTTGATAAGAAGATGAGGCACTACTCATTGCTAGTCTCAATGCAGTAATCGACAGGTGTTCCTTCGGCCTATCTCGAGGGCTCTTATAGTCTGTTCTAAGCGCAGATAAGTCAGTAGCCGATTCTTCGCTGTAGGGGGGAAGTGCCAGCAAGGAGATTTTAAGAATCTCCGCATATTTTTCTCATGACGGACGGAAACATTGCCCTACATATGTGTCGGAAAAGTGATTTCCATCAGCCAGAAACTATTGACCGAGTAGTGCAACTTGCAAGACGCCCTAGAAACAGCCCTTCTCAAGCCAATCTACGAGCTAGGGTTCTCTGTGCCCTGCACCTTTGATCAGCTCATTCCTGAAACTCCCTGCTCGCACTTACAGATCACACGGGTATGCGACCTATTTTTCTCACATGTTATACACTGTAAGGATATAAATCCCATCCTTCCAAGAATCATGTGTATATTTAGTCATTCTTACACGGTTACACCAATAAATTCCACCTTGTAGGAATCCTTCTGGATTCCATTTCCAGCAATAACACGTTAAGCACAATATATCCTACCTTTAGCCATTCTCTCACACTGCTCTATTTTAGCAAACCAGGTATTCTAACCTTACACTTATTGCAGGCTATCACATGCACATTTTTGTGTATATTTTTATAGGAAATAAAGGTATTTGCTTTAACTAAGCGTAGGATTATTCGTTGGTCTCAAATTGATAGAATAGTTGGTTGGCCAGAGCGATAAAACAATTTGCTGTTATGAAGGTTTTTTGGTTGGAGGCCGGACCGCCGGAGGGTATATTGAAGCCCGAAGCTCGAACAGTCGATTTCGTAAGAAGGAGCCTTTCAGCAATTTCGGTATTAATAAACCAATGTCATGTATTACAGCATTCCCATTATTCTACCCCTAAGGTAGGGAGATAGATTGTTTCCATGCCTCCCATTAGGCTCTATAGGCCGCAGAGGGGTGCGAGGCATGTTTCCATGGGTCTTTTAGAAAGAAGTGGAGAACGCGGTTGCGCGGGAGTTGCGTTATCGTACAAAAACTAAGTCCCCTGACTGTAGAAGCGAGCAAGCAAGCGGAAAACTCAACATGTGACAAATTCAGTATTTCCTAAATGATCCAATTATATTTTAATGGTTGATTCTGCTGGCAGTAAACACCGAGAAATCGCATTTGCCCGATGGCTGCTAATCACTCCCGTACCCTGCGGCAGTCTCGACAGGGCTATCTGAGAAGGCCGAGACAGGCCGAAAAGACCGGAGCCCGAACTGGCCCGACGAACACAATTCACTGGTGCATATGGGCGAAACAACTTGCCCGGCCGGCCTCGCATAAGTTATGCGGTTATGCGACATGGGCTATTCTCTCCTCAACAGCCCCCCCATGCAGCCCCTCGTCTGCCCCTTCACTCAGCAATCATGCTCTCCCTCATCGATAGCGACCGCGACGAAGTATTCTCTCGCCTGCGCAGTTGTCTCTCATGTCGCACTCGCAAAATCAAATGTGACCGCCAACGGCCGTGTGCCAATTGTGAACGCCTTGACGTGCACTGTGTCTATCCCCCAGGACCAGGCCGTGCCCCCAAACAACCCCGGGCTACGCGAGATGCTCGACTGCTGGACCGCGTCTCCAGGCTGGAAACGATCATCCGTCGACTGGAAGAGGAGAACGACCAGTTGGCTAAGTCGCCACTTGCCAACCCTAGTCATGCGTCCAATTCTACCTCCGGCACGAATCCGCCAGTTGAGTAGCTAGGACGGCTAGTGGTTGACGAAACGAGGAGTTGCTATATCAGCAACGTTCTCTGGGCACGCCTGGGAGATGAGATTGAGGAATTGCGCGACGCGTTGTACGAGCCCACATCGGAGGCGGAGGACGGCAGCCTGACAGAGGATCTCACCATCGAGAGCGTCTGTGCCAATTCGCAACCTGTACCTCGTGGCTTGGGGACCAACGCCGCTGTCATGGGCTTCCGCTCACTGGCATCATCCCTGACGGCGCTCCACCCCTCTCTGTCGGAGTCGGTCGCGTTACTAGAGATCTTCAAGCAAAACGTGGCTCCTCTGGTGCGAATCTTCCACTTGCCCACCCTGTTACAGCTCTACTGGTACGCTGTGGCTTCAGTAGATACAGTCGACAAGAACATGGAGGCCCTACTATTTGCAATCTATTATTCTGCCGTGATTAGCATGAGCCTTGATCAATGCCTGACCATCTTGGGCGTGGCGCGATCTCATGGATTAAGAACATATCGCTTCGCAGTAGAGCAAGCGCTTGCACGCGCGAATCTGCTTAACACTCAGAACCTGATTCTCTTGCAGTCAGTTGTACTATTTCTTACTGCACTCCGCAACGAGGATGACTCCCGCACCGTGTGGTCCCTCACGGCTCTCATCTTTCATATTGCACAGGAAATGGGCCTGCATCGCGATGGAGCTACATTCAACCTACAACCGCTGGAGACTGAGCTACGCCGGCGTTTATGGTGGTATATCTGCCTGCTCGACAACCGGTCCTCTGAATACCATGGCTGCCAGCCCATTGTCCAAGATGAATCTACTTTCGACACGCGTATGCCTCTTAATATCAACGACAACGACCTGACCGCAGACATGCGCGAGCCCCCCCCTGAACGCGACGGCGCCACTGAGATGACCTTCTGCCTGATCCGGTGCCAGGCAATGCGCGTTATGTGGAAAATCGGCTACATCCCCACCAGCATGCCCGATGCCCCGTGCCAGAATCCCAACCATTCGGCGAGCAACGGCATCACCTCTCTCGCCGACCGGGAAGCGCTGGCCCAGGAGTTGCAAGTCCGCCTTGAGACACAGTACCTGCGCCATTATGTCTCTGAAGATCCCTTCCACCACGTAGCCGTCGCCGTAACAAGATTGATCATCGCCCGGACCTGGCTGGTCGTGTACTACCCCCAGGGCCAGACGGACGCGACCGCGACCGCGGGGATCGTGTATCCGCATCATAACGACCGTCTCTTCGATCTTTCACTCCAGGTCCTCGAGCTCTCTAGCGCTCTCCTCACAAACAAGGATATCCAGCAATGGTCCTGGCACTACCAGACTCATTTCCAGTGGCATGCCACCGTCTTCGTCCTCTCGGAGATCTGCCGGCGGTCGCCATCGCCGGAGTGCGATCGCGCCTGGGAATACGTCAATGCCGTCTACGACCGATGGAGCATGAAAGAAAGCGAGAAGCGAGGCGCGCTGTGGAGGCCGATCATGCAGTTGATGGCAAAGGCGCGATATGTAAGGGAGATCCAGCACACTTCATCGGGGTCTGGCTGGCGGCGTGAGTCGGGGAACGGCCTTGAACAACCCGACAAGGGGCTGAATGGGGGAGAAAATTGCTCGACTGTGGCGGAGGCGCGGTTGGATTTTGGGGCAAGCGGCATGCCCAGTGTATTTTCCTTCGGCGGACTGGATTCCCTGATGGACATATTTCCTGACGGGAGTATGGGCCAGCTGCGTCAGCAGGGGATTGGGTATTCATTAAACGCTGCAGATCTTATCTAGGGAGTTCCGCTCACTTTTATGAAGCAGTTACATGGCAATATTGAACAATTCCGCGTTATCCTCACTCAGTCAACCCTTGAGCTTCTTCCTGAACCCTGAATAACCCGATCGTAGAACTGGCTTCTGGGTGTCAATTCGACTGCCTCCAGAACCGGCGCATTGGAGAATTCCAAGAACCCGCGAAAAAGCTAGTCACCGTCACTCAGACTTAAGAATCATGAGATTGTGAGACCTGAACTTCAGGCTGGGGCCACAAAGGAGATTCTGTGGCTGATGAGTGATCTGGAGGACTTGGGATTTAATGACTGGGATCGGCTGCTGGGGAAGCAGAATATCACGATTGAGGCGCTGGAGGTGAGCCATCTCATCATTGTGAGGATGCCGGGGGCTGCTGGGCTGGCATAGCTGATTCAGAGGGCATCAAATGCGTAGACTATAGATGGTCAGTATTTATTGATATCAAATGGGAATGGATGACTTTAGCCCTTTCGATCCCAGCCTGTTGGTTCTCGTTAAACTTGATCCATGAACTCTAAATATAGAAGCAACTTGCTGAAACGCTGCGAATGATGCTGAGTGGTCAAACTGATCCAGGGCTATACACAGAAGGTCGAGGTTTCTAGTGAATGACTCGCCCCGTCGTACGAATCCCGGATAGACCTCTGCTGGCTTATGCGACGCCGACGCCGACGCCGAGAGCCAACGCCACGGACTTCCGGCCCCTTGTTTCGGCTTCCCCATGGCTGTTCGAGGGTCTTTCTCCGGTGACAGTTACACTCGTGTCCCTAGCTTATTTTTGAGGTGGCTTCGTGGTGTTTTTATTTAACCCTGCCCTATCACCCGCTCTGACCTGGACAGACATTAGCATATCTCTTTCGCCGTAACATTCATCGTCTGACTCCTCAAATATGACTGCCAAAGACGTCGAAGTCGGCTCTCAAGTCACAGCAAGTGATCAGTCACCAACCCCCGAGACGGCCCCCGACAAGCCCACTGTCAGTCCCTGGCACCCCAGCCAGTATCCAGACGGAGGCTTAAGGGCTGGACGGTGACGGCAGGCGCCTTCAGCTGCGTGTTTTGCAGCTTTGGTTGGATCAACTGTGAGTCTCCACTTGGGTTTAAAGCAAGGACCAAAGTAACAATATCAGGCATCGGCATCTTTCAGGACTACTACCAGGCCTATCAGCTGCGATCCTACTCATCCAGCACAATCTCTTGGATCGCCTCCCTTGAACTCTTCATAATGTTCGCCGGCGTAAGCCACCCTATTGCCGCCTCAGCTGTATGTTAACTAACCTAGCTCAATCAAGGGCCCAATCGTCGGCCGCTTCTACGATAAATACGGTCCCCGCTGCATCGTCCTCACTGGCACTTTCTTCCACGTCTTCGGCCTCATGATGACCTCCCTTGCTAAAGAATACTACCAGATCATCCTCGCGCAGGGTATCTGCTCCGCCATCGGAACAAGCTGTCTCTTCTCACCCGCAACAAACTGCGTTATCACCTGGTTTTACAAGAAACGCGCTCTTGCAATCGGTATTGTCGCCGGCGGCTCGAGCCTCGGGGGCGTCATCTTCCCGATCATGCTAAACCATCTTGTCCGTGAAGTCGGGTTTCCTTGGGCAATTCGGATCTGCGCGTTCGTGATTCTCGGGATGCTGATTTTTGGGAACTTAACCCTGGCTTCACGACTACCGCCCAACCCCAAGGAGCTCACCCTGCTGCAGTACTTTGCTCCACTCAAGGAAAAGACCTATATGTTGACAACAGTTGGGTCGTTTTTGTTCTATCTGGGGATGTTCTTACCCATCAACTACATCCAGTACCAAGCGGTAACATACGGCATGTCCGATAGTCTAGCCGAATATCTCGTCCCTATCCTCAACGCAGCAAGTCTCTTCGGCCGAATCATCGCGGGCTGGATAGGCGATAAGGTCGGGCGATACAACACCCAGATCGTAACCTGTCTGTTTTCTGGTATCATCGCCCTCGCGCTCTGGATCCCGGCCAATCAGGGCGCGCCGCTCATTGTCTTCTCGGCACTGTACGGGTTCGGATCGGGAGCATTCGTCTCATTGCTACCTGCGATGATAGCCCAGATCTCGGATGTTCGGGAAATTGGCCTGAGGGTAGGGATGGAGTTCGCAATCATGTCTATTGCGGCGCAGGTGAGCAATCCTATTGGGGGCGCCCTGATCGATCACAATCACGGCTCGTTTCGCGACTTGCAGATATTTTGCGGGGTTGTGTTGCTTGCAGGAGTGTTGGATTCGTCATGGCGAGGTTGTCGTTAGCCACCCGGGCTTTTGCCATTGTTTGAAGCGACGGGGTGTTATTACGCTTTTAACTACAAATTTATGGTAGTTAAGGTAAAGTATAGCACGCTGATTGTATCTTTTGTTCAAGACTCCCTTCTCTCTTGGTGGTTTATAGATGGATGGATAGTTACTACTATAGACATATAGTTGAATGGAATATACTCTCAATCTTAGTACCATTGTCCAAAGACAAAGCAGCATTTAGCTGAAAATGGTCGGTGGCAAGGCCTCAGAAGCCGAGGGAAGTCATTTGCCTGCCTGATAAACTCGTCCCGATATTCTTTCGCCAGGTCACGGCTATTGCGATACGCACTCACATCCTGTTGGTAGGCTTCTGGACTCCCGGTCAAGGCGTAATACCCGACCTGGGTCATCAAGTAATCCGTCTGACGGTCTGCGCCGGGGTCGATATTGCTCGGAGTCCGCGTCGGATGGGTCGCGTAGATATCCTGCCTTCCGTCTTGGAAGGTAGAAGCGATCGCGTAAGCGTGATTATCGCCCTTTGTCTCGACGAAGAAATTAGGCGTGATGGGACTGTTGCCCTGCCGGGTAGGGATAACCTGGTCACTGAGCTGTTCCCGGACACGAGGATGCAGCTGGTGAGGCGGCGCGCCGTAGTAAATATCAGGCTTGGCATTGGCAAGGGTGCCGTTCGTGAGCGGCGCCAGATTCGTAAATGGGTAGTTGCTACTATCATGAAAAGACGCTTGTTGCGGACCCTCGAGAATCAGAAGAATTTTTTTGATCACGAGCTGCTCGTCGGGGGTTCTGTCATTGAGTCGCTGGAATTCTTTATATTCTTGGCGCAGAGAATCTTCGGACAATGCGAGGGATGGACGAGGAGCTCGTAAACGTCTTTGAATCTCGGCGATGTTCTCTGGTTTACAGACGTCGGTCCCATCTATTCAGACAGTCGGAGAGAACTGGGTTTCTAAGATTATTAAACGACGTAATGAGCTAAAAACATGCTATACTCGACGCCAAGATTTTCGACGAGCGAAATGCGAAGACCCTAAGGTTATTAGGGAGTGGGTTGATTGCGTACAAATCACTATAATGCAGCATGGGATCGCACAGGAAGATATCTACAATTTTGATGAGACTGGCTTCGCTATGGGTCTAGTAACTACTGCTCAAGTAGTTACTAGAGCTGACTAGTATGGAAAGGCATCTCTCGTACAGCCAGGAAATCGAGCATGGGTTACTTCGATTGAATGTATCAACTCTACTGGTTGGGCCCTTCTCCATGTGTGATATTCAAAGGGAAGGTCCATATAGAGGGTAGGTATCAAGATATTGAGCTCCCACGCGATAGTAGGATTGAAGTTAGTCCTAATGGATGGACTACTGATGAGATAGGCCTGCGCTGGCTTCAAAATCTCTTTATTCCTACTACTACTGGTCGTACAACTGGAAGATATCGTCTTCTTGTTCTCGACGGCCATGGCAGCCATCTTACGCCTCAATTCGACCAGATATGCAGTGAGAATAATATTATTCCTATCTGTATGCCAGCCCATTCTTCTCACAAGCTTCAGCGTCTGGACGTGGGCTGCTTTGCGCCTTTAAAAAAATTGTACGGGGATTTAGTGGAAAAACAAGCACGCTTAGGAATCAATCATATTGATAAGCTTGATTTCCTAAAGGCCTTTCCACAGGCTCGTGAACGCGCTTTTTAAGCAGAGACTATTCGGTATAGCTTCGCAGAAACTGGCCTGGTTCCATTCAATCTAGATAGGGTGCTCAGTCAGTTGAGTATTCAACTAAAAACCCCTACACTACCAGGCAGTCGATCAACCAATTCAGCGCCTAAGACACCGTACACTACGAGGCAGCTTGAAAATCAGGCATCTGCCGTGAAGCAGCTACTTAAAGCGCGTACACAGAGCCTTTCATTTTCGCTAGAAACCCGATTTGATAAGCTTATTAAAGGTCATGAATTACATCTTAATGAGCTTACTCTTGCACGCGAAGAAATACGTGAATTACGCGCTTGTCATGAAAAGCAGCTTCAAAAAAGAAAGCGTTCTACTAGACAGCTAGCTATTACGGAGGGATCAGCTATTCAAGAGGGTCTAGAGCAATTTCAGCGCGAGAATGAGGTCCATGAACCTCAAGATGCGCTTCCTATAGACCCAGCGCTTTCTGCAGTTGGGCCGCGCGAACGAGCTCCACCACGATGTTCTAATTGCAATACTTTGGGACATAAAAGGACTAGTTGTCCTAATCGCAATAGTAATTAGTTTTTATAGAGAAATGCAATTGTTTAATTGATAAAGGCTCTATTAGTTAACCCATGGGCAGGAATTGGCGGGAGGTGTCACGCTCGGTAGTGAAATACGTTAGCGATTGGGCTGATTGCCCCTACTTTATGCTCCTCCGTCCTGTAGACAGGGGAAACACGACAAACTATTGGTTTGTTACTCGCCTTTTGGAACGGCCGGTGTCTGAACTAGAAGCGCTGCGCCTCCGTGTTTATTTAGGCAACAGGATACCTAGCTAACTAACTTGTCAATAAAACTAGGTTGCACCGGTACACGTGATTGTAGAACTTCTGACGGCTGGGCAACAGGACGGTACGTAGATGCCAGATTTGCCATACTTGTGAGTGTTTTCGTAGAATTTAGCCCAAGGCTCGACTTAAATTGTTTCATCACTTGTAGCTCCAGAGTTTCGGTTTCGCTCCATTGCCCTTCATGTCGGAAGATCTATGCCAAGTTTCCCATGTTGCTTAAGATATCTGGATGTTCGGGTGGCAGGATGGTCGTCAATTGATTGAGAGCTCTTATCTGAAGCTCTTTGGCACGTCCCAAAATGAAAAGGGAGCGAAGATGAGGCATTAAAAAAATAGCTTTCAAAGACTCTATCTTGCCTTTTATCCTTGGATAGGGCTTTCTTTTCGTAGCATGTGTTATTATCTTCTTTCTGTAGCTCACTGATACTCTAAGAAAAAAAATTTTAAACAATTCCTCGGGCTTACAGAACTCATCAACCTTTCTGCGCTTCTCGGAAGTCCGAGTTGTTGTAGGATCACTTTTGGGGCCATTCCTTGAAAACCAGCCTCTGGACTGACAATTATTACTATCGATTATAGTAAATATATAGTTAAATAGGATGAAGGTCATCTTCTCAATAATTATCTAGATCATAAAGTTACCCTCTATTAGCTTATCTGCGCTTACCAAGCCCTTTGTCACCTAGTCTTTAGTATTGATCAAATTATGAACAAAGCAAATCGACCAGGCCTCCATGGCTATCGGTGCAGGAATATGCGTGGCTTCGACAAGGCTAAGTCTCGGGCGCCTAAATTAGTTCTTAGGCTGAGTTAGCATCAGTGGCGGAGTAGTCACAGAACTGAACATGATCCTTGTATAGCGCAAGCGCCAACAGTTCTCAGGTCAACTTTCCACATATATAGCGCGTTGAGCGTCTCTTGTGGAAACCATTCGGTCCCCAGGAAAAAATATTGCGATTTGAACACCACCCTGGGCGCCCGTTCTTTTCTTAAATTTTACTCAACCGTGAAAAATTGAAGATGTCGCGTGCCGAGCACACCCAAGAGCAGGCCAAGCCTATACTCCGTCTAAGACCAGAAAATTTAGATTTACCAGAGCCTCTGAATGTACCGAGAGTTGCCAGAAACTCTTCGCTTGATGGTCCGTGGACACGATATCCAACCGCTGTCCGAGAAGCAACGTCCTATGGGCAACACGCTTTAGGAACCAACATGCAGGAATACCGAGAAAATTGGAGCAAGAAAAAAGCAGAGAAGGAAGAGTATGTCAAGAGGCTCAAGACAGAGAAACGATTGCATGAGATGGAATTACATGATGTCTTCGTAATGTGGCCATCAGTGGATATGATGCAAACAGATGGCTGGACAGATGCCAAGATCGAGTCGGCCGTAAATCTATACTACGCCGGTGCTCCATTGTAAGTTTACCTCCACTCACTGCTCCTAGTATGGCAATGTTCAAACAACCGATTAATTTCAACCATCCCCAAAGTTTCCTGGTACCCAACTGGCCCGTAGAACCGAGAATGATTGAGCGGTTTGGTCCTGAATGGGGTCTTCATGCGCGGGGCATTTACTACCGCCAACACTTTTCGAAGCAGTGGGTAACGTCGGACTGCGATCTCTGGGTGCCATCTCTCGATGATATTGACTGGGCCCATTCAGACGAGTCTAGTCGCCGCGCGAGAGCAAAGACTTTTCTCGGTCATGTCTCTAACAATGAGAGATGGAAAAAGAGTGAATACGCCTGGGAAGCTGACGCCTGGGCTGATGTTTTCGACCGAATGAGAAAAGACCCCGTGCTAACGGTGTAAGTTGATTTTCCTTCCCGAGGAACCGGAAAGTTCCGGAAGTCCAGCATTTAATCCATTGAGACTGTTAGTGATAAGCATGAATACAATACTATCAAGCAGAAGAGAGATCCAGTAACGTGTCTACTCGCCGGTGAACCGAAATTCGTCAAACGAATCCCCGATGCAACCTTTGGGCTCGCGACCTTTAAGCCAACAGACTATCAATGTACATGGGCGGAATGGGATCTCGACCATGACAGGCTAGAGGCACTCGCTCTTCACCGGCATTGTGGCCTTATTGCGGATCCGCGTTGGGGCGGTGCGGACCTGGTCTTTCCCTTTGCAACATACGAGGCCAAAGGTTGGAGTGGAGATGCCAGAGAAGCACGCAGGCAAGGTTGTTCCGCCGGTGCAGTGTATCTCGATCTGCTGGACGCTCTGACCCGGCAACCCGGAAAATTGGGCAAGAAGAAGGGGCATTATCAGCCGGCTAGGACTCGCCTCAACCAAGTTTTCGTATTAACATCGTTTGGGGCCCATTGGAATATTCTAGTTGGCTATAAGAGACCTCGACTCGCAAAAGAGTACGCAGGACACGAGGGCCTCAGTGACTCCGTCTATGTAAGTCTCGGTACATTTGTGAATAATACCATGGATTGATTGAAGATATAGATATTCCAAAATATCTGGAGCGGTCGTGTGATGACCCAGCGAAAAGCATGGGAGCTCCTTTGTCTGGTCGATCAGATACATCTCTGGGGGGTAACCGACTTCAGAGACTCCGTGATGCAGTGTGTCAGACCGTGGCATGAATTTGGCAGAATCTGCTATGCTCACGACGTATCCTTTCTTAGTCGATACCTCAAGACTGACAGAATCACACACGAAAGAAAAAAATACCAGATTCTACCCGAGGCTGCCGTTAAAATTGGAGACTGGGCTCAGTACTTCACAGCGGACGCACGAAAGGAATTGCAAAAAAGCCTTTCCCATCATTTCAGGGAAGCATACCGACGAGACCTGCCTGCCATATCCCATAATTGGCCGGCGAGCTTCTCTTGCCTCTTAGATGATTGTGGCCCCTTCGGTAATCCCGGATACCCTTTGGTTTCCAAAGAGCACCTGGTGACTCACTTTCGTGAAATACATGGGGAGGATGACGCAGCTATAGCTTCCATGCAGTCTTTATGGGACGAGGCGGAGGAGTCTGAGACCGAAGTGAATTCCCCTCCGAAGCTAGGAAGGAAAAGACAGGGAGATGATGATCTGAGTCCATGCACAAAGCGGTATAAGCTCAATTCTAATGAGGATTTCAACTTTAAACACACTGTCAGTTTTTTGGACTTCCGTCGGAGGCGCAGAGGTGCGCTCGATCAACAGATTGAGTATGTTTTTGACAAAGAGGCCTTAATCAAGCTGTAGCTGTTGTTAGCTGGTTAATGTATCGATATTTAGTTGAATAATGATATAAATTTGAATTCATAATGTATTCATAAATCATTACTGATCCATGTCTAGTCTTGTCTATGGACAGACCTCTCCGAAAGTACGGACAGAGTACTGTAGTATCAAGTCCTTTACTTAAGAAGTAGGAATAGCTCTCTTCTACGCAAATATCTGCTCTCTATACCTCTCTTAAAAACCCTCGGTCTCGACAGTGCACTAGAACCCATCCACAAGAACGGGATACTGAGCACGTATCTCCGCATCAATAACTCTGCCAAAACCTCACGTTAGAACAGAAGAAACAATAATATCTGCCAAGCTCAACCCCTGCTCCTCCGTGGAGGAAATCCACTTCTTCTCCCCATTCTTCAGATCTTTCCCCAGGACGCCGTGCAAATGCTCCAGCTTCCCAAGAAAAATCTTCTCCTTCTCAGCGTCAAAAGCACCAAATCCAACACAAGAGAGAACCAGCTCAATAACAGGACTTTGCCACTGGAGTGTGACTATCGCTATGACATGCTGTTTTCAGCGACTTTACCTTACCTTGCACCCTTTTACGGATAGAATAAGACTAAGATCGGCCTATCAAATCACAAGGGCAATCGAATAAATCTTTATAGCAGTAGGGAGTGTGTAGCGTGTTACTAGAGAGGCTATCCATGAGCAAAGAGCCTAGAATGCCGAGATTAACATTCATCCGGGGCAATGAATACTGTTTACATTAGGTGGGACTTGATCTTATTATCCTGTACTTAACATGTTTCTCGAGGTGGTAGACTAGCAAGGACGACATGGTGACCCCCAATACGGCCAAATGTGTACTGAGAAGTGCCATAAATATTATCCAATGTGTGACCAAAAATCTTTCTGTGGCAGTATGTCCAATGGGGAGAGCGGAAATCTATCTGTCGGTTGACTTGGTCATTGCCCTAAGCAGATATCCTATCGATTCAACTGAATGTAGGTATATGCTCGGTGGGTAAAAGTGAAGTGTCATTTCTAAACTACAATCTGCCTAGCTATTTATAGTTCTACTTGTTTACACCTATGCAATCCTGATCCCTTGGTATGCCATTTGGAATGGTAGGCCAAGTCTAGGCCAAGCAAGGTGCTGTGCGGTATGTGGATTAGGTCAAGATACTCCACCTCTCTGGTCTGGTTGATAACATCGTTCCAACAATAACTACTCAAGATTCCTCTATACAGCGGGAACTATCTGCGTTTGAATACGAATTATCTCAAGAACAACCAGTCAGACGCCGAAAGCGGAATAATCAGGGAAGACAAGGACGTGAAAAACGCGGAAAATGGGACCTTAGAGATAGAGGAAACTCTACTGAAACGATTGAAGTTAGTAAAGATGATAGAAATAACGATAGCAAGAATGAGATACCAACCAGCGAAAAGAACGGGAAAACTAGCGAGGAAGAAGAAGTTGAGCTACTATAACGCAGTCAACGAGCTGGCCGTAGCAAGGTAGCGCAGTGGTTAGGGAACGAGAACTGACAGAATTCGAATTCTGAATAGAGGCCTGTGATTGTTTAATAAATGCAGCGTTTTTTGTACGATTAAAAGAATAATAAATGTCCTGTTCAAACAATTATACTAAGTGCCAAATTTCCATATCACATGGCCACGCTAAACGAAATAGGAAATGGGGGTGTCGGTCTAACACGACCCTAAAAAAATGAAGCTATTCACAAGTTCGCAACTCAACAACTGTTGAACTGAGCCACTTAATATGGGATATATATATATATACAGTATAGTGCATATAAGCGAACATCAAATATGTCGAATATCTTCGAATAATGTATTCGACTTTTTATTCGAGCTAGATCAGATTTCGAATATCGTATTCGAGATATATTCGACCTGACAGGGGTGTCGAATATATCGGCCGACGTCGAATATTCGTTACACCCCTAATAGAGACCTTGTGACCGTTGCTTGACTGGTATGTGAGCTATCCACATCTTACGTGATTCTGTCCAGTCGCTGAATCTTGTAGTTTGGGGGCCTTTCGCGCGGCGTCTGCTGGCCGTGCAGCGACTCTCTGGAGTCTTTGGCTGATGCTTTTTGTTAGCCATGCCATCCCATTTGAGCTGTCCCTCAGCGGGTTTTAGAATTCTGTGCTACCCTGTGGTCTCCAGTCTGAGAAACCTGGCCCATTATCTTTCTCTGGGCTTTTGAGATCCTTCATGGGGAGGGCAGTTTCTTGATCGTCCAGCTACCGCACCTGTCTCACAGCGTGCCAGCAGCTTGGGTGAACAGGGTGACATCACTTCCACGGTCGTCTTCCGGACCCCACTAGGATCTGTTCACGTATCCTTGTTTCACCGTCCAGAGGCAAAATTGCCACATCCTTTTCATTTCCGTGTCTTTGGCATGCGAGACTTGGAATTGCAGCGAAGAACTGCGATTAGGGCAGGGCACCAAATCTTGGTTTCGAGCGAGCGCACATACGTGGATATGGACACGTCCGCAGACCGGATCATAATCATGCAGACAAGGGATATTTGCCTTGTTGCTTCGGCCGATGAAAGTAGCGAAACTATGAACAGTAACGGACCAAGTGAGAATATAAGGGGGAGAGTGAGCCCGCGAGGCTTGCTTGTATCTCAAGTCGATTCTTATGTAATCTGCTTTTTATTCTCCAGTTTCAGAGTCCTTTCTCTTTCTCCCATCCTTGAAATCGCATCTCTGCCGCCGCGTTATACACCAAAAAAAAAGAAAATCCTGATTCCCACAGTATGCTTCCTGCATTTCAGATAAATAACTTCAAGCGATGGACTTCCCTTCCCTGAAACCATTTCCACCACATAGAACACTCAACGTGTGCGCCCACAAGCCCTAAATCCTCCTAACCAAGAGCCCTGTCATGTTCCACTTCCAAGCACTTTGCCGCCTCCCAAACCTCACATCCACTGACCAGAATTGCTTTGCCTGGGTGGATTGTGAGTACTCAGCCACAGCTGTAGCACAGCCACAGCGTTTGGATGAACACTGTTCGCGAGCCACGTTCCAATCGTCTGTAACCAAGGGTGTATCTATTCCCAGGATACATCTGGTGTAAAAAGGTTGGTTGGCCCATGTATCATGGTTTGTGTTTGAGTAGTCGCTCAGGTGTCGGCTGCTGCAGGGGTCACAGCACGCAGCCTGAAGCATAGCCGCCCTCCCTACACGCGGACAACAACAGACACTCAGCAACATCATCATGGTGGAACCAGATTACAACTACCTCAAGTACGCTAAGACCTCAGTGGGCTCATGTGAGCCCTTCATCTTCTATATCTTTGCTCTATTTCCCGGATTCCACGGCATTGAAAGTGACACACCAATTCCCACGTTCTTCCTCCTACTACCAATCACCCATACCAACATGGATCCTGGAGCTTGTTTAATAATTGCAAGTCTCACGAGAGAGGCTGCTGCCGGGCTTATCCAACGGCACGGTTCGGAAGCCGTCATCGCCGCGTTACGGGCATGGGTACAATACAACAGCGGACGGTCGTCGAATCTGGGACACGAGGAGGCCATGAAACAAGCGAAGAACGCAATACCGAGCTTCTTGAACAATATCGAGTCGAATGACCTTCGTGTCATTCCAGGTGCTTTTAATTCCTCTCCCGAATTCATCGCCATGTTCCAGGCCGAGGCGCTGGTCGCGATCCCCGTGGCCCTGCTTGAGGTTAAGCAGGCGATTGATCGAGTCGGGTCAAGTCTACAGGGTATTCAACGTGAGCTTACGATTACCAACATGGCAAAAATTCAGGGCTGGGAACAGGAGGGCTTCGGTGCGCATGTCTATCGATTTGTGGAGTACGAGATGCTCCAGGTTGCGAAAGCCCGCGCGGAGAGCGGTGATCAACGGCGGCACTACTTCTACGTCTGGAACCAGGATACAGATTGGTATCCAGTCTTCGAGGCGAAGAACCGAGCTTTCCCTCTTGGCTCTGAGTTTGGCGGGTGTCATCATGAGCTTGATGCTATCTGTATGCGGATGAGGGCAGACAGAAGAACACTCATTCAAACTACGTCCCATGGACACACGGCGCAATTCCATCTCCTCGTTCCAACTCACGAGCCTTATGTTTTGGATCACCCTGTCATATTTCACGAGAGCCTCCTTCCGCTTACTATCACGGGCCAGCGGCATCGCAGTGTGGACCTCGTCTGGTTTAATCTGTGTTCGAAACCAACGGAGTTGCATCTTCAATGTATCGGAGTCTTGAGAGAGAGGAGAAATACCATTGTGGAGGCTGGAGCTCTTAGCTTCGCTGGCTGCTGTATCGGCTTCATGGCAGCTGGCTGTGCTGCTATGGCATTCCCGCCCTGCGCTCCTCTTGCAGAGGCAGTCATGTTGCCGCTCTGGTCGGGAGGAGTGGCTTCTTGGGGCACTGCGGCCGGCGCCGCTGCTTACGAGGACGCTAATCGTGGGGAGCTTTGCATCCTAGGGGATGATTCCATACTGGTCTAGAGAAAGAGATAGTTTGCGTTGGCTTGGGACAAGCGTCTTTGAGGGGGGGTGCCTTGATCATTGTCTTGTGCTCAAGAAGGCTCTTACTAATTCCGGGAATTGGCTTGTATTGCTCTCAGTCATTTTTTGTCCGTCGTTTGTCCATATTAATGGCTTTCTATTCTGTATCTAGTTTTTTCAGCCGCATCGCCAATTGCTATTCCAGTATTATATCATTAGCATTCGAAATCAAGCGTAAGCAGTTGATATCCTGCCACGCTTGTGCAAACACCTGCAAGTATGACAATATAATCCTCTGATAGATGGCTCTGTACCGTAGAGAGGTTTGCGAGCCAATGCTAAATAATAGTGCTATATTTGAATGTATATGCTTATTAGTGTCGTAAGCGCCAACGTTTTCCTGAGGAGGTACTTCTATCATCCGGCACTACGGAACAGACCGTTCAGATGATTTTGAATGACCTCTCAAGCGTTCCCTACACGTCCATCGGATTCTCCCAGAAGAAATGGATCTTTACGGCGACCCTGCCTGCAACTAATTCCCTGACACCCAGTCAACACGGGTGACAATTCTGCGAACAAGTCTTTTCACTATTTGCCCGGTATTGATATGCCTGGAAAACCGAACGCCTTTTTCGAAAATCGGTTATGAGTAGTTCAGTGCTTTGACCTGAAGGACAGCCTTTAGAGTCTGCAACGCTCTCTCGGACAAGTAATTCGTTGGTCCTTACGGAATGATTCTGTTTGTTTCATTTGACGTTTTATTTGGCGCCGGGCCCTACGCCAGCTAATAAAGTATTATGTATGTGTGGCAGAGTTCTAATGTGGTCAATTCATCGCCACGTCGGCGGCTAACCCTATGCCCCGTTCACTACGGAGCAGCCTTGAGCAGCCTTGTCCAGTGAAGCTCACCAGAATCAGCTGGTCGGATACGGCGAGACGCAGAACTTTGATTTAAGCCAAGGTTGCGTTGGATTCCAATCAAAGGATTTCATAGGGGACTGCCTTGTCTACCCTTGGAGTAAATCTCCATCGTTCAAACAGGCGATTGAAGGCAGCCCCGCCATGAACAAACTAAGACCCATGAAAAGGCCCAGCTATAATGAATCCTAGAGTGAGAAACTCGACACCGAAAAATTAAATAAATAAATAAATAAATAACTAGATGTCTTGACAGAGATGAGTGTCTGAGAGTAGGTAAACTGGATATGTCGCCAAGTGGCATGCAAAGATGCCAACGATTAGACGCCGAGGTTTAGGCCTCCAGCTAAAGATCCAAAATAGCCTAAGAGTCATGTCATGATCCAGCACCTTCTAAATTAGCCTTCTTGGTACGAACTATTGGTTCATAACGACAACTGTGTACCCCCCCCTCGTGCACGTCGTCGCCGCTGCGCCCTGCCAAGTGGAACACAGGTTTAAGAGAGGGCTGTGCTTATTGGGCATGATGGATGAGACCACACCCTATATAAGTCTCTGTCAATGCGGCACAACATGTCGATGCTACCGCCAATATTGAAGTTCCCTTTGCTCATCTACCGTGCTTCATACTACTTTACACTACACTCAGTATCAAACCATCCATGGCGTCCGATGCTGAACGAACCAAAGAATGTCTCGCAGAGCTGGAGGCTCACTTTAGGTTACTCTTCTGTCTCCTGTCAACTTTTATAACTCATGTAACTGACCGAGAGCAGAGAGAACAAAACCCCTTCTGACGTACTGATCATTCTCGGACGAACCGGGTCCGGTAAATCATCTCTTCTAGAGGACCTATCTGGTCTCACTGGCTACTCGCAACAGAGTGTTGACTCCGGTGAGCTTACTTCCTTCAGATTCCCTTGTTCTGAGGCCTAAGAGTCGGCCGCAGTCACAAAGACCATCCAACTCTGCAAAGCTATCGTCAACGACAAACCCTACTTCATCATGGACACACCGGGCTTCGACCCCAACGCCGAGGAGAAGACATACCGTGAAATCATCCGCGGTGTGAGATCCATCCTCCCCTTCGCCCTCATTACCGGGTTCCTATATCTCACCTGCATCCCCCAAGAACGGTTTGATGACTTTGACCGCAAGTTGATCCAGTTCATCCGCGCCTTAGGTGGACCGCAGCACATTCCCCGCGTCACGTTTATAACAACTTTCTGGACGGCAACGCCGGGACAGGCGGCATCTTACTGCCAGCGCCTTGTGTCCCTTCGGCGCAGATGGGAGGATGGTGTTAGTATGCGCGGGTTAAAGACGTATCAGCACGGCTGGGAGTACAACGGCGCTGGTGAGGATAGCGGTATGATTATTGATTGGTTTATCAACCGCGAACAGATCGCGCGACATGCGAAGGAGATGGTTGCGAGGCATTATAGCAGTCCAAGTATTGTTCCTTCGAGGATCGAGGAGGAACTGGATGCTAATGTGCCCATTCACGAAACGGACGCGGGAAGATTGCTGCTACCTACTCCTGCTCCGTCGCAGTTTACCACAAGCGCGCACGCAGCAGCACGACCGAGCCAAAATGCCTCTTCTCATACAGATGCCTCTAACCCGAAACCCCCGCTGGTCGCACATACATCTAGCAATACAACCCAAGAACAAACAGCCACCCCGCCGCTTGCGACTTCTGTTACTCAAGTGCTTCTCGAAGGATTCAGCTGGTTTTTCCGCAACATTAACCCTGGCAGTGCAGCTGGAGGCGCGGGTCCAAGACCGAGGAGGGTTAGCGGCGATCTACTCAGAGGTGGAGGTGAGTTCCCGGCGTCTTTCTCCATACCTTTAAGTATGTAGTAAAATCTTGCTGACTGATGATCCACTAGATCCACTTTCCCATGTCGATTTGATGAAATCTAGAGGCCTTGACGCGAGCAGGGAGGCCAGGGTGATATATGCTCAGCAACATGGAATTGGAGGTGTGCCTTTCTCTGCGTCGTGGGGGAATGCAATGCTGAGGCATCTTCAAAGGAATGGTTGATACATGGAGATTAAAAAATATGTTTTGGAGGGTGCAAGGAATATGATATGGTTAGTTGTTTATGAAGCCTTATTATTTCTTTGACGATGTTGCCCAAGATTTCAAGCACTCAAGTACCTCTGTACTCTAGGCTACGTTTTAGATAGAGTATCACTTCATTCATTTGCATTACCCTTATGGCTCAGGCCTCGTACAGCTCGGACCGATCAAACTCCACCATTCCTCTGAGCTTAACCACTTCATGGTCGACACTATCACCAAAGCGTGGTCATTGTGCGAACACATCCCGCTGTCATTGGGGAGTGTTGGGCGGTAACCCCCGGCAGAAATTCCGAAAACTCCCAGCCGGTTCCATCGAAGGGGCAGAGAGGGCTGAAAAAGATAGCAAAGCCGGGAGACTACTGCCGACGAAAGTTGCGAGAGAAGAAAGATCTAGGTAACAGTAGAGCAAGGTTAAAAAACCAAAACAAAACATACAACAGCAGGGATTCGCTGGTGGTCACCCACCCAACTACTAACCTGCCGGCGTGTGGCTTAAGTACGGCTGAGCGGACGGGAAGCCCTGTTCTCCACACCCTGTGGTCGTATGTGATTCTGCGGAGAAAAAGTAATTTCATATTGATCATTGTTTCTTCAAGAACAAAAAGCGCTGCAAGAACATGGGACCACGAGCACATTGAATTTTTTTTTTCTTTTCATTTTTTAATTTTTTTGAAAAAAGTAGAAAAAGAAAAAGAAAGAAAATAGGAAACACGCCGGATCGCTGACCTTCCTGTATCTTAGCGGATATGTTTTCCTGTTTCATTGATCCGAGTCATCGTCTGTTTCGCTGTCCTCGTTAACGGCAGGAAACCTAGAAGAATGGCCTTTGTGAGAAGCCTGCTTGCTTGTACTGAAAGGTGACGGTGAGTCTTGAGGACTCAGGTTCATAGGCGGTAGTGCAGTGCCCCTGCTGACACTGGTCCTTGTCCTTTGGGCCTGGTGCTGGACACCGAATTGCTGATCCGAGGAAAACATCCCTTGATAGCCGTAGGACTCATCATACTGAGTTTCATTCAAATGCCGTCGTTGGTCGTGGTCGTGGTCACCGCGATAAAGACCTGAGCTGGCACGGGACTTCTTCGTCCCAGAGGGGAATGGGTCGCCATAAACGTTATCAGAATGCTTCTGGCTGCTTTGGTGTGGCATGTAGGGCATCTCCCCGAGTTTCTCCGGCGATGAGCGTATATGGTCTGCCCTAAGCCCGCGTTGATAGGCATTCTCTCCGGCTGTTCGGCCTCTGGTCTCCAGTAAGTATCGCTCAAAGCCCATGCTAGCATCCGCTACCACCTCGAAATGCTTCGGCTTGATATCGAAGATAGCATCCGCAGAAGCGTCATCTGCTACGATCCGGCTGGCCGTCGGGTTATCTTTCTCAAAATGAGCCAAAGCCGAGGCAATGAGAAAGGCATTGCGGATCTGCCGCCCATTCCAGCGGCCTTTTCCATCTTCATTAAAACGGTAGTGTCTTTTCGCAAACCGTTTGATTCCTTTGACGTCAATTGTAAGTGGCGGTTGCTGTTTCGCTTTAGCGCGTTCTGCTTCGATACCTGCCAGGCGCATCAGGTTCATGTCCCATATCTTCAAGGTAGTCTCTTTGCTGAGGTGTGGGTAGTAAAGGCTGATATGGATTCGCGACTTGAACGCCTCATCGATACTTCCAGGTAGGTTGGTAGTAAGAAAGAGTATACCAGTGTAGTATTCTAACATGCGAAGAAAGACTATGGTTGAAAGAAAAATCTAAGTCAGTGCAAATGCGAGAAAAATAGTGATGACCACTCACCCGAAACCAGAGCATTCCTTTCCAGTGCTGCCGGGGTCCTCTCGGACAGAAAAACGTCCGCTTCATCAAGGAGGAGAATACAACCCCAGAGCTGTGCCAGTCGGAAGATGTCTTTCAGGTTCTTTTCCACATCACTAGGCAGAGTTCCCAAATCACCACAAGTGATTGGAAGAAGCGGTTTCTTCCACAAATGCGCAATATTCTCCGCCGTCGATGTCTTTCCTACCCCAGGCACGCCATACAGCAAGATGATCAGCCCTCTCCCTTTATTCGAGATGATGTCTTGATTAATGCCGTACACTCCCAGTGAGTCGTGGAGATCCTTCCTTTTGAAATGGGAATTGACGAGCGCACGAAGCATATCCTCATGATCCTTGTCAATGATCAAACTGGCAGACCGAGTCCAGTGATCGTCGACGTGGTTCAGACTCCGGATATCCACAGCGACGAATCTTCGGTCTTGCAAAACGTAAGAGAACAGCCTGCGTGGAAGGAGCTCCAGGTCCCCTTCACGTGGGTTGTAGGTCTTTCCTTGCTCGTTGTTCCAGCTTGATAAGAAAGGGTCTGCTTTGGTGCAATACTCGGTCTTTTGCATGCGAGCATATTCATGCTGCCAAAAGTTCTCCTCTACAGTATCATGTGTAGCATTGTCTTTCTCGGTGGCAGTCCAGGAGAAGATAGAATAGGTATTCAGCGAACGCTCTCTCGGCTTTACCTTCGGAAATTTCCAGTGCGGCTTCCAATTTGGATGAGCCTTAAGAGCTTCAGCCATGTCAACCACGACATCACTAGTAACATATTGCAATGGCGAATGCGACTCATCTGGGTCCGGGTCTAACGCCCAGCCATTGTGGGTTAACAGCTTTGTTTCCAAGTAGTCCAAGAAAGTCTCCCCTTGTTTTCGGCACTCTTTCTGAATTTGCTCTGCATTTTCTGCGTATCGGAGAGGAAACACTGGCAAGCTCGAGATCTCCTGCTCCCCAACAAATGCTGGGATCCGGAAAGTCGTTCTTATGCAGACATAGGACTCGCCATCATGATCCATGGCATAGCACTTGATCTTGAAATTGCCTTTGTCCTGATCTACATCTTCCTCGGTACGATACAGTCGCCAGAGCCGTTGATCGTCGCGTTGTCCCAGCATCTCCGGGTTGGGCTTAGATGACTTGCCTGCGCCGGGCACGTAAATGCTGTCTCCTAACTTGAAGATTGCCGACAAAGCCGGATATCTGACCTTATTATGTGTGCTGGGATCGTGGGGAATCACCTCGCTCTCCATAAATCCAATGTAAGTTTGAAATTCGCTGACCAGTTGCTTAATTTCTTCATCAGAACCAGCTTCGGTCTCCTCCTTCTCTATCACAGAATCCGCCTGTATCTTCTCGAATCTGGCTTTAATTTGGTCATGATGCTGGACCAACGGTGGGAAAGGATAGCAAAAAGTCAACGAGGTGCTGAATTCTTGTTCCGGGCTGAGAATATTCATAATCTCCTTAACGAGGGGGACCGAATTGACGCGAAGCCTTGCCATCCATGCATCCGGCTTGAAAGGGTTGGTTTCTGTTTTTGCTTGCATCGCCTTCAGCGCATCAGGCGCACTGCTGTTTGATAGTTTCTGTGTGAACACACTATCTTCCTCGTATGCTGCACTAACTGTAGTGTCCACCATCAGCGCCTCAACTACCGGAATTTCGGTCTGGTTGGGAAACCGATTCGTGAAATTGATGAGGTTGAGTTTGTGCGCCTTGGCGATGATGGATCGCTCAACCTCTTTCTTCTCCTCATCGTCTTGCTTTTCTTCATCTATTGTTCCTGGGTTTTTTTCTTCTTCCTCCGCTTTTTTCTCTTCTGATTCGTCGCTATCGCCTCGATTGCTGCTTGGGCTTCCGTGCTCTGATTTGTTCTCTTCAGCCTCGCTAGGATTAGTCTTTCCCGCCATTAGATTCTCAATCTTATTCTCTAACTGCAGTAGTCGCTCTTCAAGCAATCGGACGTACTCCGGCTGGTCGCAGCTACCGGTTAAAATCACATGAGGTGGGTTCTCGTCTTGCTCGGAGAGTGTGTGCACATCAGTGTCTTGATTTGGGGTATCTGCAGTCGCCATGTTCCTTGATTTTCAGATGAGAAGCTCTGTGTTGCATAGATAGGTGCCGCTATTTACGCTTAAATACCAGGGGTAAGACCAAAGAGAAACAGTCGCGGATTGATGAAGAGGAACTGCTGGACTACGGTAGTGGATGATTCCAGCTTATATGGCTTATATTCCACACCCACCATTCTCTGAGCTAACATAGATTTTGGTCGGCGATTACATATGTTCTTCTGACCATACCTCCGGGGACTGGTATCTCCAGATCTGCGTCGATTGGTTGACGCAAGGTATCCTATTATGGGGTGTGTAAACAGGGATATACTTTGGGTAGTCACTCAAATGTACGAGGAGCTGAAGGAACTTGACAAGCTATGGTCCTGTGGCGTCTTCAAGTCTGGGAAGTCATTGGACACACGTCAGCGAGCTGACTCCAGGGCCCTTTGCGGCCAGGCGGATAGGTCGCGTATGAACCATCAACATATAAGCGTGAAATACAGTGACAAGAGCCAACAGGAGACCAAGGAGGTTAAGGAAAGCAAAATACTGAAAATCAAATTAACTATGCTTGTCTTTTAAGGTGCGTGCTACCTCGGACCTAGAGAGTTATTTCTTTACTAGCTTCTCTCTATACTCAATGAGCGCGTGGGTTCTCTATGTAGACTCGTTACGTAGCTTAATGTCTGCCTCCGATGCAGGTCTTATGTGCGTAAGAATTGCCAGGATGACATCCCTGTCCCAGGGGGCCATTATTTACCCCCAAACCCCTCTTTTCTCGGGGGTCCGTGATCATGAGGGCAAAGCTCAGCCGCACGCATGCGTACCCGAACGGAAACGCCGGACTTTCGCAAAGACTGCATGTGCGAACCATACATGCATCGGGCAGGATTTTCATGTACTCTCAGTCTCTCGCTTCCATGATTTGTGATAGTTGTGACGGTATTCTCAGCATGTAAAGGGCCTGGTGAACTTGTGGTCTCAATGCAATATTAAGGATAACGTGCCCTGTCTATTTAGATTCAACTCAATAGGATATAGCTTCTGATGTTTGCAGAATGGGTTTTATGAGGCAAAAGCTCAAAAAGGAACACAAAAAGGCTGCCGCAACTTATCTTCTAGAAAACGGGTCAGATCTCCATGATGCCCTCAGCACGCCGGCTATCTATAACGAAGATCGCGATACCTTCGAGCCCCTTCCAGCCACTAGGTTTGAACTCCTGTCTCACCATCATTGCTCATTCCATTTTCAATTAATAAGATATAATCAGGGACTTAGAAGAATCTTTGGCCACCTACAATGAGTCTGTAGAGTCTAATTTCAGATTTGACGTGAAAACATGTACTTTCGATGATGTCGTCTCAGAGCTCGACCGAGCTCGAGCGACATATGAAGGAAAGGCAGAAGGGGTTCTAGGAATCGGGCGCAAAGCTTTACGAGGTGCAGGCAATTATTCCAACGAGATCACTCCATGGATTGATTTGGTTCCCTCGGATCATGGCTTGAGCTTTCTGAGCGCGGGATTAAAGATTATTTTTGGCGTGAGATTCTTCCCTTTTCTTTCTGTTCCTGTATAGGTAAGGGCTGAGGAGAAATTTCTCTCTGATATCAAACTCGGCAGATTGCGAGACGGAACACAGAAAACTCCGCCAAAATTCTAGATGCATTCGCAGATATCCCAGAGTTAATGCTCTCTGTCAAGGCGCGACAGAACCAGTGGGCGTCCGCAAAAGCACTTCGCGAAAGTGCCATTGAACTCTATGAAGTTTTGGCTCGAGCTCTAGCGAAACTAATCGTTATCTTAAACGGGAGCATGGACAACGCGCCTCGTCTAACCGAACGCGCCCGGAGGTGCATCAGACGAGTCGTTGGTTCTGGAAATACGGCCAACTCGATTGACGCTATCCTTGGTGAAGTTCAGAAGCAGGCCAAAAGGTTTGATCAGTGCTTGGACCTTGTGCGAAACCAACTCGCCATTCAGACAGCGATCGACGCGGCGGCGACAAAAACCATTGCAGGGCGCATCGAAACGAAGCTAGACAAAGTGAAGCAAGAGATAAAGGACGCAAATGCCGAGATGATAAACGACCTCCAGAGCAGAGAACAAGGCGTCTTTATCCTCAATGTTATGCATCAGAATCTAGTATATATCAACCCTTGTAAGTGCTCGCTCCGGGGCTTGGTATTGTCCAGACAACTAAGTTTTATCGCCATAGATTGTCCCCCCGAGATAACGTCGTCAATGGTACCTTCGACATCCAAACGCGCAGAGCCACTTCTAAGCGATATCGAGCTTCTCAGCAGCCTCGGTATCAGTTCACAGTTACCCTCGAATGATTTAAGAACGATAATAAAAGAACTTTCTCGGTTCGAAATCTCCGCGCAGACTCAAGCCCAACAGCTCTTCGCGTCACGCCAGTTCGCCGAATGGATGGCCTCGCATCACCCTGTCACTTTGATGGTCAACGGAAATTTCGACACCCCCGGACCAGGACGGACCACCGCATTATCCGTCCTATGTGCCATGTTTGCCCTGAAGCTGCTTGACAATAATGATGACTGCATCGTTCTACATCATTTTTGTGGTTTGCATGGGGCACGCTATCATTCCGATCCAGCTGCGGGTCCTAATGGGCTCATTCGCTCGTTGCTGGCTCAAATGCTACACACAGGCCGGGAATTCAACCTTGACTTCATAAACACGCCTCAGTTTACCGATGACATCCAGACACACTCACTCAAGATGCTCTGTCATACCTTCAGCCAGCTCGTAGAGCAGTTACCCCGGAACATCACTATAATCTGCATATTGGATGGGGTCAGTGAATTTGCTTCTCAGCAATGGAGTACCGAGTTCAGTGACGTACTCCTTATACTCAATCGACTGATCACGAGCCCCGCCCTGCGACCCATTTTCAAGCTCCTCTGTACAACCCCATTCTCTGCAGGAGGACCCTTGATTGATCGGCAGCTCAAGGTGCATTATTCCCTTCGGCTACAGCCTTCTGGCGTTCATGACGGTTACGCGTTCTCTGAAAGGTCCTTGCTTGATGTGACTTCGCAAGGAGCTCGGCTTGACCATTTTCGCATGCGTATGCTCGCGAATCGAGCGAATGAGGAAGATGATTCGGAATCGGATGATGATGATTTTGACTATACGGTGAGGTATCAGACAATGAATTAATTATTTTGACACCTTAATATCCTATAAACTATTTGTTGGCCGTCTCTCTAGGCGTAATTGCTAGTAATGTTACCCATAGGAATATCGAATGATGAAGGTCTAATTCTTTCAATCTAGCTGCAAACGATGGTTTAAATACATGAAGAATAATAAGCAATCTAGCCTAAAAAGGCAGTTAGAAGAGACATAACTTTTGAACCATGGAAATAACAGAAAACTCTGCATAATCCTCGGGGATCGGTAGTTACCAATACCGATATCCGGACTAGGAAGGTCTCCTATGTGACTAGTGGTCACATACGGTTGACACTATTCCATTAGAATGTAGGGATTTGGAAATGTAAGCTTACAGGCCCTTTACTTGATCCAAAAACTAGTAACAACAATCCATGAACAAAGTCTTGAAATTGAATAACATATTGCATTAAAAGTTTAATGAATGAAGATACATGATCTCGTGAACCATTATTTCCATCATACGGTTCGATTACCACAAACCCCAGATTATCATTTGAACCCCAACAGAAAACCCAAGCCTATATGCCCATCGACCCGAAGCAACTCCCACAGCGTTGTTCGGTACCCAGGTAAGGGTTTGATTTCCTTTATGAATCTCCAGAGCGTGGGTAGAATTCGCGGAATCGAATTGGCCAGTGAACGTAATTGTGAAGTTAGCCTTTACGTCTTTGTCCCTTCCTAAATACAGATCATAGGAAGTCGAATTCATGTCAACCAAGCCAGAGAACTTCAGCTCCATTGTTGTATTTGTTACAGACCCCTCCATGATAGTCGTATCTGCCCAATGCATATCGGTATCGTCGAGAAGGCACTTTTCAGCCCGTAGACGGAACAAGCCGTCATACTTGCTGACCTCCAACTCATGAACTGTTGTGGCATTTAAATGAACTGCATCCAATGTATTTGAACTTGGAGAGACATCCAGAGTCATAATATCCCAGGTGCCGTCCCGATTGATCGAACTCGTGCTAGTGGTGATTCGGAAAAGATCGGGTTCCGAGGAACAAGAGTCTCCTTCCCATTTGATGTCTGAATAGGACGAGTGGATCTCGCTCACGGCTTTATCTGATTTCCACGCCTTAAATCCTATTAGGAACGGGTTTTCTGCTCCCTTCGGGTAAGGTGGTTGTGGGCCGATCCACGCGTAGCCGAGCAGTCGCAGCTCTTTTGAAAGCTGACATCTGGAGCCAGTCCTCAGATTATAGGACAGATGCGCTTCTCCCTGAAAGAATGAACCGTCGTATATCGTTGGGTTCGGGGCCGCTCTTGCACCGCCCTGTGAGGTCCAGTTTGCGGCGTAGCTGGGAACCAAGTATGTGTTGCTCAGAGCATTGCTGTGAACTTGATTTCCACAACTGGATGTACTTGAGCTGTCGCCGCTCCCATCGCTTCCGCCGCTGCTACTGCCATCTTCGCTGCTGCTGTCTTCATCGCTGTCGCTGTCATGATCTCCTCCGCCTCTTCTCGCAAGGACGCCTTTGTCAAGAATCGCCAGCAGAAGGAGGAGCCGGGCAAGGAAAGCCAGAGGCACCATGGAGGCTGGCCTAGGCTTCAGAGACTTGTAATTGCACAACCTGACAGCTCAGAGAAAAAGAAGAAAATCTCATTTGTGCCATTTCAGGGGACCCTTGGGCTTGAATAAGGACCGCCAAGGGTGCATCCTCGTATTGCTTGGGTCAGGCCGTCAAAGAGAGGAGTTATCATTGGTGGGCTTCGTGACTACAAGCTGAAGATCGCATCAAAATCAACATTAATCTCCGTCTATCTCCTTGGCATATCCTGCTATGTATTAGCGCTGGGTTCAGGTCCAATGTTTGCACAATTCCCGTGTTGGTTCCTTCGACCCGAGTCTCCCTGATTGGGTTTCCCCGGTACCTAATATGTCCTGGCAGGCATGGATACGGGTTTAGGCCACAATAAAGGACCCTGCCCTCGGTCTCATGAGTCTTGACGTAAAAGGTTTGTGTTTAATATTTACAATAGAACCTGAAGGTTCCACTAGAAATAGTTCGTGGGGGTGGCTCGGAGGATCCTGAGAAACTGAACGTGGCTCAGTCAATGCCTATTTGCTGGCACAGACACTGAAGTCAACATTCCTTTAATTGAGACCTTGATATTCGACGCAATCCACAGCAAAGGTCGCCGATCGGTCGACACTGGAGTATTGATATTTATCAAAGACGTGATGGCTATAACAAGGAAATGGCGTTTTTTAGTGTGAATGCTCTAGCCCCTCCCGGTCTTGAAATCAGACTAGACATTACCGACCAGAAGCATCGCAACACATGTACATATTCATTCATTCATTCTCTAAACAGGAGATAAGATGGTAAGATCGGTAATCTGTGGTATAACATGGAAGTCCCGGGAAATCGGTTGTTATTCCCCAATAACCAACAAAGAATAAACATCATGAAAAGTATATAAAGTCTACAGGGATACGGTATTCATAGACTCTTTATCATATACCACTATTGTGATTGATGCCGGTATGTTCGATAAAGGCTTTCTTAGAGCACGTGAACTCACGTTCACAAAGCTTATTCATATGGCATATATTCAAAGGCATGTCCATAGCCTTGCCTCTTTAACTCACAGTAAAGATTATTTGTTTGAATTTTTCCATAAGATGCACCGACCAGAATATACCGTTTACTAGTAGGATTTAAATGATTGGGCGGTGATTCCCTTGGATGACTCGGTCGATTCCGGGAAATTTGGGAGCCGCAAGTGTATAAGTAGGGGACATGAAGTGCCTCCGAATGGTTTACTTCTACATCAGGAAGAGCTTTAGTATCGTTCCACTTCCCTGTGTCCATCCCTGGGTCCATTTATGTGCGAGTGAGATCTTGTGAATCCACACCAGTCCTACACACCCTTCAGAAGTCCAACCCCACAGGCCGGCTACAAAATGAGAGTTCAACCAAATAAGATAGCTGAACCCATTCTGACGGGCTTTGAGCCAACCGCAGCGGAGATCATTCAAGAGAACCCTTATGTTTTTATTGACACAAACCATGGTATAGCAGATTTGATTGAGAACTTGGAAGGCTTACCTGCAAGCCCTCCATCATTGTATGTCGACCTAGAGGGAGTCAAATTGTCACGATATGGAACAGTATCTGTCATCCAAATCTATGTTCTGCCCCTCGACATGACATACATGATTGATGTTCTCAAGCTGCAAGAAGAAACGTTCTCGCATCCGTCCTCTACGGACAGCACCCTAAAAGATATCTTCGAATCACCCTCTATTCCGAAAGTATTCTTTGACGTCCGCAGTGACTCTGATGCACTATATAGCCACTTTGGCATAAACCTTGCGGGTGTGCAGGATGTTCAGTTGATGGAACTTGCAACGCGCCGATTTTCGAAAGAACTTGTTCACGGTCTGCAAAAATGCATTGAGCGCGATTTCTCAATGTCCTTTTCCGAAAAACAAGCCTGGAAGACCAGGAAGGAAAATGGCCGTAAACTATTTGCTCCGGGCCAGGGGGGCAGCTATGAGATTTGGAATAAGCGCCCACTTCCTGCTGATATCATGCATTATTGCGTGCAGGACGTGAAGATCCTACCCCGCCTGTGGCAGAGATATAGGCAGATGTTGTCTTATCGCTGGTCGCTGCTGGTTGATGAGGAGGTCGAGAAGAGAATAATCGACTCTCAATCACCAGATTTCATCGAAAAGGGGAGATTAAGGACGCTGGCACCTCATGGCTGGAAAGACATTCACTTTCGCTAAGATGTATGGGTATAGACCTCGGTATTTGAGCTAATCAAGACATTCTAAACAGTCAAATCACTAGTACCATTTTGAGACTCTTGTAAACACAATTAAGTAAGTGAGGGAGACACTAGGGGACATTATTGGACTGCGCATAGACTAGTATTATAACCGAAAAGCTCTTTCAATGTTAATGACCAAGATGACGGAGTTTTTCTAGATTCCCAAGGCATTGGGGGTTTTAATGCGGAGAGGATATATCTTGGAGGGAGCATAGACAAAGTTTCTTGTTTGGACCCAATGAACATAATTCACCTGTACATAGTTGAGCAGTTGCGGTGACAAAGCACTCGGGGTTCTGGAGCGAAGATCCCAGCTTCGCGGTGATCGTTAATTGACCTCTAGGCTGGAGGTTCTTTTCTGCTAAAATGGTTCTACCTGTGGACCGAAGACTCCAGGATTTCCCTGCACTCGCCTCCTTACTTCATCATTGACCATCTTGAAAGCACGCGCTAGAGGAACAAACTTGTTGACCTCTCTTGCCAAACCCTCTATACACCCAGCTACATCTTGCAGAAGAAGTAGGTCGTCTTCTGCAGTTAGTGTTTTAGGATCCTGCATCAAACCACTAGCAAGATGGGCGTGCGCAATATATACCCGGTAGTTACCGAGGATGAGCGACATTGCCTCTGTTCCAGGGAGTCTCAAGTTGTATATCATATGATGAACAAGTTTCAGTACTCTTCTGGATGTCCTCATTGACAGGTCGCTCCTGCGGATTATTTCATCGTTTTCCGATAGCATTGAACGACGGTCGGTCAGTTCAGAGACCGACGATGCTTTCCGGAGCATGAAGAGCATGCAAGTATATCCCGAGAGTGCCAAATCTTCTAGAATATAACCGTTAATATCATCATCTGTGCAGCTCTCGAAATGAAGGTTTGCCGGGCATAGTGACTATCAATGCCGTTGGATGCATTTATTTTGATGCCAAAAAATGGGTAAAATCTTTCTACGATAACCAAACGAAGGCTCTAGGTGGCATACCACCTCACTCCGCAGGTCTCGTGTTCAAGAATCTCAATGCTTTTGGCCAAATGGCGATAGCGGAGCACCAGAAAACTATTGCAGACTTCCTATATGGCACCTTTGAGATAGCCCACCGCCTATTCGGATCAAGTAAGCAACAACGCGTCGACATATTGCAAGACCTCGAAGGCGTCATGGAGAATGGGGAGATGCTCTGCGTCCTTGGTCCTCCCGGATCCGGATGTTCTACCTTGCTCAAGACCAATGTGCTTGACTATTAAGATACCAGGGCGACAGAAATAAAATCGAATCATAGTAATTTTCCGTAGCAAGGGATTATTTGCATCGAGACGAGCATTTATTTCTCATCAAGCAGCATTACATTAATAATAAATCATCCAGGGACAGGTAATAGGATACAGAAAAGAAAGGGAAAAACAGCCATCGGCCATCACACGTCTCGAGCTGTTACATTCTAAGCCTTGGGTTTATTTGCCTTTCCTCGCGGACCGGCAACTGTTCCCATCAAAACTGCAAAACCGTTAGCTTCATGAACAAAGTATCTTCCAGAGAGTGAATCGGAGAAAAGGAAACTCACCATCCCAGTGCTTGAACGAGCTAGAATAATTCCCCACAAAGTAGCGATGATGATCATCGTGCCAATCAGCCCCACCCCAAAACGGTACGAGCCGTCGCAAGCTCCAGGGGAAATCGTACCCAGAGTGCGCGTCGATGGCCTGAATCTGCCGCAGAGTCATCCACACCAGCACCGTCATCAGATGCACTTCGCCAGTGACGAGTCCCATTATCAAAGGGGGTCCAATGGTTCCAAATCCGAGCAGCAGTGTTTCCCAGGGACTGGCATATTCTGCGGTCAGACCGAACGGGGCGGCGTATTGGTGGTGAATGCGATGGATGGAGCGGTACAGGGGTCCCCAGTGCATGGAACGGTGAAGCCAGTAGTGGTATGTATCTTCAACCAAGAAGAACGTGACGATTTGAGCGGCGATGGTACGCAGTTGAGGGAATGGGAGTGTGTATGAGAGGCCGCAGAGCTCCATCATCGGGTGAAAGAGGACGATCAGGGGCAGCTCGATGATGAAGTGGATGGCGAGGATGTATTTGACACATGTCCACTGGTCTTTCACTGAGGGTGACTTTTTGTCTTGAATCTTGTATTTTCGGAAGAATATGGGCAGGGCGTCGGCGATGATCCAGGGAATGCAGCGTCCGAAGTAGATGAGTTCGTGAGCAACGAATGCCATGATTCCTGACTCTCGTTAGCCTGGGACAGCCAAGGGTTATATTTAAATGAGCGTACCTGTCGCAAGAGTATCATTGTCCCAGTAGGCATAGTGGGCTTGCCAGAGACTCTCCATGGTAGACATATTGTGCTGTTGTTTCGCAACCTCGAAGAGCTGAGAGTAAGTTGCCGCGGGCTGGGCAGCACTAGAATTGAACAAGGACTCCATCATGCCGAAATAGTCACCAGCTCTCTGGAACTTTTCATTACCTCGAAAATAATTTTTGTTATTTTTCTATGTCTAATATATACGATGTAGTTAGCCCCCTAATGCAGGGGCCTCCCGGATGGGCTGATCCGGGACACACCACCTCGGATGCCGGACGGATCAACTGATCAGGCCAGCCCTAGAATCAGTCAACCATTAACCCTCTTTCAATATAACCGACCCCTCCATTCACTAGCGTTCCGGGGTCGCCGTTGGCGGCGACCCTGCCAGCTCAACGAACAGGTCATCTCAACGAACAGAGTTTTCATAGTTTGACCACCCTACTTTGACGCCTCATTATTCAACCCCACGATGGCTAGCAATTATTATGAGATCGAGTCTCGAATTAGTAGGGCTCTAGAAGCTCTGAGTCACCAAGAAAAACCTAATATCTCAAAAACTGCTCGTCTTTTTGATGTTCCTCGTCTGCGCCTTCGAAATCGCTTCTTAGGTCGTGATTCACGAATAACACGGCCACCGGGCAATTTAAAGCTCACTGAGGCCCAGAACTCTACTCTAATACAGTATATTGAATGCTGGGCAAGAGTTGGTCTCCCCCCAAGGCCTAAGATGGTACGAACAGCGGCCGATTCGATCCTGAAGGAGGCTCATGATGATCCCAACACCTTACCTCCTACTGTTGGCGATAAGTGGCTATCCCGCTGGCTTATACGTCACCCACAATACAATATGAAGAAGGCAAGGGCTATAGAGGTAGAGCGACGTCGTACTCATAATCGGGACGACCTGGAGGACTGGTATCGCCGTCTTCAAAGCGTTATTGCCGTACATGGGATCCTAGAAAACGACATCTGGAATTTCGGTGAAACAGGCTTTCAAATTGGTATTGGAAAAGACCAGTGGATCATCACCAGAGATCATCCAAAGACCTACTTAGGCCTCAACTCCAACCGGGAATATGTTACGGTTGTAGAGGCAATCTCTGCAGCTGGGGACCTATGCCCTCCCTTTATTATTATGCCTGGTAAATGCATCTTCCGTGGCTGGTTCGATAAAGCGTCGAAAGGGACCCATATAGGAGTCTCCGATAGTTGCTATATGACGGATTCCCTTGCTTTTCAGTGGATTCAGGGCTTTAACCTCTATACAAAACATCGAACTAGGGGGGATTATCGTCTCCTACTCTGTAACGGGTATGGATCCCATCTCACCTACGAGTTCGTCCAATACTGTGAGAAGCATAAGATTGTATTATTCTTTCTACCTCCTCATTCATCCCACCTACTTCAACCGCTCGATATAGGCGTATTTCATGCTTATAAGCATCATCATGCTGAGGCAGTATCCAACGCTACGTACGCTGGATGTGGGAAGTTCACTAAGACCGACTTCTTACACGCTCTATCGACTATCCGCAAGAAAACTTTCAAAAATACTACGATTCGCCATGCTTTTCGCCTAGCAGGGCTTGTACCCTGGAAACCAGCAGTCGTACTGGCTAATCTGCCAGAAATCCGGCCGTCTACACCTTCATCTACGACCTCTAGCGAGGCAGGGTCTTCAGTACTAAGTACGCCTAAGAACATCTAACGCCTTACCAAACTCGCCACAAATCTAGGATATGACGCCGTACAGGACGGCTACGGATTCACTAGGAGGCTCTCCAAATTCATAAAAGGCAGTATAGCGCAGGGTTGGCTTGCTGCAGGGTTGCAGCGGCAATTAGACGAGATAACCAGGGTTCAACGAGAAAAAGCAGAGCGAGATCGTGCCTCTAGACGGCGTGCCCCGGTTGGTGGAGTCGTCTCCAGTACTAGTCTTGCTCATATAGAGCGGAAAGAAGAGGAATTGGATGCTTTAAAAGAGCGTACTCGTCTACGTGCTAAATGGAAGCAGGTTATGGTCGAACTTGTCGACTACGCCATAGACCGGGAGATTATCATAAAGCGCCAGCGAAAGAGCAGGAATAAAGAGGAGACCTCCAGCTTTCCAACAGTATAGGAATTATTGCGATATCTTGAGTTTCCAATTTGTTATGATTTTTTGAATAATTTCATGAAAATTCGTGTTCGTTGAGATGACCTGTTCGTTGAGCTGGCAGGGTCGCCGCCAACGGCGACCCTAGAACGCTAGTAGGTGGAGGGGTCGGTTACAAGAAACCCACTTGAACTAAATTCTAGAACACTCTGTAATATTTGCCTCTTGTACCCACTTAGACTATACATATTATTATTTTCTACTCAACCCTATACAAGTCACATGTCCTTTTGCCCTGATACTTTCCATCTCGTTAAGATTAAAGAGAACTAATACAGACCATGTCCATTGTCCCTCTTCCTCCTTAGATCTGCAGGGCGGCCACACCCAAGGCCAAGCCAACCACCATGGACATCTGAGCACCGATCATTCCAGCACCTCCTTCCTCATCGGCACCGGTGGAGGATGCAGTAGCGGCATCGCTGGTCGAGCTGGCAGATCCGCTTGCAGATCCGCTCGATTCGCCCGTCTCGGCCGGGCCGTCGCAGTGCCAGTGGTCGCCATGAGGCTCACAGCCGACCGACTCGGTGGGGCTGGGAACCGTCGGAGTGGCGGTTGACTCTTCTTCCTCGTGATCGTGAGAGTGAGTCGCAGTCGAGGTGGCCGTGGCTTCGGCACTCGCGGGCCCGTCGCAGTGCCAGTGATCGCCGTGAGGCTCACAACCTACCGACTCGGTAGGGCTGGGCACAGCAGGCGTCTCGGCCTCAGACTCGGACGAAACAGAAGTGACGGTGGCTGCGGCATCGGTAGCAGGGCCTTCGCAGTGCCTATGGTGGAAGATTTAAGTTAGTCGCGATGTTCATAAACATCATTAGGGACTCGGCATACCAGTGATCACCATGGGGTTCACAGCCGACGGAAGCAGTAGGCGACGGCCCGGGGTCCTGGCTGGTAGTCTGGGCCAGGGCAGACGAGGCCAAAGCCACAATAGCAAGGATGGAATATCTCATCTTGTCGTTATGCGAGGGGCTTTGCGCGGACAGTGTATGTGTAAACTGAATTCCGTTGATGTCTGCGATGAAAAGTGACAGAAAGATGCAGGACAGATGCGAGCTTTATATCCACTCCTGCAGCAGATAATCTTCCACGGGCCCGTCACCACGTTGCTTTTTCCCTTTTACCCCCTCTGCTTGTGGACTCCTACGCCTATGATATCTGCTTGTTGCGATGCCAAGCGGAGTGGAATGGCCTTGGCGTCTCCAAGGTTCTCAGAGGATATCAACACGATGTTACATTGACTGAGGGGATATTTTGAGGATCGGGAGATATGAAATTGTAATAAGGACAAAAGTCCACTATCGAGGTTTTTCGATATCAACCGTGAGGCATAGTCCTTGGATTCCGGGAACTTATCAGCCAGTTATGCGTGCACCATTGTCACCCTTCCATCTGTCTCAAGATGCCAAGACCTGACCCTGTCGGACGCCAAGAGTGCTTGAGAACCTTGGGAGCTGGTGCATCTCTTTTACCGAAGGAGGTATTGCTCGATGTAGAATAGGCTGTGGCGGAGTTTTCCGTGGGATGGATTATCGTGCAGGGCCCTTGACCTTGATGGTGTTGGTGTCGGAGAAGCCGTCTGTTTGGGTTTCCTACCATATCACTTGGGTTTTCATTGATATCGAGGACATTGTCTATACTATGTTAGAGCACCGTTTGTCTTGCAGTGTATCTGTTCTAACATATGAAAAAGTACCCTAAAGACACAAAGTTGACACTTGCTTATTGGGACCAAACTATATCGTTCGCTAGTCGCGATTTCATAAGACATTGGTATACTAGTAAGCAAAGCCATATCTCAAATTAACTGTTCATTAAGCCTGTGTGCCTTGAATGGAACTCAAATACACGGGCCAGAGATCATTCTGGACTGTCAAATTCTCACCATGTGCAAGAAATCGGTTAACACTAGTGACTCTCCATTCATAATGGACCTCCAGGTGGTTCCTCACGAATTGCTTTTGGACCAGGCATACGGTCTTGGTATATTATGATTCCCACATTTGCGCCGCTCTTGGGAGGATAGTATTAACCCCACTTGATATTTTAAGGCTCGTAGGCTATGGTTCTGTTCCGTTGCTGGTGAATGGGTCATTGCACCATGTTCCTTCACTTCATATCTTGCAATTCCATCCTCATCCTTGCAAGTTTGTAACCCCCCACCTTTCCTATTGCAAACCAATATTCGGATCCCCCCTTTCTCTTTCAGCCTGTCTCTATGTTGGAGCTCGATGAATTCCCGGTCTCTGAAGAAAGCGAGTTCATTCTAGAGCTCATTGATTTTGGCGGGCGAGGTTTTTCTTTTTTCACATGATTCAGTCTATGACCGTCGAGGTCGTCTGCAATTACGTTTTTGAGTGGAATGTCGGTGCAGAACTTACCAGACCTATTCCTCTACCACAAATTAGGGCCAATCCGGTATGTTTGTCTTCTACCTTCCCATACTCTGTTCTTTCACTAACTGCCCCTAATCCAGGTTCCCAACCCCTTCTTTTTGGGAGGGGGAATGTCGCGAATAGGTCGTTGGACACTCGGTTCAGCGTGGAGTACGAACGGCAAAATCGTACATTGGGCTCTATGGCACATACAGGTTTACTCTATTCTCCACAGCACCGCAATCGACCACTGGAAATGGAAGAGCTTGTCAATATACTTCGAAAGACCTAAATTGCTGTGTAAGGGACCTCGGAGACCTTGTCAGAGCAAACCTGGACGGTAGCCCCAGTTAAACTCTTTGCACGCCTACTCCTAAGCCGGCATTTGAGGGACACTTAGCCAATAATCGCCAATGTACCAAACGCCCAACGTGAAATAAGCTAGGCCAGGCCTATGAGTCACGCAATGGCGACATTGAGAAATATTATTATTGATGCAGCCTAGTTGAGCCTCCGGAATAAATTTTGTTGATTATGTTTGGGGGCCAAATTCCATTCCGAGATCTTCTTTTTATTCCGCGCGGAATAGTTTGTTTCCTACATAAGCCAACATTTTGGACAAAAAAACGCAACTACAGCTCTTCACAACTTATATTTCTACAAGAACTCGCCTTTAACACATCAATCCGCTGATACAGATACCATCAACGTACCAAACCTACCCACACTGTAAAAATGTCTTATGCAATACAACCGGCGTTCCCCGCCGACGTGCCTGAATGTTTCGCCGTCGCTCAAAAAGCATATGTCGAATTAAACAGCCTGTTATACCATACGATACCTTTTTCGCCTGAGACAACGGCCCAGATGATTCAATCTCGCGTGGACAGCTTCCAGACGAACCCGCGAACACGTAACGTCAAGGCCGTGGATTCCGAATCTGGAGCCATAATCGGCTATGTACGATGGACCACGCATCCTGATGGCCAAGTCCTCGAACAGACCGTCGAAGAAGTAGTAGAGGCGAGACTCACGCCCCGGATTCCGGAGATGCGAGAAGGCGTGGCGAGGGCGATTCATACGATCATGCAACGAGATATGAGGGAGATCTTGGGAAGCAAGGAGGAGGGTGAGGATGAGAATGCGGAAGTAAGGAGGTTAATACCCCATGTGCATGTCGACGCGCTATTCACGCATCCGGATCATCAACGCAAGGGGGTGGCGAGGGCGCTCCTGCAGACTTGTTTGAGGGAGGCGGATGAGCTGGGCATCGTGACTTTCTTGGAGGCGACGCAGGATGGAAAGCCGCTTTATCTGAAATCGGGGTTTGACATCGTGCGGACGTGCGAAGTTGACCCGACGAAGTATGGGGGTGTTGGAAGACATGATCTCACGGTAAGTTTTGCCCTTATCCTCGGTTAATCTTTGGGTCAAAGATAAGTGCAAGAGAATAGGATTGCTAATGTTATCTTTTATCAGTATATGAGGAAGTTGCCGGAGAAAACCTCCAACACTTCACAATGACATCTACGAGGGATTAACTATCTCGTATGAACTAAGAGAGTTCAGTTCTAGGTCATATTGTTGTTATTCCTGTCGCAAGTAAATAAGCAAAGCTTTAGCATCGCGGCTTTTACCAGGAATGTAACGGATATTATTTCCGTGCTGATCTACAACTTGAAGCACTAAAGGTTCTTCAATCCTGATCCCAATTTGATTCTTCCGGTTTTATGTTATTCAAAGGGACTAGGCAGCTTATGCAAGGTGCATTCTCAATCAGACCAGCTAAACCAGATAGATGTCATTATTGTATTCTAGACTATGCACCGTGCACTTATACTTATCACACCGTATAGCAGGTTGATCATTAATCCGTGAAGTCTTACTCGATAATGGGAGGTCTGTGGCATTCTCCAGTCAATTGTTCTACATTCGAGGACCATCAGATGGACCCCGTAGCTGAAGAGGGGTTATTTCCATGAAATGCTCCACTTGGACCCATCTCGATTTGGACTTGTTTCTATCTACACAGTTGTCCTATTTCATTTGCACATATTCCCACATGTACTAACAGGGATCCTCCCTGAATCCGTGCCACGGAACCTTCTGTAAAATTACAACCGATTTCCATCCCATTCTAGCAGGAAAATTTAGAGCTTCGTTGCCTGCCAGAACTGCGCTTGATACGCATTCTTACTCAATCCCCGGCCATTACGGCCGTATGCCACTTCTAATCCTCGAACAGGACATCCCGGAAGAGTGATATCCCCACACGATGCCTCAGTCTCCTCGAACCGGAACCCAATCCGTTCACTAAGCGCAACTATCTCGTCGAGCGATAGTTGGAGAAACGGCGCAGTTCCATAGAGTAGCGGCCCAAGGTTAATCCACGTGCCCCCGGGGCGGAGTAGCCGGTGAATACTCTCGAGGTAAGAAACAAGATTGCGCGCAGTGTCTATGAAGAATAGCGTCACAAGCACGTCGTATTTCCCTGTGTCTTCAGTGAACGCCGTCGTGAAATCGCCTTCTATTAACAACACGGACGACGGATCGACCACTTGATCTGGGAAGACTACCGAGCGCTGAAGATCGCTTGTCGTGGCGTGATGCGACCACCAGTCAATGTATGGGTGGAAGGATGCGCTGTTCGGCGTCGACAGACTGGCCAGATATCGATATACGAGGTTCATGTACATCGACCATTCATTCATGGTCACTTCGAATCCTGACTGGTCAGCATCCCGCCGCTTCATCCAGGAAGATGGTTGAATTCTCACCTTGAAGCTGCTCAATCTCGTGCGCTAACCTCCCTACTCCAGCACCGGGGACCAGCACCTGGAGCGGCCGCTCACTTGTTCGGGGCACACGTTTCAGTGCGTCCAGGACGCATGGAAATGACTCTTGTCGTTCGTCGAACCCCTCGTCTGCCCAGTCGCGCACGAAATGCTTCATCGCCTGCGTCACGCTAGTCCGATCGGTCGACTGACCCTGGCGCTCCTGCTGTTTGATGAATTCATCCAGCTCGGCCCGAGAGATGTTGTAGAACTGTAGACCCTGCGCAACGATGTCCTTGGCTAGTTTCTCGTTCGTTTCAAGTAGATGTTCCACGGAATTGAGCTTGCGCGTGTACTGCACGGTGGATTCAACCAGCTATTTTCATTCCGTCAATAAGGCCATTCAACTGTTTACAGATCGAAGTGGAAAGCTCACCGATCGCTGCTTTTTCGACATATTCTTATACAGATCCCGCCATTTCTTCGTCTCTACTAGATGTCTCTCCTTGTATCTCGTGTATCCATGCAACGCAGTCAACAGTCTATGTCTTGGATGCGACGAGTCCCATTTCCCGCGCGACCGCTCGAGACGATGCTGTAGACGGACCTGTTCCTCGTCATGTCGAAGAGAGGGGGTCGTGTCGAGCAATGTGATGTTCGTGACGAAGACGTGAGTGATTTGCTGCTGTCGTCGCTTTTATTATTATGACTTTTCCACCTGCATATCCTAGATCTCATGACCCCATTTTATATAGACATGTCCATACCCGGAATGTAAGACAGACTTACATCGAATCGAGGTAAAACATCAACGGCCGGCTTTGCGCAAGCCAGGCATGCCAGGAACGCCAGGGACAGAGCTATCCAGGGCAGCATCGTGTATCAATCATTTCCGAAGAAAAACAGCCCGCCGGCCATGGGGGATTTCTTTCTTATTGCCTGTCATGGGAAAATTCAGGTGGAAGCGGAGACTAGCAAGGTCCTCACTCCAAGGTACTTGCCAAGTCGGACGGAGATGATGCCAAGAGAGGGGATATCTGATGGAGGGGATGGATGCCGTTCCTTGGGCATCGTCGTGCTGGTCGATCTCATGGCATGGGAGTCAGTGTTGAGATATGTCTAGGTTCGTTCAGCTTTATAATCATTGTTTCATGTCCTCGAGACTGCCATTTATGGATTTCTTTTTCGATGCTCCTATAATGTATCAGCATGCTCGGAGATGAATAGTCACGATCCATGGCATTAATGCCTTGAACCTTTTCTAAAACATTTTCGGTGAATTAAGACCAAGGTAAAGAAGTCCTGTAGTTTTCTTCGGTCGCCAGGGATCATGGTTTTGGAGCGCTTCGTTGTGTGCCTGAGGCTGCAAGGCACCCAGGCACGCCGCAATCAATTGAACTGCCCCACTGCCAGCATAAAAGCTCAAAAGGGGTTCCAATAAGCAAAAAATTAAAATAAAAATAAAAAAGCAACAATTCAAGCTCCGAACATCGTGCTAAAAATACTTTTGCCACTCTAGCTTCGGAGAGATGTGTCTCAAGATTTTGTCTGGAGAACTCAACGCCAAGAAACTGTTCTCATGCAACAAGAGTCGAGGGGAGCCGTTGTCAACAACAGTATCAAGCATATTATTTAACTAGAGAGAATCTTTCCCCTAATATTTGACTACTCCACAGTCCGCACTGATAGCGAACTCATTCGCTATCCTCAGATACACGGAGGTTACGAACATTGAGAGTGGATCTGTCTTCGAGAAACCGTGTATACGAATACGTAACCAATGAAGATTCTGACGGATCACTCATTTCATTGAACGGCGATGCAATGCATGCTATCTTCCCCACCTATCCCTCGCCATACTCCGTAGATGGATACTAGAGCGTTGTCCGGGTTATTTCTCCTGCATTCCGGCACCCCTTCGCAAGACCACCTACTGCGCTGTCCTGAGTACCAACAGACTCCGTGAAGAGCTCTCGGCAGAGTGTGTTGAGTTGATCAACCAACAGAACCACATAAAATTGCAAATCAAAATAGGGCTTAGTTTGGCCCGACCGTGAGTCTAAGTCCGAGCCCCTTAAGTGTAACAAAATGCAAATTGTAAATAACACCGTCAAGCGTGTAACCCGTGTAATTCCCGCCCAGTTATCGCCAATAGTCTAAATAGTGGTAATCTTAGCTTGACACGTTCCATGTGGAGCGACCAGGATCCTAAAAAAGCCCAAAACCCATCGAATACCGCACAGAGCACCAATCACCGGCTGCACCCCGTCCTGCACAATTTTTATTTGGCGGGTGCAGCTGCTCGGTCGTCGGGGGTCGGAGAATGGCTGTCCGACTATTGCGGTTCCACTCCGAGGAGAACGGAGCCGAAGATCTCTCTCTTTAATCTTATTGTTTTTGTGATTAGTTATATCGCCGAAGTACGGATTGTCTGAAAAGAGGTGGAAGCGTTGGATTGGGAAGGGTACTCCGGATGACGATATAGATCAGGAATAGTTGTGATCGTCACCATAGGTTGGGCAGATGAGATTGGTATTCCGTCCTGAATCTGCAGTCTAAATGTACACTGTGCCTCTGAGGCAGCTTACGGGCCGGCTGAGTAATTAACGGCCGGACGTCGTATGGCGAGGCTGAGAGACGTCGGCGGCCATCTAAACGGTGGTCTGATATCCCCTTGCCTGGCAGCGCTAGTCGTGTTTAGCGTCTTTTTTCTGCCGCAAATGACACGCCCACTTCATCTACCACTACGCACCTGTAAACCAGCATGAAATATGAATCCTTAAGCTATCTATGAGCAATTTATATCTTTCTCACCCAATGGAGGTCGTAGTGTATAGAAATCAGGCCAGCATAGCCTTATATCAGGTCTACATAAAGGAACTTTGCAGGCCTTACAGCAATATACTGTGTGGAATTGACTTGGAACAGTATAACCCCAAGCCTTCGCTCTTTGCACCTGTATAGCACAGAAATGGCACCATTTGCGAGGGTGAATCCTTTCAACCTCATGATTACCATCATAGGATGGTTAGACTAAGCTATATATTCGTTTTCTTTTCAGAGATTCCTCTGATGCTTGTTTGAATAACTCTCTATAAAGAGCTTTCCGAAATTCAAGATGAGTAATCTCCTTTATACCTCACTATCTATAAGCCATCTTTGCAATACAATAAGCATTGATAGTAGTTACATCAAGCGTCCAAAAGAAAATAGGCCACCAGGAGCGTAAACATCTTTGGTAAGTTTCATAACTTGCACGCAGTTAATTTGCTCGATCCATGCCTCCCATAGCCGGGGTATTGGGAGTTCCTTGGTAGGCTGGTCACCAAAAGGCTTACAGGCAACTTTTGCACTGGTTGAGGTCTTTGAGGGGCGTTTACGCAAGCGAGTAACCCAATCAGTTGGCTTATGTACAGTGTATACAGTTGATAAAGCTGTAACAATGCTATTATCTTGCCATGTAATGCATAGCACAGAATCAATGTCAGATTCATCAGTTGCGGAAGCTGCGTATAGGGTATTCCATGGTTGAATCTTCTTTGAATATTTTAGCATATGAAGAGCTTTTGGAAATAGCTTTTAGATGCATTTGGTCGGGTAGTACTACAAGCACCAATCCTAAGCTGCCGAAGATGACGGAATAGAGGAATAGTTGATAAGTAGTTGTCCATATAGACCGTATAGTTATTGTGTTGTGATAGCAGGCCTTCTTGCGCCAGTTGAACAACCATAGATCCAGTTAGAGTTAAATTTCCAGCCTCATGCTTTTTAACTTCAACAAGAGACTTATGGCGACTCGCCCATATCCAGTATAGAAAAAAATCTTGATCAGCAATAGCAAAGAGCCTATATCCTTGCTTTATTGGCTTATTTGGCATCTTGAAGGTATGCTGAGAACGCCCAAAGCCGCGAATCTTTGTCTCATCAATAGAGACTGCATTTTGAATAGGCTTCGCGAAGTCTGGATGCAAAAGGCTCTAGCTTATACCACCACCTCTGATTGGGTGTAAGATTAAGCCTTATAGCTTCTTGGCCTCTGGATCAGGATCCGCAACATGAAAGAATCGCTTAATTTGCTGGAATCGTTTTAATCCCATGAATCTGCGAGGCATATGAATTGGCTCCTCATCAGTCCGCCAATAATCTTCATCGCTAGGAGATATATGAACCCACATGTAGATTAGAGTTGAAGGAAATGTCTTGATCTCCGAAGCTGTAGTGTCATGCCATTCTTGTCCAGACTGGCCCGCATTCTTAGCCTTCGCATATTTGTTGGTGTTAGATGATAATGATGTAATCAGTTCTTCAGATAATATAAAGAGAATAGGCTGTATGGGCATTCAATATTCACTCCATCTGGCAATTTGACCGTAGGAGGGAAAGCTTCAGCCATTTCAAGAGGCTCAAACAGAACATCTTGGTACTGGGGTATCTCGCGAAGTATTTGTGTTAGATTTTGCTTTGCTTCTTCCTTCTTTGAAACAGGATGAGTTGGAGAAGCACTAGATAGAGCAATAGAGGAGCTATACAATAGGGGTTCTTCAACCTCTTTCAGAGGCAAACCCCAGGAATCCACGATATATGAAGACGCGATTACCACGCGTAAGGCGCGTTCTAGTTCATAGAATAAACATGCGTGCGAATATGAGGGTATGAGACTATTCCTAATTCGTATGGATGCGGTGAAGCTAACTGACCAATAGAGGTACATAATTCAAAATTACCGCTAATCGCGACCAGCGCAGGCAAAGGGATAGTTGCAGACTTGCAGTATTCCGCGGATCTACAAAGGCCAGATGAGAGTACACAGCACGTGCCGGCTTGCCTCAGGGGAATAAACTCTGATCTACTCGTATCAGATCGGCAGCGCACACGAGCAGATACTCAAATACTTGCAGGCGACTCTCTGTCTCACTTCTAACAAGAGTTGATCGAGTGTATTCCGTAGAAATCTGTTCTGCTCCGAGTATGCAGCGGAAGAGTACATGGGTCTTTCGTACGGAGTAGGGGCCAGTCAAGCTCACCGCTAGTTATTGAAGCCAAGAAGCGATGATATTGGCAGGGGCTAAAACCGTTTCAGGGTTGCAGTCAGGCGTTAAGCCAGACGAGGCTCTCACAACAACGCTGGAGAGAATACGAGGCAGAGATTTGAGACCAAGAGTCCAGGGGCAAAATTTCGATGCCACCGTGTATGCGCTAGTACCTTTATATGTCCTGATCGGGTTAATCCAGAGCTAGCCACGTCTGTACTTCCCAAGGAGGCAAGTCAAGCAGGCGATCGATGACCGTTCGGGCGGCCCCTCTGACTGAGTCGGGACGGGTCCGTACGGTATTTACGCGCCAAGACAGGCAAGGGATGCCTCAGGGGGACATCGATTGTCTACTCCGTCTGTCCAGTGCATAACTCCGTATAGGGAGTATGCCTATGGGCGCATACTCGAGAGTCAGGATCCCTTGGAGGTATGCTGAGGCGATGCCCTGGCAAACTGGCACCGGTAGGAACGAATGAGATCCAGCCTGATCGTATTCGTTTTCGCTATCCTCGCATCCTACTCTCTATCCAGTAATAACTACTCGGTCAGCTTGCCTCCGCTGACTAAGAGGATCGATGCTCTGGTTCGGAAGTCCCCAACGGTGGAGTCGGTTGAGACCAGGGGAGTCCCATGTCCGACCAAGAGGAATGTCTCAAATGAAAAGTCACAAATAATAATCACCTCGATGCTCCTCCACTCCCCAAGACTGGACGACTGGCTTCCATGAGGATTCTTTGACGGTGCACGCAGCAACCAATCTCGATACCGGACTCTGGATATCTCCCCGTCTGGCGGCTTGAGCGCTGTGTCCAAGAGTGGCGCTGGTCACTCGTCCGTGGCTGAGTCTGCGTCGAGATCCATATAAAACTCGCCTGATCACGTTGATCTTCTGGCCGGGGCTGCCCTTTTGACTCTTTGTTCTCCTCCCTTGGTCAACACTCAACCGGATCACGACTCGTCAAGCCGTGCGAACGAAAGATCCAGCATTCCAGGGCCGATACGCCCTATGGGAGAACTGAAACTACTACGACCTAGCACTTAGTAGTATCGGTGGACCCCCCGCGCCCGGATTAAATGGGTCCAAATTCGTTACGTATTGTCATTTCGCCTTCCTAACTCGAGCCAGGCTAGATTGGTTCCAAAGATCAGGGGAATTCTTATTCTTATTTGGATCGGGGATTCTAATTAAATCTGCTGGCTGCCGGAGCTCTGGCGTCTTCTCCCTCTCCTCTCCCCTCCCTCATCTCTCGAGCATCACATCATGGCGACCTCCGCGTCGCAGTCCCAGCAGCCCGACTTGGGTAAGCCTCAATTCGCGTCGCACTCATGGCTCGAACCCGTTGTAAGTCCTCACTCGGTTGGTAGCACCCGAACGATCGTCCCTATGTTAATCATCCATCGTTTCTCGCCCGCAGATTGTCGTGAGCATCATGATTGGCTCGCTCATCATGAATCGTCGTCGAAACTATAGTGTCCTGCGATCGAGAAAGACCTCCGGATTGAACGACCCCTACTCGGACGACGAGGGATATGCGGAGAATGGCTCGTGTGGGAAGACACAGACGGTGTGCGGCATCACCATCGACACACCCGACTCCTCGCGCTGGGCCCACCACGTCCACAGTCGCCTCCTGCAGAAATTCCCCTTCCTCGTCGAAATGTTCTACTGGGCCGTCAACTATCTCTTCTACTCCGTCACGAAAGCTACGTCGCAGTGGCTGTCGCCGGCCCAGATCGGCGTGGTGCAGGTCGCGCAGAACCACGGCGTCAGCATCCTCGAGTTCGAGCACAAGTCCTTCTTCAGCTTCTTCTTCAGCATCGAGGAGGCCGATTTTCAGCACTACTTTGTGGAGTACCACCCGGGCTTCATGACCTTTTTCAACCGCATCTACTCGCTCGTGCATATCCCGGGAACCGTGCTGTAAGTGCCCAGCCATTGCGCACCAGTGGATGGGATGGGAAGCTCACATGGATCATCGTATTCTCTAGGTTCCTCTCCTGGTACTACTACGCCGCCGAAGATCACAAGACGTTCGCCGTCGCCCGCCGAACCATGACACTCGGAAACCTCGCCGCGTTCATCATCTTCTGCGTCTATCCCTGCATGCCGCCGCGCCTGCTGCCCGAGTCCTATCGATTCTTTGATACCGTTCGCCAGGATCACGCCGAGAGCGTCTGGGTGGGCGGGAAATCCATCAACCAGTTCGCCGCGATGCCCAGTCTGCACTTCACCTACGCCTTCGTCATCGGGTGCACCTTCCTCTACCACTCCGGCATCCTGCAGCGATTCTACGGCCGACCCACGCGCCGGGCCGCCTGGAAGCAGATCATGTACATCACCCTCGCCATCGTCTACCCGCTGCTCGTGCTCAGCGTGATCGTCGCCACCGCAAACCACTACTGGCTCGACGCCGTCGTGGCCATCTTCACCGTCTCCCTTTGCTACCTGGGCAACCGCGTCCTGTGTCTGCTTCTGCCCATCGAGTACTGCATCTGCTGGGCCTTGCGGCTGGCCAAGCCAATTCCCACGACCGGAGACCGGTCTCTGGCCAAGTATTACGGCAGACGTGATGATATCCAATATAATCCTGTATAGGTTAGTACCGTTCGCTTCTCTGATCGTCCATATTCGCATACTAATGAGCGATCTTGAGACATTAGCGATTGTATCTCTTTGCCCTCTTCACTCCACACGCAACCTGACTCGGACAGCACTCTTCCTCGACTACGACCTCTCCATCCGACGACCCTCTCTATACCGACCTCCCAGTCAGCTTCTCTGCATACCCTACTCTCTACATATATAAATATACCCTCGTCTCTTGGAAAGCGAAACAAAAACCACCTCACAGTTGCAGGGCTAGACCTACAAAACCTCAGCCCTATATAGAGCTGCGTTCAGACAGCCTTAATCGAGGGCTTTCGTTAGGACCCTATCTCGCATCTATTGCATATATATACATAATTTTCAACGCATTCGATTAGACCTCCCTCGTATATATAATTTATTTACCTTTCATGATCATGTGAGCTTTTCGTCTCGGTCGGGCCTGTCGTGTGTTGTGCTACAGGCGTTCTTGGTGTCGGTGGTGGTCGTTTGTGAGTGATCACATGACCTCTTCCGACACTGGGGCGTTGGAAGGAACAGTCTTCGTGAATTAGAAGTAGAAGCTGTACTGATTATATATAACTAGACTATAATCAGGAAGTACATGGTACGTCGCATCTGATGACATCGCTATTAATTGCCTGTCAATAGCCCATGGCCTGTGCATGTGCACAGCAGTAGTGTCTGTTTATGATGGTTACACGCTCACAACTTTAATCTTATACTTATTTTCTATGCGACTGATCGGCAGTCTTTTCTGGATTGCTTGGTAGCACTCTTCTCAGCTTTATAGGACAGACATGGCATCGCTCGACATCCTCTTCAGATTGTGAAATGGCATATACCTACTCTGGTGGATGTCATCATGTATATATAGCCTCCATCTCTGGGACCCTGTAGTTAATCTGTAGTGTTTGAACACACTATAAACACTTTCCGGTTGACTGACTTGGGATACTAACCCTCTAGATGTATTTTTAGTTCATTTCCTTTCGTATCGCTAGCTTGTAAGCTATACATTCTCAATAGACATTCACGCATTGGGAAAGATGTTCGACTCGAGGAAGGTCTACATGATTTCTATATCAGGTACCATGTAAGCCCAAAGATCCACGATCGAGATAGTTCGAAGTATTTGTGCCTGTAGAGTTTGTTCATTTCTTTGGAGAGATGATCTTGAGAAAGACCGCAAATGAAAGTTCATAGTTACCCAACAGTAGAACCGTCATCGAATTCCCCGTGCCTCGCAAAAAACTCCAGATCTGGCGATGGAAGGGCGCTTCTTTGCATTATACCCTAGTATATGCGTTGGCAATGTCCCAAATGACCTATTGGAGCTTTTATTTTTCTCACTCATTTAACTGGGTATAAATGGTATTCGTACCTAATGTATCATTGTTTCTTCGAAATGTGCGTTGATATCTTGAGTGAGGTGCATTGCCTCTTAAGACTAAGCACAATCTTTCTCTTAGGATGATGATATGCGTTTGCTTGATCTCCTTCTAGAAGAAAAGAAAAGAAAAGAAAACTGTATTGTCATGTTCTGGTCCCCGTTAGATTGTTGAACTTGACATGAATCTGGATAGGTAGAAGCGGACCTGATGTCAAAGACGAGGGGAATTCCGCGGCGATTTCAAATATCGACATTGTCATACTAGCAACTCGAAATCTACACTATATAGACTGTTTAGTATATAGACAGAAGCACAGCAGGATCAATTGGATTGAACTGTCATCGAATAGATCTCGTCCAGACAACGCAGCCCTGCCGGCGGGTCATTCTTCCCTCTCGACATCTAGATCCAATTCACCGCTTTCTTGCTCAACAGCCCGAATCTAGGTCTTATTTAAAATATCATGTCAGGTGAATCTAGTACCTCGGTATGTATGGATGAACGTATGTCCAGACAGACCCTGGTGAATCCGTCGAGGTGCATTTGCCTTCACTATCACGAGACATGGCTTCGGATCCGGCGGCGTTGGAATTGTAATTTCCTCTGCATCTGGATCCGATATCAGATTATTCAATCAGTGACAAAGATTGATTCCGCAAGCCTATTAGAGTCAGAGAGTATGGTGTCACCGGATGGAAACGTGAATGAATCTCACCATCTCGATATTTAGCTTACTTCATTATTTCTCCTGACAGGGAGGGACGGAGACAGAACAAAGAAAACTAAACTAGAATTCAAGAAAAGTCAATTACCTAGCCACACCCGCCTTTTTAGACAAGCTACCGGCCCCGGCCTGGCTGTCACTCTTAAGCATATTCCTTTATCTCTAAATAAGCCTTCCCCTGACCATCCTACCTTACCTTTCCCACGGTTCCTACGGTCCCTATGGACGGTGTGGTACTAGATGCAACAGACAGACAGACCCGCGGAAATCAAAAAAGGAAAAAGTAACCATCAGTTAACTCAGTCCGAATCCCAACTCAACTCAATCCAACCTAACCCATCCCACCGTCTCGACCTAATGTGCATGTACATGTACGGCACAGTCCACCACCCTGCAGAGTTGTATTCTGGAGGTATTCACGACCATCACGAATCAGTCGGAGATGTGAATGTTTGTGTCGCACAGTGACTGGATAGCGTGGTGATGATGCACGGTGGGTGTTAGGGCTTTTTATTCCCTGTCTTGTCTAGTCTATGCAGGGAGGGAGTGGGGATACGAAGTGATTGTGATGGAATGGCAGTGAATAGTAGACAGGGCGTGAAGGAAAGAAGAAATATCGGTATGGGGAGTGAATTGTAATTTGACTTTGCTGGACTTTAGGGCTGATGAGGAAAGTATCGTTGCGGGAAAAGATGGTAGATGGTAAGGTAGGATGAAGGTAGGATGGACCATGTACACCGGACAGAAAGGTAGCAGGAAGTGTGAAAGTGTGAATGAAAGTGAAAAGGAGGGCAGGGATCGGGGATCAGGGGGTTTCTGTCTGTTTTCTTTTTTCTCGGTTTCCTTTCCTTTCCTTTCTTTTTTCTTTCAAGCCATCTGATGATCCATGATCTGACGAAGGCTTCTCTTTCTCTGACTTTCTTGATTTATCGCAGACTTTGCGTTCGGTCATTTCCGGGTTTCTTTTCTGTATAGACTTTTCGTCCTTCACTATACGTATGCATGTAACACTTGGGATCTACACGTCAATTCACTGCTAGATGATCACTAGACCGATCGATCTACAATCTCAGATTCAATAATCCGCTCCATCCGGCCCCTTCCTGCCCATATGTCTAACTGTACTCCGTCCATCTCGAGCTGAGGCTATCGGACATGCGCGCGATAGTGGGGGCAATTATGGGTCGTGGTGCATGGATTTGCAACTGGCGCGGAGGGGTTCGCTCGATCTTTTACCCCTCCGAAGTTGCATTCTATGGCGGCGTGACGGCGACGGTTGGTCATTGGCCGAGGGGCTCAGAATTTCAGCCAGATTTTAGTTCAAAGGATCTCCTAGATTTAAATAGTACGTCGACTCAGCTGGATGGATGGACCGACACAGCCGTAAACCGGTTCGTGGCCGACGGAGAAGGCAGTTCGGCTCAGCGCGTCATGGCGCATTGTTCCTTGGCTTGGCTCTATCATATGCCGTTGTCAATGCCTATGTTCAGCGAACTGACATGATCGGTGCGAACGCCGAGTTGATATCCAGCAGGTTTAGATCCGAGTTCAGGTTCAGGTCCAGATTCAGGTACCGGTACCGACCGACCGACCAGGTCCTGACCCTGGCCGGGGACCCAGAAGGCAAAGAAAAGAAAAGAAGACTGTGATAGCCAAGAATTTCTCAAACCTCGTTCTCACCTGAGGCAAGTCAAGCGATGTGATTGGATTAGACCCCATTCGAAAGGAAACTGCCCACGAACAAGTAATCAATCAGCGTTGATCCGAACGGTGCCTATGCCTTTGCATCGCATCGCAGCGCATGGAGACCGAAATCCGACCAACGAAACACTGTGCACGGAGTTAAGGCGGGGGGATTAGAAATCAAGAAAGCTAACGCTAACGGGCGACAGCCACAGTGACGAGATGACAAGATGACAAGACGACAAGATGACGATAGCATGCACAGACACCGACAGAGGCACGAAAAGACATGGGTACAACAATCGCATTGCCACGGCTAGTCCAGCCAGCCTAGATGGAATCAACGGACATGATTGACCAGCATGGATTGCCTTAAGCTGAATCTCGCCCAGCGCTTATGAAGTGGGGAGGAGGACATGGCATGGCATGGCATGGCACGCGCCGAAGCGGACGAACAGGTTCGTTCTAGTCCGTAGCAGTTCAGGCCGAGATGGATGAGAACCAGACTAGACAAGACGGGATTAGACCAGACGAGGTCAATCCACTTAGGATAGAGGGCTTAGATTGCGAGACCAGGCGCTGCGTCCCCTTCGTGTCAATCTTCCCCGCCGTCCGTCTGGGGAATCGGATTGGACGAGGGTCGAGCGATCGGGATCAGCGCCCAGCTGGCCATTGCATCGCATCGTCTTATTGTTCACCTGCCGGGATAGGTATGGTAGACGTTTGTTTTCCAAGAAAAGAGAACAATCTGATTATCTAGTCTGATGGTGGAGGAAAAGGGACACCAATCCGACGAGGTCAATCGATGTTGGAGACCTGCGGCACCGCCTGTTCGGGAATAGTTCCTAGCAGGGGTTGAAAACCATTGCGAGGCCTTCGCTTCAGATGACTGGAGAGACTAAAAACTAGATTACGGCTGAGATGTGATTCCATGGTAGGTCAAGTGGCGGTGCGTTCGTGGTGAAGGAGGGGGGATTGAGAGAATCCACTATCAGGAAAATGGAACTCTCCATTTTCCAAACAGACACCGGAATCTTCCACCATTGGCGCCAAAAAGCTAGGAAGCTAAGCAAAAAATGAAAAATGAAAATAAAATTTAAGTGAAAAAAAAAGGAAAGGAGGTGAAGGAAGTCTTTGTTCCTCAAGTGAAAACAGAATCAGCAGGGGTCATGGTTTCCCTGGGAGTATAAGAGCCGCAGTCTTTCTTTCTACTTTGATCTGATCTGAAAGCAATTCCTTCCATCCCACTGCCTTCATTGATGCGAAGGACAGGCATCTTTGTTCAAACCTTTCAGCATCCCTGCTATCATAATGGTTCATGCTATTGAAGACGAGAAGGCGGTCCTTTGTGCCGCCGAGCAAAAGTATGTCGGTCACAGGACCATGGGTGGTATCCTGGACTCTTACCCCGAGTATCAGAGCACCGTGGTGCTTGATAAATTGCGGGAGACCGAGTACAGTTACCTCGACGAGCAAGACCATCTGTACCTGGACTACACCGGCGCCGGACTCGCCGCCAAAGCACAATACCATGAGCACGAGGCCCGTTTGACCAGCCAGCTCTTCAGCAACCCGCACTCGCTCAATCCCACCAGCGAGGCGTCGACACAGTTGGTGGAGAGGGCGCGCATGCGCGTGCTCGAATACTTCAATGCTTCACCCGAGAAATACACCGTCATCTTTACGCAGAACGCAACCGGTGCCGCGCGCCTGGTGGGCGAAGCATATCCCTTCCGGCGCAACTCGAAATTCGTTCTCACCTTCGACAACCACAACTCGGTGAATGGGATCCGCGAGTTTGCCTGTCGAAACCATGCGCGCACAGTGTACGTCCCCACCCAGGCTCCGGACTTGCGGGTCGACCCGACAGCGCTGCTGTCAGCACTTGCAGGTTGGTGGCCCTGGAAGCGAGACACCACGAAAAATAGCCATCGTAAGCGTGGTCTCTTTGCATATCCCGCGCAGAGCAATTTCAGTGGGGTACGTCATCCGCTGGAATGGGTCGACCTGGCGCAGAAATGCGGCTACGACGTGCTGTTGGACGCCGCCGCTTACCTACCCACAAAAAAGCTGCAACTTTCGGACGGGAACCCGCAGCCCGAGTTTCTGATGGTGAGCTGGTACAAGCTGTTTGGATATCCGACGGGTGTGGGGTGTCTGATCGCTCGTCGCGATGCTATCGCCCGGCTGTCGCGTCCATGGTTCTCCGGAGGGACAGTGTCGGCCGTCACCGTCGGCATACCCTGGCATACTATGGCGCAGGATGAAGCCGCGTTCGAGGATGGCACCCCCAATTTCCTGTCCATTCCCGACGTGCATTTCGGACTCGACTGGCTAACACGCGTTGACGTGGCGGTGATCGAGACCCGGGTGCGCTGTCTGACGGGCTGGTTCTTGGACCGCCTGAAGTGCCTTCGCCACACCAATGGAGCACAGATGATTGAAATCTATGGACCACAGGACAATAGGTCGCGTGGGAGCACGGTGGCTTTTAATTTCATCGACGTTACAGGCAAGGTGGTGGACGAGCGACTGGTGGCGTCCGAGTCAGCCGCCGCGCGAATCTCGTTGCGCACCGGCTGCTTTTGCAACCCAGGAGGTGGTGAGACCGCGTTTGGCCTCGGCATGCAGGCGCTTCGTCCTCTCTATCGCATTTCGAAGACGATATCGGTGGACGATTATGTCAGATTAGTCGGCCTGTCATCCGCCGGGGCAATTCGTGTTTCTTTCGGACTGGCTTCCACCACCACCGACGTTGATCGATTCATGTATTGGGCCGAACACACTTATCGAGACCGAGAGACTCCAACGGCAGGATTTCCCCCTCGTGGTCATTGTTAGGAATGTTTGGAGGAGCAAGGTCGTTTGTTTTATTTGCCTAACTGGATGCTGACGACGAGGGAAAAATGCTTTAGTGTAGATAGTTATTCCAGTGCGTGAGATTCAACAGAATGAACTTCGTGAGCAGCTCGTCAGTACAGAAGAACTCGTATTTAGAGTTCCGTCAGAATGCACGTGATGTGTCGAGTATGCATGGAGCTCGTTGCCACCGGTTGAAGATTACTCAGATCACTCTGCCCTGTAGCCATATCCTTTGTGTCGGAAAAACATATCCGATCCCTTGGGGCAGGGATGTGCGCAGGACGCAAATATAGTCATTAACAGTCCCTCTGGTTCATGTGGCAGACATCAAGACGGATGAGTGCTCACTGGAGCGTCGGCAGGGAGATTCCCAACCGCATATATCCGAGTGTCGTTTTTCACGATATTCAACCAGACCAGATTGTCGGCTGAGGTTTGATCCCAATCATCTTCGCTCCCGTAGACGAGTCTCCGGGCTTCGTTCTGAATCATGTGGTCAGACGGGAAAAACCCGTTCAGTTTCTGCCGGATAATATACTCGACGAGGTGATCGTGCAGCAGCTGAAACGCCTCGGGGTGGTTATTCGCCCACGAATTGTGCCCGAACGCCAGTTGCGAGTCCTCCGGGAGGAAGGTCGGTCTCCAAGGCTCCAGAGTCACGGATTCCTCGCCGATGAGATACGGCGGCATCGCGTTCTTCACGAGGTCCTGGACCTGGGGCTCAAATCCCCAGTCGCCGTGCCATTGGAACATATCGCAGCCGGCTTTGAAGTGGGTGGCCAGGTGATCGTTGCGTTCTTTCCAGGTGGTGAATACCGAGTCACAGAAGCCACATCGGGATCGCACCTCTTGTGTCGATACGCACCAGCTGTCCATGTATGGTTGCAGCTCGGTGCTGTGCGTGAGCTTCAGATGCTGCGCAAGATGGTCCTTTCGGTTGAACATTCGGTCTTGTGGGCGTTTGCCTTGGCAGATGCTATAGTCGTGAGACTCGGTGTGGTCCAGGTCGGGGTCGGTGATACCGCAGAAGACGCAGATAGTGACCTCGTTGACTACCATGGTGGCCCCGTGGGGAGCGCAAACCCACTGGTCGAGGTTCAAGTGGATGGACTTCTCGTGTCGCTGCCAGTCATATTTTGTGGTGAAGGTCTGTGTGCAAAAGGTGCATCGGAATGGTCGCTGTTTCTTTCCCTTCACCTTGTCCTCGGCCGGTTTCTTCTTGTAGCTGCGGCGCTTCGAATATCGCTGTCGACTTTTGCTCCGTGGTCGCGACTGGCGCGGACCGATAGATAAGTGATCCGTGAAGAGGCCGGAAAGCGAAAGATCCGAGGCCGAGGAGTAATTCGAGTCCGAGCTGCGGGCGGATGCAGCGCGTGTCATGCTAAAGTCACTATTAAAACTCGAAATGCTGCTGGACTTGCGATGCGCATAGCCCTCGGACGGAGAGCCCACGGCGGGGTTCGATCCCATCTCGTAGTCGCTGGGTCGATCAACCAACGCTTGGTAGACATCCGACAGCGATGCGGGCTCATCCTCCGGGGGTGAGTTTTGCCATCGTTCCAGCGGTGTCCAAGACAAGTTGTTGTCCAAGCTCGACCGACCACTGGAGGCTTCGTGGGACTGCACGTCCGAGGACGCGGAGGAGTTAAGGAAGCGTTTCCGTTTTCTGGCGTTCGCCAACCAGTTGCGAATCTGTGTTTTTGACAGACCCGTCTTCTCCATCAGATAGAGATTGTCGGCCCCCGTGGGGTAGGGATCATCTGAATTATTGGCCAACCAGCTGCGCAAGACCCGAACTGCGTGCTTTGGCAGTCGTGCGCGGCTTCTCTTGCCCGGTCCCGAAGAGTCGACATCCTGGTCGTCATTCTCTATGCTGGATAGGGAGATTTGATCATGCTGCGGGAAGCAGATGTCCCGAGGCTCCGAAGTCGGAATGTCTATCGCCACGGACGGTTGGTGTTCAGAGTCAGATGCATCAACAGAGCCGCGGTCGACGTCCTTGATGTATGCTGACTGTTCACTGATTCCAGGGCCATTAATGTTCCCTCCTGGGATTAAGAGGTCCGAGTTAGTGGCATGTTTAGCTACAAGGTGCACGCGTCCGCCCCGGGCGTGTTTGCGGAAGGCGTCTTACCGGAAGCCTCGCCTGAGGCATCAACCAAATAAGCGCCTGAGTCGATCGAGGCGGCCTCGAAATTGAAGAACTCCATGACCAGGAACTAGAGAGCGCAGGCAGTACGCTCTAAAAGTCAACCGGAGAATGTGGGGCGGGTTCAAGGCGCATTGTGCGAGACAAAAGATGAGTCAAGTTCGAGCATTTCGATCGGACTGCGTATACTTCCGCTGACAAAGGGCTGGGCACGTGAGCTGACGGGCGGAGCCTCGGAGGAATGTACGACCGAGGTCACGGGGTGACTGCCTTCTCAATTGGGATACTCCTGATTTGGATTAGTCTCGCCTTCCGCTTTGGGATTGGACTGCCGAGGATTTACCGAAATTACTTAGAGAGGCCTCTTCCATCAATCAATTGCATCTTCAATATCATTAAGGTTTTGATCATTTTCACTGCTTCCAGTACCTTAGATTCTAACATTATCTCCAAGTTAGTATCTAGATGATCGAATAGTGAAATTAGTGATATATATAGAAAAAGTGCATTGGTATCTCTTCATGTTCGGACCTATTCCAACCCTTGTCTAATAATGGATATTTAGCCCATCGGACCAAGAAGAAATCTCACAGAATAATATGTCTCCCTTCGAAAGAGGAGTTCCAAGTTCAGCACAGAATCTCTGACGATGGAATCTACAGCAAAACCATTATCACAGCCGTCATCACAGCCATAACGGCATACAAAGCAAGCTGGAAAGATCCAACGGCAACGGCAGTACCGGCCGTGTTGGGCGCAGCGCCGGTCGATCCAGATGCACTGGCAGAGGCCTTGGAAGAAGATCCCGAGCCGGCAGTAGCGGTGGGCTCCGAAGTGACCGTTCCGGTGCCCGCAGTGCCCGCCTGGCTCATGAGGGACTTGCAGCTGCCGGTCTTGCTGGCGGCCGAGGTCGTCGTGGCCGATCCACCGAAGCTACAGGCCGAGGCAGCGGAGTTCTGTTCGCCGTAGTACTTGTTCAGGGCGAAATTCAGCTGCTGCTTCGAGTTGCACATGCCGTAGGCGCCGTACTTGCCCGTCGTGGCGTTGGCAGTGAGTCCGTCGCAGTCGGTGTACCCGCAGACCACGCTGAACAGGTCAGAGTATTTGGAGCTGGCGAGAGAGTCTTGGACGACACAGCCAGCAGAGGCCGCCATGCAGTCACACAGCTCCTCGTTGGGGGTAGGGGGGAGAGGGGTCTGCTTGGCCATCCAGGCGGTGTTGACGGCGGGGCAGCTCTGCAGCGCCGAGTTGGTGGGGGTGTAGGAAGCCTTGTTCGTGCCGGAAGGAGTGGCGCTGGCGATCTCACTCGAATAATAGGTGAAGTCCTTCAGCTTACTGACGCTGGTGCTGTCGACGACGGAGACAAGGCCTATTCCTCGTGAGTATGATTGATGACCACCGGGGTCACAGCACTTACCGTAGTCGTTCTCCTCTTGGAAATACATATAGACGATACCACCAGACCACACGTCGTTCATCTTGTCACCGAACAAAGCCTTGACCTCGGTGAACTTGCGAGGCGAGACGGAGTTACAACCGTACTCGGCGAAGAAGACAGGCACGGAGTAGTTGCGGAATTCGTCGGTGCGGTCCTTGTAGCCGGACTCCTGGTAGGTAGAGTCACCACACCAGGAATAGATGTTGTATCCCCAAAAGTCAATACTGTCCTCCTCGCTCTCGCAGTCAAAGTAGTTAGCCATGTGAACTCGGATACTCGAGTCGTCATTCGTCGCGTATCCCACGCCCAGAGAACGGTAGTTCTTGCGCTTAATGTACGACTTCATGTCACGGACGGCGGCCTTAACGAACGCACTGGCGTCGGTTGTCTTGACGTTGTTGGAGACTTCGTTGCCGGCAAAGAAGCCCAGAGTGTTATTGTACTGAGCCATCTCGTCGATCACGCTGGTGTAGCGGTTGTACAGCGACACCTCCCATCGGGGATCGTTGCGGTCGATGGACTGCGAGGGGGACGACAGGTCCGAAATCACGTAGATGCCTGCGTCGGCCAGCAACTGCATGCACTTCTTGTGGTCGGCGGTCGGGTCGATGGCGTAGACTCGGATGGTGTTGGTGTTCAGCTCCTGCATGATGGGAACGTCACGCTCGCAGGCAGTAGCATCGGCCAGGGGATCTTTGTAGGTGTTGCTGCTGTCGGTGGTTCCATTGCTGGAGTAGTCCTCTGCTCGAGTTAGACGTGGGGGTGAAGCTGAAGTGAAGTTGACATACGCTGGTAGGCAACGCCGCGAATGTAGCTTGGGATGGTCAGTATAGAATGAGGTAGCCAGTGAAGAGAACTTACAATTGGGTATTGTTGCCGGAGTAGAAGAATTTCGAGCCCTACGCAAGTCAGACAGGTTTCGTCCACGTAGACGACGATTCTACCTTGATCACGATGGGATCGATATCCGCCAGAGCAAGGCCCAGAAGGGTTGCTCCAACGGCGAGAGAGAGCTTCATAGCGAACACGACTGGACTCTTTACACCCCAGCAAACTTGAAAATGGTCGAGAGAAGGAAACAAATCTAAACGAGCGTCGAGTTGGGGGAGAATACGGAATGGAACAAAGAACGATTGGGAAACGGAAGGTCCAATGGACTTGCATTCAACAACGGGGAACAGGCCATATAACCGCTACGAAATGACCTCCTCAGGAGCCATGCCACCATGATTCCACCGTGATTCGGTACCAACAGCCACCGTCTCATTATGCTTTCTCCGAGAGTTGAAATGTCTGCCTGAAGCCCCGCCGCACCGTGGAACGCGTCACTAGCCAGAAGGCATAGACGGTGGTTGCCAGACTACGTAGACTTAGACCGATACGAGAACGCACTAGTAAAGGGAGACGAACAAGCCGGTATCCGTCGGTGTGGCAGATAGCGGACGTGGTTGTGTGGGTTGTCTGGGAGATTGTGGGACGAATACTATCAAGTCCAGTGTGGTTTAGTCGAGGCACTTGGGAAGTCGAAGAAAACTAGCCGTGGATAGCGAGTGGATGCCTGTGGATGCCTTATCTCCGAGCAAGAATCTTTATCCCCTCGGATATAGCCCGGTGGGGACACTCATTTCGCTCGGCTCCATTATCGTGGGTTGTGCAGAACCGGTTGGACGAAAGAATGGCTGACGTTGAATCTAAACTTACTCTCCAAATCAGCATCCACTCGGCTCATGCTTAGTGCTCCTGGCGCAAGAAAGTTATATACCAAGCTTTCCCCCATGGACTGGGAGCCGAATCGATCGGACCAACCTGTCAGGCTTTACCATCGGTCTAGGCTACGGCATATGCATGATGTCGTCGTGGTCCATCCAAGCAGAATATCTTGACATTGAAATTGACATCGAGATTGACATCGAGATTGAGATTGACAAAAGAATCCGCAAATTTACATCGCTGATAAACATTGCTAATATCACAGTAAACCATACCCATCACGCCCTTTTCCCGGTCGGTAAACGCATTACGCCATCGCGTTCTCCTTTCGTCGTCGGTCGATGGCCGCCTCGAAGTTCTTGATGGTGTCTAGCGGGCGCTCGAATCGGGGACGCGTGGGATTCGTGAGGTCGGGCTCAGCTGGGTCCGTTAGCTGGGGATCATGAAGGTGCGCGCAGTCCAACTTACTGATGATTTTGCCCTCGGCGTCGCGGTGCTGCATTGAGCGCAGGGAGAACAAGTCGGAGGCTCCGACATTGGCCACTGTGTTGATTAGACCCAGTCCATAAAATGGGAGGAAAAGGACCTACTTGGCTGGGCTTCGTTCAGGGCCTGGTTGGGGTCGGCCTTGCTGGAGAGCGAGGACTTCTTGTAGGCCTCGTGAGACCCGATGGAACCGGTGCGGTCGCTGGAAGCGCGAGAGGAAGGCATTGTGCAGGGAGATTGGGAGGGAGTGTATGTGACAGGAGTCTATGAAGTAGTGCACTGTAGGTAGTCTGCAGGGTGCAGGATGTATCCTGTGGACTGTATCTGTACTCTGTAGGAGGTACTTGATCTAGAAAAAAATGTGGGGACGAGAGAGAAGTCCGTGGTCGACCAGGGGTATATAAGCAGAAACGTAAGCAGTCAGCAGTCAGCAGAAAGCACTCGCTGCACCTGAATCCGACCAGCTCCCGGGGGCTATATGTAAATCGATTGGAAGCCATCAGCAGCCACCGTCCGACACTCCGGATAAAAAAAGAAGCAGCCAGACCAATGGCGATCGGGACTCGTGCGCTCACCATTTCTGACGCGGCCGGACCGTCCGGCGTGACGATAGCGGTCCACTGGTGATGCTCTCACTGGCCACCCTCCCGCCAAGCTTCGACTAATGCAGCGATTCCAAGGCTTAGCCACGGGGGACTCTCCAATGCGAGGGAAGGGCCGCGCAAGCCCTGGAGCACCTCGAGGGGGGCGGAGTTCCGTGGCGACTGCATGGCGTTCTGAAACTTTAGGCTGCCGTGATTTGGATTGGTTACGTTCCTGTCCGTTCCTGCAGGTTCCTGGCCCAGACCTTCTGGATGCGGCCGGACCTTTCAGGGCATATGATTATTATTATGAGTAATACACAACCCTCCAAGTCTGGGCCGCAACGGATCTATTAATATCCGTCGCAGCACCCAAGAATGAGAATGAGGCTGGTCGCCGTTCTGGGTTTGCTTACGGAGTGTCCCTGGCACGTGAATCCCCTGACTAATTCGACCATCTCGGCCTTCAGATGGTTCTGTCCTTCAAAGGACTCCAGATTCTCAGATTCACCTTCTCCATCCGTCACGTCAATCCCTGCCCTACCGAGGTCCCTCCCGTCCCGCCGATCTGCCGTCTTATGTCACGTCCTGTCGTCATGCCATCTCACGTCTTGATTGCAAGCGTCCCCCCATCGACATGGCCAGTTGATCGATCCAGTCCTCTGAGGTGATTGTGTGGCCTCTTCTTGGCCTTCTTGGCCGTGACGGTCGTATTCCAGCTCCTGGATGCTGCGGACGGCCGGCAGAGTCCACGAAGGAACGGCAAAGTCGGCCGCCGATCCTACAACGCGCCGCCAACTGCTCCCGAAGCGCAATCGCCAACTCAATGCCCTATAGGGATGATCTCACAATGCGGTGCACAAAGTCTAAAGGAATCGGCCCTCTAATAATAGTATCCATGCCTCGTCGCATGGGCTCTTCCTGGTCCTGATCAGCCGGCAGCGTGCCTAGCTGTCGCTGCAGATCTCGCAGCCGATCGACGCTGTGACGCAGCTCCAAGACCAACGCGTGTCGGGACGAAGGATCGTCCCGTCCCCTGTCCCGCCGTCGCTCTCGTCGCGCGATCGCAATGAGTTATGACGTGCGTTGGAAATATCCCGGACACAGCACCGTCTCGTTAAATGCCCGTTCTACGATCGCTCCCAACCGACTTCCTTTCCCCTTAGGAGTCGGGCCCAGTCCGTCGAACATCTCATATACCCCCAGCATCACAGCCGTCGTGAGCACCGTGTCGGAGGCAACCATCGCCGGATTCCCCAGGAGACGCCCCAGATCTTGTAACTTGCGGTTATAGAGGTCTCAGCTGGTGGCTAGCATGGTCGGGTCGTTCTGTCGTCGCACCAGGAACCACGTGTTGATGCAGCGCTGGCACCAGATCACGGCCGGAGAGCGCGCAGCGGGATGACTCCAAATGAAGTCGGTCCAGCTGGGCTCACATCGTGGGCCGAACGTGGCGTACGTGCCTGGGAAGGTGGCCTTCACGACCCGTGTGAAGACGTCTTTGCCTTGGAGACTCAGGGCTGCGGCCGTCAGGTTGGGCGCCAAGGCTTCGTCCATGCTAGTCTTGTGGGGGCGTCTGGAGATGGCGTTCGAGGTATGCGATGCCGACGAGGGTCGGGCATGTTGAAATGCGACCGTGTTAGGGGTTTCGTTGTAGAATTTCAACTGCCGTGTGTAGCCAGGATATTCCACCCCCCAGCGTCGACAGCGAGTGCATGCTGGGCGGGTTTGATTGCACTGTCGCGTAGAACTCTTCGCTTAGCAGCCACCCAAGTCTGCTTTCAAAAGAAGGCGGAAAAGGGAGAATAGGGGACCATTTACCTTGACGCGTCGGTAAACTCATGCATGGCAGCCTCTATTGCGTGGCGCGCCTACCATGGAGCATTCGACTGGAGGGCAGAAGAGGGTAAAGAAGGGTCTCGGTCGCGATAGCCTTGATTAATGGGAGGAGCTGTAGCAAGATTGGGTGAATACGAGGTGTCTGACTCACTCCAGACTTTGGATTTTGGACAAGTTGTGCATGGTTCATCTGGGCGCCAAGACGGTTGGAGGGATGAAGTTACTATTTAGGTAAGTGATAAGAATTCCCAGGTAGGGGCGTTTCTGTAGTTCGATGCTTGACTTTGGAAATTTTTGAATATGCATAGTTAGATGGAGCAGAGTGCATTGACTGTCCGAATGCGGAAAATTATTTCTCATATCAATGTAGGCTGTACACCATTATGAAAATTCTATATCAAGCATCTCAATTTGACTTTCAATTCTTGAATGTTTGTTCATTCCTCCCTATATCACCTATAGTTAGCTACTCGAGCTTGTTGTGTTACTGTATGTCATTATTACTTCCAGTGAACCCTTATCTAGATCCATAATAGGCAGTCCAAATCCACAGATTCACGGAAACGTTGGCTGCACGTCCCATTGTTCGTGAAGATGGCCGCCTGATAGCTACCTACAAGATGATGTAGAAATGTAGTCATCTACCGCGGAATTTTCCTCTCACTCGCCGGAAGGAATCATGAATCGCACTTGCTTCACCTCACTTCTCAGACTGGCGAAGTCCACCCAGACAGTCGACGCTCACATTCACAAAAGCTTCCATACCATGTCTGTTGCTAGGACCATGCTTATCATGCACCTTACCCTTCGCATTCATATCCGATCTAGTCCCTACTGCATCACCTTCCAGCCTTCACCATGCCACCTCTTAACGAACGATACGATCTCGCCGGCATCCTCCCACTATTTACCTACCTCCATGACATAGACGATGCCATCCACCTGGCCCGGACCTGCAGGGCGGTTTACACCGTGTTTGACGAATACTACACTCGAGCTTGGATCTTTCGCTGTATTATCGTATGTTTACTCTTCCTCTCTCTCTTGCTTTCTCTTGCTGTTTTCACACATTCGATCACCTCCAAACTAATCCCGTCCAGAGAAACGCCTCCCACCACGAACAAGACGCCCGTCTCTCCGGCATCCAAATCCTCCGCGACACCTTCCACTGGGGCCGCATCCCCGCCGACGCCTACCTCCTCCGCAAAGACTTCCTCAACGGCTTCGACTTCGAACTCGATGCCGAGAACATTTTCGCGATCGTCTGTCGCTGGCACGCCCTCCGCACGTTGTTTACGTTGTACTGCGACAAAGCCATCCACCGGATGTACACCACAGGATGGAAAACTTTCTGGGATCAGGACTCGCTCGTCAAGGAGGGTTGTCTCGGCGATACAGATCCGTTACCGAGGTCGCCATCGACGACGGCAGGATCTCAGCGCAAGATTATTCGCATCTCACACGATCAGCGCCGTCGTGGGTACCGTCGTTTCTACAAAGCCTTGATATCGCACTGGTGCGCCCTCGAGCATTTCTACCTCTCCCGTGTCTTCGTCTACCCGGACGACCTGGAGCGAAACGCATTTAATAATCTCGCGTCCATGAAATGGCGATATAACCCGCACCGCCGGCTGTCTGATAAATTGGACATTCTCGAAGTCACGGACTTTATCTGGGAGTTTCTGCCTAGGAAGGTCTTCGATAGCGAGTCCCCGGATGCGTGGAACCCCGACGATCCCACGTATCTGGTCGAGCGCATGTATCTGCTTCGTCCGCCGCAGATCATCCAGTTCGTGGATCTGGCGCTTCGCGTGACGCCAAGGCCGTTGCCGAATCGGATCGCCTTGTTCGATGACTTGATTACGGAGTATCATCGCTTTGATGGGCTGAGTGAAGGGCTTGAGGCGGAGAGATACTGTTTGATGGATTTGGAAGACGAGGTCGCGCATTATATTTACCGGTCTGGTGTGAGGGGGAAGGAGTTGGCGTTTGTGGAGGAGAATAGTAGGGAGGCCGTCACCGCTTGGTATCGGTATCGCGGGCAGGCGTGGTGGTTGGATTCGAGAGGATGGATTCTGTTTCGGGCGGAGGGGCCGAGAATGTTGATGACGAGGATGTTGGAGTCTATCGATGTCAATTAGTACAGGTACGGTAGATTTGTGGTCTTGTTTGGTTGTTTTTGTCTCGGCGTTTGAGCTAGGCGTGCTGGTGGTTATTGAGCGTTGCTTTTCTTGTGGTTGTTGTATGGCACTTAAAAAGTCTCTAGATCGTTGATTGTGTGCAGTATTGCATACTGGCCAGGAATTAATATATCGCAGGAATGAAAGTTAATGTGACAATCCAGGCAAAATGGCGTAGGTAGAATCCAAGAAAGCAAAGGTCACAGATATGAAGATTATTCTATCAGCGAGAGACTATATGTTTCCGTGATACTAAGTCGCATCCAGACACGAAACACCCACCCCTACTATAGACGTAAACTCCAGGCTTAAACCATCAGCCAACCAGTAACATATCTCGCAAATATTCGTCGGTCGACTCGTCGAAAACAGAGCCCAAAAATAGATTGCATCGTTTGCAGCACACAACGACCCGATCCGGCAAGTCAATGGAAAGGGATGAACAGGACCGCAAGGGATGACCGATGGAAGCCTTTATTCATATAAACGAGCGACTAGAACAATGGAAATCCAGCGCTCATTGATCGCCCTTACGTTCCAGCCTTATTGGCATTTGGAGTGCATTTGTTTATTGTGTGGGTGGTATATGTCGCTTATAGAGGGCGTTTGTCGCTCTTCATTTCGTTCCGGGTATATTTTTGTACCTAGGTATATTACCGAGTTGATTAGGTGATCGACAACTAAGACTGGATTGGATCGGATTTGATCGATTGAAAGAATGTCCATCCAAGTCGGTCCCCGGACCTTTCATGTCACGGATATCGATCGCGAAAAATGCACTCGCGTCGTGCCCATGCGCGTCTTGTCATTCGGCCTCTTTCGGACCGGAACTGACTGTACGTTCTTCCTTCTTTGCATACCAGCTCTCTTGGCACTCAACATCCTTCAAATCATGAATTGGCACTGATGCATCATCAACTTCTACAGCATTAACCGAAGCCCTCCGCACCCTAGGCTATCATGAAGCATACCACGGATATCAGCTAATGCTCAGTAACCCGCGCGACGGGGAGATGTGGATGCGGGCGTTGCGGGCGAAATACGACGGCATCGGAAAGCCGTTTCAACGAGAAGACTGGGATAAGTTGTTGGGTCATTGCCAAGCCGTTTGTGATGTTCCGGCGCTTTGCTTCGCCGAGGAGTTGATTCAGGCGTATCCCGAGGCGAAGGTCATTTTGACGGTGAGGGATCCCGTGGAGTGGTATGAGTGAGTTTTTCTTTTCGTCCTTTACCTTGCCTTGGTTGTTTGCTTGTTTGTCCTCTCTTGATGGTAATATGGCTGGGGCATTTGGTGGTAGGATGAAGCGAGTAACGGATTCTCAGATCTATTCTTGAGATCACAACTGTCTGCGAACGTCACCCTGCTCTGTACATCTTCCTTCCGCTTCTCTCAGCCATCGACGCCCTCTGTCGAAGTCGCTTCCGCTGGGTCTTGCCTGTGATCAGCCGCTCCGGGCGCGAGATCCTCCGCGACCGGTTAAAAGAAGACGGTCCGCGCATCTACGAGGAACATTATAAGAAGATCGAGGCGCTGGTGCCGCCTGAGCGATTGCTGCATTATCATGTGCGCGAGGGCTGGGATCCGCTGTGTGCGTTCTTGGAGCAGCCGGTTCCTGACGTGGAGATTCCGCGGGGGAATACGAAACGGGAACTCAGGCTGAGGGTGCAGGGGTGGATGGTGTTTGATTTGAAGGAGTGTGCGGTGAAGGTGGTCTCCGTGGTGGCGTTGGGGTGGTTGGGGTGGGGGGTTTATAAGGCTGGGGTGAGGGTGGTTGGGAGATGAATCTATCTCTGGCTGGATGGATGGTGTGTATAGCTTTTGAGGTGAAGGGTCGGGTGATTTAAGGTTTGTATATGAATCCTATTGTTTCTGTCAATTTAATAAGAATAAATACAACGAAGATGCCCATGATTAACAACATCGGCAGACACATGCAAGGCTAAATCAAAGGCAAAACGGCACAAAAAAAGATACCCGGGATATAGGTCCATTCATTAAAGGATCAATAGATGGAATTCATTTCATTAAAAGGTGTCGTTGGCGTGTGTGGTTGGTTGGTGACGGCTGTCAGACGAACTGTCAGGGCGTCTCCGCCGGTCGCTGTCCATACACAATGTGCACGTTGGAGTACAGATGGTTTGACAGGTCGCGCAGTTCGTTTCGCATGCCGGCTACCAGCGCCTCGATCTCCGGTCGCTGCCAGCCTAGCACTCGCGTGAACAGCGCGTAGCAGTACGGGCCCAGCGCCTCGAACATGTTGACTTGATGGTACCGGCCGATTTCCTTGAGCTTGGGGTTTTTGGGCCAAGGGCTTTGAGGGACCTATACGATGTTAGGTTGCGGTCTATTGGCGTAGGGAAACCGAGAAAGAGGAGGAAGTACCTTATACACATCCTCGTGGACGTTGATAAACCCCGCCTTCTCCATCATTTCCTTCCAGTGCACCACCGTCGTCATATCCTTCCCGTACAGCTTCGATGCTGCGTGCATGTTCTTTACGCCCTCGAGCAGACACGGCGCCTTCAGGTGCGTGTCGTCGTCCGAATATGTGTTGACTTCCAACGAGGCGATCTCGAAGTATCCGTTCGGGCGCAGGCTCTCAAACGCCTGTCGGAACAGCCGGTCGTGGTCGCCGATGCAGCCTTCCAGTTCGCGACCGTGGATGTAGTCGAAGTGCTGGCTGTAGGACCAGTCCTGTTCGAAGTCGTCGACTTCAAAGCGACAGTTGGGCGGGATCCAGGATGGTTGGATGGGACTTAGGTCATTTCCTGCGGGTGGTCAATAACTTGTCATAGAATGATGGCACGAGTAAAGCCGAGGTGATGTACCAATTACTTCCGAGTCGGGGTGTTCACTGCGTCTGTCAATATGGCTATCCCTAAGGGTGGGAAGGGTTGTGACTTACTCGGCAAAGTCGATCGCCCATATCCCCGTGCCGGTGCCTATGTCCAACACACGTCTGGGGTTTTTGATGGGCGCACGACCTAGCTCTCCTTTCAGTAGCATGCGATAGATATGATGGCTCTGGATCATATTAGTATCCACACGGATCTTCATGGATGCACGAACGACGTACCAAATCCAACCGATCCTGCTCTTGTTCATCATTCGGCTGGACAATAAATCATGTTAACCACAACTCCACTTGAAACCTAGACAAACACCGAAAACATACCAAAAGGTACACTCCCTCATGATAGGAATGGTATCGGCGTCCGTTCTGCGAGAAAGTAGGGTCTTAGCATTCCCGTGACCTGGGCGTGACTTGTCCTCTGCAAGCGCTCATGTGACATGCGATCAGATCGGAGCAGATCGGATGAGATCAGATGTATCACATCGTGGAGCGTGGCAGAGTATGACAGGAAAACGGAAAGGTAATAGTAGATACCTCATATCTGTCTACCGGTCAGTATTGAATTGGGAGTTCGGTTAAAATTGACTTACTGGTAATTCATCGCGCTGGACGTGATACTTGTCGTGTAGCTGGCATCGCCGAGACTGTCGCCAGTATTAGTTCGTCCATTTTGCTCATTCCCAGGATTTCTGAAGACAGGAAACGAGGTGAAAAATAGACTTACGAGCCGGCATAGACGGAATCGCCATCGGTCAGGTCCTACAGTTTGAACGCATAAACAAAATAACCCATTTTGGACATTGACGGGGGTATTTAGTGGGGAAGAAAGAAAGACTAACTTCAGGTTCGATATAAGCGGGACCATGTTGTTCCTGGGATGGCTGGCGCGTGACCTCGACCGATCTGTGTTCTTCTTCTTCCTCTTCTTGCGGTTCGTCTTCTTCGTGGTGTGGTTGCTGTGGTGGTTGCGGTTTTTCGTGCTCGTCGGCGGTCATGGTGATGAATTGATGATGTGATCCTTGTCGAATGCGAAATCCGGGGAAAAGCAGAGGCGGGGAGAAATGAAAGGGAAAGGGGAGGCCAAAGTCAAAATAATTAAAAAGTCAATTGGAGAATGGGGGACCCCGGAACAACAACCAAATGGTTAGTTCCGATCAATAGTGGGAATGCACGATGGTATCACTAGGAATTGGATATTAAAATCCAAAAAAGGGGGGGGGGGGGGGAGGGAGAGAGGCGAAAAGGAGGGAAAGCAGAGACAAAAAAGAACCTGGACGGGCAAACGGCAGGGGGATGGAATTATATTAATTAACTCAGCTTGAGCCAAAAGGAAAAAGGTCAAAGCAACAGGAGGAGAAAAAAATCCTGCAGAACTGCAGCGCAAGAGCAAAGCAACGAAACCAAGAAAGGCGCAACTGCGGGCTGACCGTTTTCTCAGAAGATGAGGAATTCCGATGAACAAATAACGAGAGAAGCAGCGAACAGGCCCACTACCGGCCTGCTAGTGCCGGCTTTCTATCGAATGCCTCGTTTAGGCGGACGCAGCTGCGGATGCCGCGGGCGTTGATCGCTCCTGGTTGGGGGCTCGACAGGCACCGGTGGCGTTAGTCTTTGCTCTAGCAGTGCTGTGGATTGGCCGATCCTTCCGTCCTGATTCTGTGGGCTTTTTTATTCCTCGTCTTTTGTATCGTTTCCTCGGATTGACCTTGGGGGTGCTTTGTTCGGAACTTCGTGTCTGGTATGGACCACCACGGATAGAGCCATGTTCATCCATACTCCGTCCGGTGCACCGTGTACGGCTATGGCCCTCGGGGAGGATCCTCCACTACCCGCTGTCAACAACTCAATTCAAGATGCTGCCCACGTCACGGCCCGGCAAGGATCTGAGCGAGAACAAGAAAAGAGACGGGACGAGACCCCTGAGATCATAGCGCCGCAAAAAAACATTTTACGTACTTCCTACTATTATAGTAAGAGAAAAAAAAGCGGAGGATCCGTGCCGATGCATCCTTCCTGTCCATGTGGCAGTGGGGGGAGGGGTTGATTTTTTCGTGCCTACTAGTACTGTTGCGACTTTCTTCAGGGATTTTTGTGGTTTAGTCTGATTTCCCAAGAGATTTGCGGTGGATGATGTGCCTATCATATGAACGTGGTGGACGACCGCCGAGGGTCTCCCTCGCCTGTAGCCTTGTTTACACTTGCCAGGAGCAGAGCAATTACAGTGTACTTCCATTCACTTGTTGCATGCCAATGTAGTAAACCAATTAATTTAGTTCACTGTCAACGTCAATCCGTCCAGGATCCGCCATGGATTTGAGGAACTTCCCGGAACAGGCAACGGACAGCAAAGGAATCTGATCAGGTGAACCGAACTGGCCCGTTTGTCGACTGCACGGACCTTTTTTTTTGCGTCCAAAGGTACAGCGCCAGGGTGCCAATCAAATTGGTCTGCCGCGCGGAGTGTCTCGGGCACGTTGCAGCGGTCAAAGGTACCTGCACGACTACTCCGGTACGGACAGCGGAGTAGTATATCAATTATCAAATCTCAGGAATTTAAGAAGTCCACCAGGATCGGCCGCGTCGGCTATGACGGACGGCAGTGGACTGGGCAGCCCGGGCTAAGCCTGCTAGAAATGGGCTCGTCCTGTTCGAGCCTTCGCTGCGGGTCTGGCTTTCCCTCCTTGTTCGGATGTAGCTCGGCGCGACGACGAGCGACTTGCGACCGGGCGTTTTACCTGCACGGAGTGAGGAACGGACAGAGAATATTCAATAATATCAATAATCATAATCACTCCGGTGTAAATGGCGACGGGTAAGGCTACGGAAACCAGGGCTTCCGTAGGTGCGTGGCGGGATATGGGCGCTATACTGGGGTCTACTATAGTTGTACGATAGTGTCATAAGATGGACGGCGGGATATAACTCGCAGTGATTATATTTATACGCTCAACATGTTTTGATCGTGGCCTCAAGCAGGTTTAACAAAGACATCGCTAGTGCTTATGCGTCCAGGGATTCAACGGCTATCGAGACTCGTCCCGTGCAGGGGTTTGCCCTACTTTAACTCCCAGCGTCGGTCAGTGCTGAGTACTCCGTACATGACTACGTGAAGACTGTAGAATGCAGTCAATCAATCAGACTCGAGTCTCAACGCGGAAATAATATCCAAGCGACTCCAGGCCAACAAAAAAAATCGCAGGTGATACATCAACTTCGCACAACACCTGAACATCCAGAAGCAGGAAAAGACCACGAAACCCCCACTTCCGAGCTTCCACGCCTTTCCAGAACCTCGACAAGATCGAACAACAACGTGGACGGAAGAGGAAGGTCGATAGGACCCACTGCCGACCGTGAATTTTGGATTTTGGATTGTGGACTTTGGCCTGAGCAGGCGACGCCATGTGTGCGACTCGTTCCGTCTTATTTCCACCCGCCGGACTCCACTCGCTAGACTGCAATTGTCGATCTTGACGAATGATCGGTGAATGACGTGTTGGTCTGGATCATACTCTGTTGTAGGAAGGCTGTATATGAAATATGAAGGTCGGCATAGAGGAAGCAGAAAGAGAACTGGGATTGAAGGCATTTACCGCATCAGGTAGGAGGCTTTCTGGAATGACTCGCTCCCTCGCAGTATACAGACTATTTCCACCGAGGGATCAAGTCCAGGAGAAGAACAACCGCCTCCACCGAACACGGGCCGCCAATCAGCGGGAAATCCCTCGGTCGGAGCGCAGCGTCGAGCCAAATTGAAGTCTTTCGAGGCCCCCGGAGGAAATCCGACCCGCAGAAACCGGATTGCTGACCGCTACATTGATTGATGGTTGATGATTGATGATTGATGATTGATAACCAACACTCGTCCTTATCGCTGGTTGACATGCAGCAGATCGGTATGCTCTGCCACCTAATCTATGCTCGACAACGTGCATCCAGCTCAATCTCGCATTCGGTTTCCCTCTGGGACATCTCACTGGCCTGAGATGTGGTTTACGACCCGACTAATAGTATTCAAGGTGCTGGATCAAGACAGAGAAGTTGAATCACAAACAAATCGGGGCTAATGTGACTGAGTACCCCGACCGACATGAGAAATTGTCCAATAAAGAGACTCGGTGCCAGTCAATAGGATATAACAGGTATCTAGACTGGCATGACAGCAAACATGGACTCCCTTACCCAGACATATCCCGAGGCAAGAAACCTCAGCCCACGACAGGACCTACAAGGCTACGTGACATACACCGTAAATATGAAAGCGAATAGGTAATTGGAGTCACTCAACTATGCACCATCCCGGTCAGATTATCTATTCAAAGTCTCTCATAGGCCGACGGGGCTTGAGGGTCTCATGTACGAAGCAAACATTTCGGGTATTGGCTCAGGTAAGTGACAGAAACAGTAGACTGAGCGAGTAATTCAAAGGGGTACAGGGCTCTACATCCATCCTGCACTCGTACAGTAGTTGACTAAATTCATCGGGGAGTGAGGTCTGAAGAGTCTCTTCTCTCCTAGCTATACTCCACTAACACTAGGCTAACCCCGATCGGCACGAAGAAGTGTCTGAGGAACCGGCCACAGCGCCAGGAACCAAAGCTTGTTCTCTCTCCATTTCGAACCATGGCTATGCAGGAGAATGTCCGAGTCCATGTAAAACACAAAGTATGAGACCTCAGATTCTCAGGAACCAGGCTCATACTCAACCACCAAGGAAAAGCATCCATTTACCCGGGTTAACCGACACAACAGCACATTCGACCGAAAATAAATGAACCAGTTACCTAAACCAATTCATCTCTAACATTCTGCAAATACCAATGTCTCAAATCCCCGCATGAGTAAGCCCGGCGATCATAAGATGTGACCCTGAATGCAATCGCGCGGAAGGAATTTCTCCGCCTCGTTAGGGTTTATGGCCTTGTTTGTCTGCAACAAATTAAGTATCTCCTGTCGATCACCCGGTTGATTTCCTCTGCTCCGTCGGTAAAATACTCAAAGTGATATGCCATGATTCTGATCCCTGCAAAGATGATGCAACGTTTCTTCTTTGCGTCTGTTGTCCTGCGGGGTCTGTTGCATACATATATCAGGGGATCTGCTCGGTCTGAGCGATTGATCGTGTTCGCGGTACTGCGTTGATAACGGCGTCTCAATTCTGCCATCGAGATACGAGGCATACGAACCATGCATCTTCTTCACTCGTTGTTCGCCACGGGCATCGGGCTCCGCCTAGTCGCTCTCGTAGCAGGACATACCGATTTCTCGACGGAGCAGTTCACCGGGACGTTAGACGGCACGTCCGGAGTTCTGCGCTCCTTAAAACCGAAGGGTACGTCGGAGACATTCGACTTCTCGCCGGCCGACGTCTTCGATAAGCGCAATGGGAACGGCAACTATCACACCGGCGACTTGACGCTTCGGTACCGCGTCGGAGACTCCGGGGCCTGGACGGATGTCGACACGGCGACGGATCGAGGAGCGTTGAACAGCAAGAAATCGACTTCAAACTCGTCTCCTAGCGCGGTGATCGCGTCTTCGGATCTTGGAGGTATCGTCAATGCGTCTCTGGCGGACGACCTGTCCATCACGCGCTCTTGGGTCGAGTATAAAGGTGACCTGGCGTTGAATTTCACCGTCACGAACAAGAACTCCAAGTCGATTGAGCTGGGCAGTTTGGGGTTCCCCATCGAGTGGAATACGATTTTCTATGAGCGCACGGGGGAAGAAACGAGACAAACGTGCGTTCTGGTGGATCCGTACATCGGTTTAGATGCCGGTTATGTGCAGGTTACGCGACTGCTGGGCGCAGGGCCGCATTTGGTGATTACGCCGCTGGGCGAGACCAAGTTCGAGGCGTGGCGCTTTCTGCCGGAAACTGGCGAAAGCAAGCTTGCGTATCAGAGCCAGGTGTTTGAAGGAAACTACGAGTGGCAGGTCTATTCGAAGGCATGGGCGGAGAAGGAGTGGGATGGGGTCACGCCGTGGAATAAGCCGACTTCGTTGACCCTGAAGCCTGGACAGACCGTCTCATACGGATTGAGGTTTAGTGTCGTCGAGTCGGTGGAGAAGATCGAGGACAAGGTCGCGTCGCTGGGGCTTCCGGTGGCTCAGGGCGTGCCGGGGTATATCTTGCCGAGGGATTTGGATGGGAAGTTATTCATCCGCACGAATGAGACGGTTGAGAATATTGATGTGTCACCGGGCGGTTTGACGGTGAAACAACTTGATGATGTGAACGACGAGTGGAAGGCCTTCAGTGTCACTCCCCAGGAGGACGCCTTCGGTCGAACCAGGATCGAACTGAAATACGGTAGTGGCCTCACCCACAGTCTACACTTTTATGTCACGGACACGGGCCCCAAGTCGTTATCGAAACTCGGAAACTATCTGACTGAAACCCAATGGTTCGACGGGACCGACCCATTCGGTCGATCCCCGTCGATCATCACCTACGATCATTCCGCCGACGCTCCAGTCCTTCAGGATAACCGAGTCTGGATCGCCGGCCTGAGCGACGAAGGCGGCGCCGGAGCGTTCGTCACCGCGGCCATGAAGCAGATCGCACAGCCCGTGGCCAAGGAGATTGCGAAACTCGAGACCTTCGTGAACGAAACCGTCTGGGCCCGACTGCAGTTGACCAGCGGCGAGAACAAGTACGGCGTGCGAAAGAGTTTGTTCTACTACGATACAGAAGCGATGCCGGACTTCAAATATGATTCGGACATCTACTGGCAGGGAGCCTGGGATAAAGAAGGCGCGAATCTCCTGGATAGAGCGTATAACTACGTGCATGTTACGTGTCTCTACTGGGCACTGTATCGCGCCGGACGGTCGTCCAGTGTGTTGGAACGACAGAGTGCGCAGTGGTATTTGGAACAGGCATACGAGACGTGCGTTCATTCCTCCTTTTCAATTCAACCTACAATTCACGGGGCGAAAGAACTAACAAGGGCAGAATCCGCTTCGTCTACGGCACGCACAAGGATGGAAGCAGAAACACCTGGTATAATGACCTTGGATTAATGGGCGAAACGGTCTGGAAGCTGGTCCTGGACGACCTGAAGCTGGAGAATTACACCACCGAAGCCGATACCCTCGAAGGAATCTTCAAACCACGGGCCCAGGAATGGACTACCCAGGAGGATCCGTTCGGCAGCGAACAGGCCTGGGACTGCACCGGCCAAGAGGGTGTCTACCTGTGGACTAAGTATGGTTTCTTCTCTCGCGTTTCTCAGATAGCTTCTTCTAACCACAGAGATAGATACTTTGGATTCACCGAAACGGCGCAGAAAACCATCCAATCGATCCACGGGTTCATGCCCACCGTTGCGCACTGGGGGTGGAACGGCAACGCCCGACGATACTGGGACTTCGGGTATATACTACCCTCCCTTCTTTTCCTTTTCTTTTGGATCTACGGTTTACAGCAAGCTAACTCCCTTCCAGAACAGCCGGTAAAATCGATCGTATCGAACGACAAATCCACCACTACGGATCCAGTCTCAACGCCCTCCCCATCCTCGATAACTACCATTCTTCAAGCAACCCAACCTCCGATCTCAGTCTCTATGACCTCCGTATTGGCTACGGCGGCAACCAAGGCCCAATGACCAATATCCATCAGGACGGTTTTGGGTCTATGTCGTTCCACTCGTTCCCCGAGACGTTGGACTGGGACCCGTACTCGGGCGATTACGGATCCGGATTCGTTGGACATGTTCTCGGCGCCGCGACGTATGTGCTCAAGCATCCGACTTTCGGTTGGTTGAGTTACGGCGGAAATGTGGTTTCGACGGAGAACGGGCAGGTGGTGGTTGAGCCGAAGGATTCGGTTAGACAGAGGATTTATGTGGTTGATGCTGGTTTGTGGGTTGGTCTGGATTCTGGGGCGATTACTCAAGTCTCCGTGAATCTTGGTAAGAAGACGGTTGTTCTGGATATCGAGAAGGGAGTGGAGGGGATTGAGACGGTGGATGTGGAGAGGGTGTTAGTCAAGTATTCGGTCACCAAGGGCATTATTGATTCGGAGGTCAAGTTAACGAAGGGCGCGAAGGATGGAAAGTATGGTCAGGAGGTGAATTTCGCGGAGGGCAAGGCTAGCTTGACTTTTGCTTGGTGAGCATGTATTTGGACCGCGATGTTATTCATAATGTTAGTGTTGTCGGATTAATGGACAAATTAGTATTGCTCAGTAGCTTTCGCATAATCAACTGGAGAGATTCCAGAGTGAGAGCTAATTGAAATTTCCCTCCTCTTCTCTTGAAGATGAATCACATCAGGAACCGCGCACAAGCATCAGAGCGCACAGCAGTCTTGATGGAAATTAATCGGATATGTCCCGGTCTGTGGCAAACATTTTCAGTGTAGTCGGTCGCCCTCCGCATTCCGGATCTTGAGACAAGGAAAACTCTGTCTAATTAAGATGCCTAGATTGCAAGATCGCGGGGAAGGTCTCCGATAACGTGTTGCCTAGAATCTCTCGAGGCCCGGGGGCTGTGATTAATTTATAGAAATAGAAATAGCCTCCGTGCCGATACGGATACGACTCTCCGGACTCGAATACGGACACGTGCGGGTCCAGCCGAAGCGGGTCAACGTCGCTTAACCGTCTATACTCCAATGAGAACATATAAAAGCTGGACATAGTGGAGATAACAAGTTTTTCCCCGGTCACGGACACGAACACGAACACGGATACTGCCTCCCAGGATAGTGGCGTCTCCCCGATGTGGAGTTGAATCGTAGCAAGCCTGGGTTCGTGACACTCATATAAGGCTGGATTAGTCCCCTTTTCTTGGGGCTCATTCTGGAAATTTAAATCCAACGAGTCAACATGGGATCCGGCCACGGAGAGATCGACTTCAAACTCTACCGGTATACGCCATCGTTGGCGGCCGCGATTCTGTTCATCGTCCTCTTCGTCCTGATCACGGCATACCATCTGTACCAGGTCATTCGGGCGAAATCCTGGTATTTTCTGATATTCGTTGTCGGCGGTGTTTGTAAGCTCTCCCTGCCTTTTGCATCTTCTTTTGGTTGCCTACAGACTTAACTAACGCTCAATGCTCTTTTAGTTCAAATCATTGGATACATCTGTCGCGTCCTCGCTCACTCCGATAAAGAGAATGTCCCGATATACGCCATTCAAACGCTTATGATCCTGCTCGCTCCACCGCTCTACGCTGCCTCGATCTATATGACTCTCGGTCGACTTATTCGCTATTTGAACGCCGAACACCTTAGTCTGGTGCCGGTGAAATGGCTGACTCGGATTTTCGTGACGGGCGACGTCCTCTCCTTCTTGATGCAAGCATCCGGTATGGCCTTCCTTCTTCTCCATATACTTCAAGTCAAATATAGCATAGACTAACATGTCTCAAACCGATTCAGGAGGTGGAATCATGGCCTCCGGCACCATCTCCGCCATGAACACCGGCGAACACGTCACCGTCGGCGGTCTCTGCGTGCAACTAGTCTTCTTCGGCGTCTTCGTCATCGCATCTATCATCTTCCACCTGCGGATTCGAAAATCGCCCACCTCTGTCTCCCTCGCCGCTCCTCCTTCCGCCTCGCGCATGCCCTGGAACGACGCCACCTGGACGGGCACGATGTGGGGTCTTTATACATCGAGCGTGCTGATTCTAATTCGGTCCATTTTCCGGCTTATTGAGTATGCGCAGGGCAATGATGGGTATTTGATCAGTCATGAGGCTTTCATGTATGTTTTTGATGCGATGTTGATGTTCTTTGCGATGATTGCTTTGAGTATTTGGCATCCGAGCAAGGTGTTGAAGGATGGGAAGAAGAAGAAGCTTGAGGAGGGGGGAGAGGAGGGTGAAGGGAGAGAGTTGAGGGAGGTGGATTCTTGATTTGATCTTTCATTGGGCTTGTGGTGAGGAGTTTGGTATTTGGTTCTCGGGTTGGCTTTGTTCTAGATCGTCATGTTTGTAGATCGTCTCGTTGGGGATGTATATATGTTCATTATTTCTATGTAGATATGTTTAGAGCTGGAATAGGGTATGTCAGAGTTATTGGTCATATAGCTTTTGAGACTACTAGCTGCAGCTCTGGTCGAATTTTGGTTCAAAAATATCAATTATTGTCTGTGATTGTATTAACAACAAGCACTCACAACAACAGCACCAGATATAGACCCATCATGATGCAATACTCCAGAAATGCTTTAGCATCCTCTAGAAGTGTTCTATAACTCCCATAATCATACAGAATCTAAGAGGCCCCATCTGATCGAACCTCTGATCGAACACGTACTCCGGTTCCTGACTCCGTCTCCGCTTTTGTCAACGGATATTCATCATGCAAACGATCCTGGCTCCACGATGTATCTTGCACCGCCGCAGGCCGTTTCGCATGACTAGAAATCCGGCGCATTCTGTAATTCGGCCCCAGTGCTCCCTCCGAGTCCTTGCTGCTCCAATGCATGTCGCAGCATAATGTGCGAACTAGCGGTCGCAGAGTTGGGAGACAGGCGCAGATGATGCCCACGCAGGGCTCGACGAAGGTCCATGTTGCGGCTTCCATTACCGAGTCTGTTCTCGTTAGAGAGATTGGTTGGTTTGGGGGAACGCAAGAGACGTACAGGAAGTATCGTTGCTTTCGAAGATTTTGAGGGTAACGACGCGCATGATACTTGCGACGCAGACACTATTTTGATCAGTTAGCTTTGCACATCCAAATGATCCAGGGTAGTGGATTCAATGGTACGAGAGCAACAAAGCAAAGGAACATACAATCCACCAAGTAAAAAAATACCCAATATAGTCAACTTCTGCGACGTCCGTAACTGCAACTGCAGGACCATCGGGATGGGCATCATCAGAATCACGACATCAATGAGCAGATTGGAGATAGCATTGCCGAAGAAAAACTGTTTCGAATCGATACACGTCCCTGGCTGCGACTTATCCCAGTTCAACGAGATCGGTCGACATTGGAGCAGCACGGTTATGAAGACCGCGAGGCACCAGGTGCATACAAGACCCCCGACAATCCAGCTGGCGATTTGGAATTTGCGAACCGGAAAGATGCGTCGGTAGAGGAGGAGGATGGATATTTTGATGGATGGGACGAGGAGGGTGTACGATATCTCGTTGGCGAAGAAACACTGGTTTCTATGGTTAGCTACATGGAATGAGATACTTGTGATGTGGCGGGATGAGTTTACTTTCTGGAACATGATCTTTTCCTCCATGGTTAGGGTCGACAAATGTTTTCCAAGCCCGCCATCTCGGGCCCCTATCGCGGTCAGAATCCATACTCATTGTTCTTTGAGGGGGGTTTAGACACACAATAAACGGCCTCTCCCAGCATGCTGTACGCGATCACAATTGAGATACAAATGACATAGTCATCCCATCCCAAAGTCGACTTGGCCCATCGTGCAGCGACCCGAACAGCTACAATCACTGTTGAAAGGGCCACCAGGACCGAGGAGACATCGATGTACGTCTTTCCGCGGTCATTGGCAACCATGGTGACGATGCGATGTCGACAAGAACTTTTGCATTACCGGCCGAAGCCAGCACCAGCATGTAACATTGAAGGTGGGAAAAATGGAACCATTCTTAATAGTTCCTCTGTCAATTAAATTGAGCGACAACCCCACTGAAAACCCAAATCTTCGTCCTGCATGGGCTCATTGCCTCATCCTGGTCGTTTCTATTCTGTAGGCGATGACCCACCGATGAGATCCTGTCTGCGGGTGGGTTGGAACGTGAGGCGTGGACTCCGTGCCCTGGTCCGCCCTGGTGGTTTGATCGATTGACGATGGTTTACTCCGTGCTCCGTAGATTAACAGAGTTGTGGAGCGATATACCAATATCCGTTTGGGTGCTCTCGTTGGAGGAGCTGGGCTGTCGACTGTCGGTTCGCCCTCGATCTACTCCGTAGTTTTGTTTAGACTGTGGGGTGAAGGATCAGGGCTATTGAGGCATTTTTTAGTTCTGTGGTTTATTATTTAACAATCATTTAGCGCAGAAATGCTACCCGATCGCCTAATTATGTGTCACTTTCTGCACGGATTGCAGACAGAAAACGTTCCCATTTTTGAATGAATAACCTATATTGGAGGCTTGATGGCGGTAGGTTAATTCTCGGCCGGCGCCAGCGATCGACACACAATTTGTTTTGCACCCGCCGCCCAGGGGCTCATTGCTTCATCGCATTTCTGGCACGAAGGATCAGGATCGTAGCAGGTGGAACCGCTATTTCAACCACGGCCAACGATTGGTACATCTGCAATTGATGGATGTCCTAGTGTCGATTTGACTTTTCTAGCGACTCCTTAACAAAGTCAATGGCTCCTTTTTTAGTGGAGGCGGTTACATCGCTTCATTTCTGGTGCCGTTCGTTTAGCAGTGACAATTTATTAATATATTTGAATTTACACTGAACGGGCCTATTCCCCTGAACCATCCCTGCTGGTGCCTAGTCAATCTATTTTGACGCGATCCGGTGCACCAGCGCGGCTGTTTTGTCAGGCATACTGAGAAACGGGCTGTGGCTGGCATCTAGTTTCTCGACGTTCATTTCCACGCCCGCTTTCTTTGCGTTAGAGATCATCAGCTCCTGGATCATGGGGATTAGCGCCGCATCCTTCTCACAAAGAATGTACGTCGACGGGATATCGCGGTACGCTTCGTGCGAGATGGGGTCGAATTGCGTGGACTTGGGATGTACAACGAGCCTACCCGCCCAGTGAGCTGCGTCTGCCGAGGGGAGGTCGTTGAAGAAGAAGGTAGCTGGATCGGGGACTCGTAGAAGGGCATTCTCTTCCTGGGAGCAGGTCAGCCTCTGTCCAGCTTCAATCCTTACAGTAGATTCGGTGAAAAGGAACCACGTACATCAATCGTAATAAAGGGCGGCAGCATCCCTCCAAACATACCTGCTAGACTCTTCCCGCTCGGGGGCACAAACGCAGTCATGTAGATCAGATGCTGGATCGGCAGACCGTGCAGAGCCTCGGTGCCCACCATTCCTCCGTACGAGTGCATGATTGCAACAACCCGCTTGCCCTGGTCGAGGAGGGTCTGCGCGGTGGCTCGGACCAGCGCGACATCGTCCGACAGGAACTTCGTCGGCGGGATAGCGTCATTGCAACTTGGGAGTCGAGGACAAACGACTTCATGGCTCAGCGCCTCTAGCGACTTGCAGAGTGGTGCGTAGAGCTCGGGATAATGCCAGGCGCCGTGGATCAGCAGGATAGTGGGCGGAGAATGAGATAGCGAGGACGACATTTTGAGGCGTTGATCGATTTAGTTTGGATATGGAATCGAACCCCTGTCTTTATTGATTATTGCAAGAACTGAGCTGCATCCATGAACCCTGTTCGATATGGGGCTGGGAATGAGTGCTATTTAATGCACTCTAAGATCTGGCTTTCGGGGCACGTCTGCCATTGACTGATGGTGCCAGACGGGTTACATTTGACCCACTTGGTTTCCTATGATGGTGGGGATTTGGTTCAGTTAGTGAGGGGTTGAATGTGTCTTCTATTCCGTATTTCTAGTCCGTTTATAATCCGTCAATGTCGTGAATCATTATTGGTTGTGTCGAGTGTAGGGATAATATTGACTTCGATGACGCCCTCGAATACGGAGATGGGAGAGTGAGGTGTTGCCGGGGTGGAATTCGAGCAATGACGCCGCGTCCGCATCGCGACTTATAAAGGGGGTGAACAGGCCTTTTTCATGTGAATTATACTTCTAGCTGACCCGAATAACTCGTGGGAATTCAGCCTGGGAAGTTTAAACCCGGTATACGGAGTCGGTCAAACTGCGAGTCTGGTTGATAGAAACAAGATATTCCTGGAAATTTCATACTAGGGAGTTGAACGGGCATCTGAGTATTTCCAGTTGGTCTCACGAGAAGAGAGTTCATTCGATACCATCAGACATTGCTCTGGTGCATGTTGGACCGTGGATGGCAGGCGAGGATGGGGAAATAATGATTGGGGGCCTTAGGCACCCTATGTCCCCTGGACGAGTGCGCTAGTCCCAATCTGGGAATAGGCGTAGACACGTGCCGATGACCTCCCCGCTAAGCCCAGAGTGGTTAGCCTCCATCCTCAGGCACCTTTGGTCATTCCCGGAGAACGAAGGCTTCAAGGCAGACATTCTCGACACCGTCGGGGAATTTCAGTGCCGACCCGCCATGAAGTTTCGCCTCCTTCACGTCGCCCTTACTTTGCTCTCCTTTCTTCTACTAGCACTGGGTGCGTTATGAATCCAAACCTTCCCAGTTCATATCCCTTCAACATGCCCTCTGGACGAACGGGTGGTTTTCGCTGACAGCCTGCCAGGTATCCTCCTCTACTCCAAACACTGGTCTGTCCCAGATCCAGATCCGGTCGCTTATTGCGCCGATTGCCTCAACTACGCCAGTCGCATCAATGACATGATCGTTCGTGTGCCTGATGTGCGCGGCAATAAGCAGTTCTTTCGATATGCCTGTGACTGGTCCTGTCGGAATCAGTTGCTGACGTCCGGCCGTTGTCCGAAGTACCGGAGGGGGTTTTTGGACCGCCCTGACAGGTATATGTTTGAGGTCGAGGATCCGCCTGAGGCATGCCGGGGCATCAGAGCTTGTCCGTGATTTTTCCGTTTCGGGGAGAGCTTTAGGGTCATTCATTCGCCGTGGTGTTTGGTTCTGGATAATTTTCCACTACATCTTCGTTATGATTTTGGATGGATTATATGATGCCGCGGCGGGCCCCAGTATAGTAACTGCCAGTACGGAATGCATATGCACTAGAATTTATAAGGAAGTTGGATTTGTCAGACACTATCTTTCTAGTTAGTGATATGACATGTCATGCTCTAGACCCCGATAGGCGAATAGACCAAAGCCCGTGTATCCCAGGCCAGAGGGGACCGCTGCGCCTCCATCGATGAACCATGTCCATTTGCTGCTAATATCCAATGTGAACAACCGCAATAGGGTCGATGACCATGATCCTCCCCATCCATGGAAACCCTTACCCCACAACTGCCTTGCTCAACAACCAATCCAGGCAACGATATTCTAAGCCTTCTCCATAGAACATCGAAAGAAGGGGCCAAGCTTAATGTGCCAAGATCTCGGCTTCGACTTTGCCGTCGAAACTACTCTGTACTCCGTACCTTATGGTCTGATCCGGTTCCTGCAGCGTTCCGATTACTCTCGGCTCCCGCGGACTCCATCCTTCCCTGCCCTAACTCGGATTACCATATTCGGCAAGATTCTATGGTATTTATATCTTGAAATCGACTTTGTGAAGAAATAATTATATCTAGCTCAGTTATATCTTGCTCGGGAAAACACAGTAAAACATCATGCCAGAAACAATCCGGTTCGACAACATGTCCAAGTCAGTTTCTCACGACTACTATCCCCTGGACCTGCCTCTCCCGAATTTTCTTCCGAACAAAGACTCGCCGTTTTCTTTAATCTTCCAGTTTGCCATCCTCTGGTTATCGGTCTTGGGCGCAGCTTTTATCACGATCCGATGCGTTCGTCCGACAGCGACTAAATCAGACCAACTGGCTTTTCTTTGGATGTGTTTGAGTAAGTGGTTCTGTTGGTTGCGCATGTCAAGCAAGTCTAACAGAAATGATGATAGCTGGCTGCATCCACTTCTTCTTCGAAGCATACTTCGTTATCAAAAATCCTAGCTTAGCCGGTTCAGGAACCCTCTTCGGCCAGCTATGGAAGGAATACTCTCTGTCTGACTCTCGCTATTTAACCTCCGACACTTTCCTGGTGTGCATGGAGGCTGTCACGGCCGTAAGATCTCCGACAGCCATTATCTCGCACATAGTGCATTGCATAGTATGAAACTAACAACTGATAAGGGAGCATGGGGTCCTCTATCCTTCCTCACTGCATACTTCATTCTCAAACAGCATCCTGCTCGCCACGCTTGCCAACTCATCCTCTCCACTGGCCAGATCTACGGTGACGTGCTGTACTATGCTACTAGCCTGCTGGATCTATATACGGAAGGTGTTTCGTATTGTCGGCCTGAGGGATATTATTTCTGGTTTTATTACTTTTTCATGAACTTTATCTGGATGGCTGTCGGGACTTGTAAGTTTTTTGTCTTATTCTTCTTAGATGTTGATTTTTGTTGTGCGGATTCGCGTATGGAACTGACGTCGTTTCACTGGATAGATTATGCGACGCAGAGTGTGAAGGCCATTACGAGGGCTTTTGTCAGAGTCGCACAGGCTGATGGTGACGAGAAGAAGAAACGCTAACAAGGTTTTGGGGCGTGACAGGTATTGCATGAAAGGGACTTGGGTGCAGAGGAAGCAGGGTAGTCTCTGATGTATGTCTAAGATAGACAATTCATTCCTTCGTGTGGAGATTTTACGGGAAGTGGACTCTGAGAACTTGATACACTACAGTGTGAAACAGTGGAAAAGGAAGATATTGCAAAAGGCAGGACTTGACATTAATATAATTATGTGATTTTCGAAGTGATTAAAGCCTCGCGCAACCATGCGATTGGTCAGCTAGAATACATTTTTGCCTAGTATGAGCAATAATAGAAATCGCGTCCGTACGGACGATGTCATAGAGCAAACATTCTTAATCTGATCCATCTGCAAACGTATAAATAAAATTCCATAAAAAGTTCCAAAAAAGTTCCAAAAAAGAAAGAAAAAGAAAGACCAAGTCCGGCAACCCAAAACCAAGGACATGGAGGGAAAGTAGAATCAAACTCAAGAGAAGGCTGTCTGAAAGCGACGACGCTCCTTGGAATGTGACCCGTTCTCTCGCTGAAGCTTCTTCTTAAACTCATCAGCCCTCTTAGGAGTCCTGGGAAACTTTTTGCTCACTTCTTCGTGGACAGCATCGTCGGTTGAAGAACGTTTGTCTCTGGGCGTGAATTTCAATTGATGGGCCGGGAACTGGAGGATGAATTTCTCCACTGGACCCGGGTTCCTGATTATGTTCTCTATACCGATGCGGTTTTCCTCTCGAGATCGGAGCTTGAAATCATACACGACCCAGCCGATGAGCATGCGGATCTCCATCGTAGCAAATTGTTGCGCAGGGCATCCGTATGGCCCGGTCAGGAAGGGGGCGAAGGCTTCCCCCTTGAGAACAAGATCCTTCCGAGTGGTCCAGCGCTCGGGAATGAATTCGTTCGGGGCGACAAAGTAGCGTGGATCTTTTTTGTGGGCCGTTAGCTTTACTTAATCGAGAATAAACGATAGGAAAATCCTGGAAAGAGATAAACTTACCACGATGCATGCTCCAGATTGGCGTAGACACGATCGTATTTCCTGGAATGAATCGCCCTGCGATAGTCACGCCTTCGGGAGGAGTCAACCGCTGAATCCCGCCGGGAATAACTGGATACAGCCGAACGGTCTCGTTGATACATGCGTTCAGATAAGACGCACTATCCTTGGTGTAATCGAGGTGAAGACCGGACCCGGTGGGTGGAAAACGACGGATCTCCTCATGCAGCAACTCTTGTTGTTTCGGATGCGTTGCGAGCAGCCACATCAAGGCCGAAAGGGTGTACGCGATGCTGTCGGTTCCGGTCGAAATAGCGAGATCTGCATCATCTAAAAGCGAATGACGGACGGAAGTATGACTCTTGTTCATAGCCTTCGCGTAGCTGAGAAGCGAAGAAAAGAGGTCTGCGCGTTGCTGACCTTGCTGACCTTGCTGTGAATTGGTCACGAGGCCCAGGTCAGCGATCGAAAAGGCAAAGGAATGCATGACAGGGGTAAAATAAGAAGAGCGTACCTTAAGCCGCTCGTCGACCAAATTGGCACAATCTTCGAACCAAGCAGCTCGTAAGTCTCGGATGACTGATATCTGCTTCAAGAGAGTAACCAGCCACGGAGCGCACTTGAACGATCCCACAAAGTCTTGTATGAAGCTTTCCTGCCTTAGAGACGAATGCATCTTCTGAGATTTGACCATGCCAAAAGAGTTACCCAGAGCCAGATCACTCATCACGTCGTAGGAGAAAAACCGGAGTAACTTGGTGATGTCGAACTTGGAATAGGATTTCGCTTTGAGGCACTCAATAAAAGTTTCGCAGTGCTTTCGAACGATGGCTTCGTAACCTTTGAGGCCTATCAATGGTTAGATTCAGTTGGGTTAGAGAAATTTCAATGTGTATCGAAGTCCAAGGCGAACAAATACTTACAATCTTTCTGATCTAGTGATTTCTCCCACATGGTTGTTCTCGCAGTTAACATTGGGTTTTCACGTGTAATATGTAATGTCCGTTCCATGGTGCATTCATATATTGGAGCCTTGACGAAAGGCGAACCAGGCCCATGGATCTGATGGAAGCCTTCAATGTTGTTGATGGAAACTTCTCTTGGGCCTAGGCGAAGATTAGTGCGAGCACTAGTTAGCTTGTATGAAGGAAGAATAGCTCACCGATGCGAACGAAATCACCATACCAACTATGATCAGCCCAGACAGACTTGAACGTAGGCCTTCGCCACATCACGGTGATGCGTGCCAGTAATGGGCCCGGAAACTTGTGCAACGGGTGAAGGAAGAGGCGGTAGAACAAAGTGCTCAACAGGATCCCGGAAACATACAAGGCGCAGAGCTTGGAGAATAAGATGAGAGACCATCCCTGGAAGTTGAATAACAACAACATGGACACGATTGCAATGGCACCGAATGTCACGGCAATCTTGGGCGAGGAACGATCCCATTCTCCACGCCTGAAAATAACCAAATGTGTCACCACACCCGCTAGAAGACTTGTTAAACGTACTGGATAAATGACCATGAGAATCAAAGGGGCGAGAGCTTTACTGAGAAATGTGATCAACAGATAGAAGGGGAACGGAAGTGTCTGCAGATATTCATCAAGTCCAAGAAAGGCGGAGTGGAGAGATCGAATGTAGTCAAGGAAGGACAGATGAAGGTCTTCAAGAAACTCCGGACGTCCGAAAGCATTGACGAACTGATGATATCCTTCAAACTCGAGAGACGGGAACGAATCGGCGAAACTGGGAGGGGGAATGGTCTCGGAAGCTCCGATTGTGAGAGGGGGTTCACGAAAGAGTTCGTGGAGAGACCGGACAAGGGGATCAATAGCTTCCTGAGCATGGGCTTGGAGAATGTGGAGAATATAATCCAGCTTCGATATGATCTCCTTGATGTGGGAATGAACATACTGTTGAAACTGCATGGATGGCATTTGTACTGGACTCTGTCGACCTGTTGAGTCGAGAGAGTGTGAGAGAGGGTATGGGATGGGAAATGCAAATCAAAGCAACTTTGATTTCTGGGATCGAGATCTGGATTAAATGGCCCCAGACTAGGCTTTAAATAATAATGGGACTTTCCGTGAAGAGCTGGTCTTTACTGCTGGATTTACCGGAAGTCTCAGGTAAACGCCGCATCTTTGCTGACAGGCTGATGGTATTGGACAAGGCTGTTAGTCTGTGGCATCATTCTTTACAGATCTATAGGAAAACTCCGTTTAGGAGCCTACTCCCTTCCCCTCTGTTGTATGACAGGGTGTGTAAGGCAGCTGAGGAGCTATTCTCCCAAAATATTCTTTGTTGCTCACTAATATCGCTGGCGTAGACTGACTGCTAAATAACATGCTCAAGCTCGAGACATTCGCCACATTTAGTTTGCTGAGGTGGTGATAGAGAAAAAAGAAACTACTAGATAAAACCTCCCGTCATGGATATAACGAGACGTCAATATCCGCAATGGCCACAATATCCACATGAGGACGCCGAACAAGCCGTAAAATCTTCATCTGACTCACCATCCGAAGAGAAACCATCACATCGGTCATCGCCAGAATTAGCGACATAGGTGGCCTCATGGCCGTCTGACCAAACGCACCTTGAGCCCGTCGGGGATCACGTGGTTGACGCTGGGCGTGACCTCTCGCAACTCCAACGCATCTCCGCATTCCTCATGCACAATCTCAAAGCGTCCATCCGGCTGCCCATGGGCAAAGGAGATAAGCTGCACAAGCAGTGAGTGAAATCGACAGAGAGCCTTTGACTCCCTTTTTTCCCATGCCTGGACAGCAGATTGGAGGTCTTGAATCCGGATATCGTCGAATCGGCCGCGCTCGTGGAATGCGAGCAGAAAATTCGGTGTCTGTGAGACCCAAAGACGAGGGAGTATTTCCGCCATGATATCATCATCCTTGCGCATGCAAGATCGGGTCTTGAGGTCGAAGATCGCTGATTGAGGTACATCATGTCCGCCATCCTGGATTTGGAGCGATTCAGTATCCTCGGGTTGATGCGAACTGACCGTAGCTTGTCCCAGAAGCGAAATAATAGCGGATTCTTGGGGCCCAGGAACACCATCTGGATCACTGCAACGATCACGAAAATAGCCGTCTGCTTCGAAGCGTACCAAACATTCCACATCGCCGAATCGATATTTGATTACGCGTTGATGAGATTCAGAGCCCCTGACATCCCTGTCCCATGTGGTATAGGCCTCCGGAAATGTGTGACCGAACCCACGCATATCCGGAATGATTTCAGTAGGGGAGTTTTCGTGACGAAGGAAGAAAACTGTGGACCCAACCACCTCAACAAGGATTCTGAACTTCATGTCAGGGTTGCGGACGAAACGAAGAAGGTTCCCTAGGGTTCTTGAGCAGGCCACAACGTGAACTGAATTCATATCGAAGGTAGGCTCCTGTTTCAGGACCGCTTCCATAGCAGGCTGAAGGGGGTGCGAGGAATAGCGCGCGGCATTTTGATCACGAAAGTATGCCCCGCTGTCTTCTGATAGCTGGCAGGGCTTCTCCAGAGGAGTCCAAGCTGGCGGACAACCTATTTTCATTGCTCAGTCGCCTAACTATAGAATGTAGTATCGTGAAAGAAAGTCTGTATCTTACCTGGCACGAGAATGGTCGGCCTCGCTCTATTAAGCCAGTTGTATGATGCCACCGTTCTGCATCCTGTGATACATGGAGCTCCATCGTTGGCGTTATCATAATTCTCATTCAACTGTTCTTTGCCGATTTGGGCGATCAGGGCACCCAACGAAGGCTCGCGTGGAGCAGGTAGATTGATTTTTGTTCCGCTCGAGCCACGGAGACGACCTCTGGCCCAAGAGGAGGAGTAGGATGGTCTATCGCCGTGGCGGCGAGATGGAGGAAAACTGCGCTTTTGGCCGGAAGACATTATGAAATCGATGTCAGGATGAAGAAAAACGAAGCTGAACATTCATGTTGAGCAAGGACGGGGGTAAGACTTTTGTCTTTATGTGAGCCCCCGCTGCGGCGCAGCGTTTGCCAAGTGAATGACAACACCACAAAAAATGCTTCATTGGGTGGAAAAGGCGAGGCATACTCACCAGGGTTGGTTCCAGGGCCTAGCCTTGTTTTTCACGGAATTTGCCTGGTTCTAGGCACCAGATCATTGCTTCTATCTTTGTTACTTCTCTCAACTTTCCACCCTCCATCTTCAAACATACTATCTTTCCCAAACCGTCAACATACCCCACGATAAGAATCCACACGACGCTCTTAGCTGGCATTTCGAAATGAGTCAGTGTAGAAAGACCAGACTTGCGAGGCTCTTCTCACTTGTTGTCTCTGGAAAGCGCAATGTGACCGATGAGGAGGGTTCAACATTACTCCTGGAAGCGATCCAAGAAGAAAACAACCGTGCCTCCTGCGTTGAGCGGATCATTGCGAGCCCCTCAGCACGCAGCGCGATACACGCTGCCATACGGCTCAACGTCAGCACCAGCTTTATTAATCAATTTACCTCTAAGTTTGTTATATACTTGGCCGACCCCACCGTCAAGCAGTTGTGCAACGGTCGATTCCTGCAGGAGCTCTTGATGATCATCGTTGATCCACGGACTCTGTGGGATGCGTTCTTGCAAGGCTTTCTGTCCAGGCAACTAGACCCCATCTCTGTTCTCGCATTTTCATGGATCCTGGAAGAGCTGCTGTCTTTTCCATCTGCTACATTGAGCCACATAAACATCATTGACGATGCTCAAAAGGTCGTCGCTGATGGCTCACTGTTGCAGTCTTCTTCGAGTAAAACGCGGAGCCACGGGTACAAGATCAAGCACTATCTTGAAATGCGATCTACAGGAGGGTTAGAGATACAAAACGCCCATTTCTCCCCTGGTGGTCGTCATGACAATGACTTTGCGGACTTTCGTAAGATCGCCATATACCCTACAGCAGACGAGTTTTTATCCGAAGCGAAGCCCTTTTATCGGCGCGCTGAGGAGCTCGATGAAGTCGCGTCCGAAAACCGTCTGGTCGCTCATCTCGACAATCAATTTCGCCTTCTTCGCGAGGACATGTTGTATGAGATAAGAGAAGAGTTCCAGGTTGCTCGAGGCAGAAAGAAGGGCCGACGGGCACCTCTACTATCTGATCTGTCACTCCAACAGATCCAATATGGCGACAACAAGCGTCTTCGACCATGCACGTTAGGAATATCTTGCAACTCAGGACTCGAAGCTCTCACTGGTAAAGAGCCGACCGAGAGGAAGAAATTCCTTAAAGACAATAAAAACTACCTTCGCCATCAAGCCTTTGGATGCCTGATTCGTGGCGTGGAAATAGTTTCGTTCTGCGTACTAGACCGGGACATCGATATGCTCTGCAAATCTCCTCCCTTGATCTCATTACGAATTCTTGGAGACGAAGCCCTGTCGAAAACATTGTTGCACCTTCAGCTTTATAACGACCTTGGCTTTTTCTTGGTTGATGCACCAGTCTTTGCTTACGAACCAATCCTACGATGCCTCCAGGACAAGATGGAATTATCGCTGGCCAAAGAGCTTCTCGAATACAAACAGGGCGACGCAGTTCCAGTCTCTAAGGTCATGTCATCTGTAGTTGTTCAGAGCATACGTGAGATGGGAACCGATGCTGGTAATATTCAAGGACTATTGAACACTCCAAAATCGGTTAATCTGGATTCTGCTCAGTTGGAGTCGTTTCTTTCTGGTCTGACGCAAACAGTCAGTCTAATCCAAGGCCCACCAGGTAAGCCTCTATACTAGTGTCTCATTAACAGGTATGGTTAAAGTACTGATCGCATGCTCAGGGACTGGAAAATCGTTCGTTGGCGCCCTTCTTGCCAAGGCCTTCCGCAGTTACAGCGAGGAGAATATCCTCGTGATGTGCTACACAAACCACGCACTAGACCAGTTCCTGGAAGACCTTCTCGATATTGGAATCGACCCATCGGATATTGTTCGCCTCGGCTCGAAATCAACGACCCGCACATGGCAGTTGAAGATTTCTGAACAGAAATCTGCGTTTAGACGTACCCAGTCTAACTGGAATGTGATTAATCATTTGGATGAAAAAGCTGCGGAAATCAAGACTTTCATTGGCGATTCGTTGAAAGCCTACCAAGAAGCAACTCCGGCGACTAGGGACATTCTTGAGTTTCTGGAATTTGAACATCCTACATTCTACCATGCTTTTTGTCCACCGCCAGCAGAAGCGGGAATGGTCACCGTCGGAAAACGCGGGAAACGTATCACCCAGGACTCTTTGTACAAGCGCTGGGTATCTGGCGGCGGCCATGGTCTTATATCAACCAATCATCTGGACGAGGAATCCATGCTTGTATGGGCAATGGAGAAGTCAACACGCCAATCTCACCTCGAAGAATGGGAGAAGGCGCTGGTGAATGAGCGGGTTGCTGGCCTCCAAGAAAAGGTCACGCTGTTAGACGATTGCCAACGCCAGCTTAAAAATCTCTGGGATGAGAAAACACGCTCGGTGCTTAAATCAAAGCGCATAGTAGGCTGCACCACCACGGCGGCCGCCATGAATGCTACGGCAATCAAACTTGCATCTCCTGGGATTGTCCTTTTGGAAGAGGCTGGCGAAATCCTCGAATCACATGTCCTTACAGCACTGGGTTCCGACACCAAGCAATTGATTCTCATTGGGGATCATCAACAACTGCGGCCCAAGGTCAACCACTATGCGCTCTCGGTGGAAAGGGGCGATGGGTATGATCTGAACCGGTCCTTGTTTGAACGTCTAGTTCTCTCTGGCTACCCTCATTCCACTTTGGCTATTCAACACCGCATGTGCCCGGAGATATCATCTCTTATCCAAAATCTTTCTTACCCGCTTCTTCGCGATGACCCGACAACTAAGAACCGCCCAGCCCCGCGTGGCTTGCAAAATAGGGTTATTTTCGTCAACCACAATAACCCAGAGAAGCAATTCCAGCACCTTACCGACAGTGGGGACCAAGGCGCTAGAGGAAGCAAGCAGAACAGGTTTGAAGCCGAAATGGTTTTGAAGATTGTTAGATACTTGGGGCAACAGGGATACGGTACAGACAAGATAGTTGTGCTTACGCCATATCTGGGTCAACTACATCTTCTCCGGGATATTCTTTCAAAGGAGACCGACCCTGTTCTGAATGACTTAGACTCCCATGACCTTGTGCGCGCCGGGTTATTGTCCCAGGCTAGCGCGCAGCATACGAAGCGGTCCATCAAGCTGTCGACAATCGGTAGGTTAAATAGTGACTCAGGCTGGAATGTCTCCTCGCTGATTTAGTATAACAGACAACTACCAGGGAGAGGAAAGTGACATTGTTGTTGCAACTCTTACGAGAAGTAACGAGAATGGTGACATTGGATTCATGGCAGCTCAACAGCGACTAAATGTCTTGTTATCCCGCGCTCGAGATATCTTGATTATCATTGGAAATATCGAGACCTTTGCTAGTAGCAAGAAAGGAAAGGAGGTCTGGCGTCCTTTCATTGATCTGCTTCACGCAGGCCATCATCTGCATGACGGGCTACCTGTCAAATGTGAACAGCATCTTCAGCAAACAGCAGTTATTTGCGCCCCGGAAGATTTTGCCACCCATTGTCCAGATGGAGGATGTCACCTGCCTTGGTATGCCTATAACCCAGCTTTTTTCTTGACCACGCTCGGCACTAACGGATACAGTGGCGTGAAATTGAACTGCGGAGTTCATGACTGCCCATATAAGTGCCATCAACTGTCGGATCATTCTCGAATGGAATGTCGGAAAATAGTGCAATGGCAGTGCCCGCGCAACCATCGCAGTTCTCGGGCATGCTCTCAAATCCAGGGTGTTTGTAATAGATGCGCAGCCGAAGACAAGGCCAAGGAGAAGCGACAGAAACGGGATGCCGATCTAGAGGCTAGGCGTGAAAGATTGCAAAATGAATACACAGCCCAGTTGAACGAAATTCAAGACGAAATCGCATTCGAAAGGCAGAAAAGAAAGGAACAGTCCGACCGGGATGAGCGGGAACGTGTGCTCCAGCAGCAGAGGCAAGAGCTCCAGAGGCTGAAGATCGATTCCGAGCGAAGCAATACACAAATCCAGAGTAACAACCGAATCAACGAAACTGAGCCGGGAAAGAACGGCCTTTCTGCGCAAAAGCCAACTGCTACTGACCAATGCACTGACGATGCTCCGGATGATGTGAAGTCAGCTCGAAACTTTAGCAATGGAGGAACTGATGACAATTCATTACTAGCTGAAACAGACTGGAGAGATCAGAAAGAATTTGAAGGAGCACGAAGCAATGAATTAGATACGCTGATGGGGATGGTCGGCTTAGAGAGTGTCAAACAAATGTTTCTTGACATCAAAGCTCAAGTGGACACAGCGATCAGACAAGGAGTTGACCGCAAAGGCGAGCGTTTTGGATCAGTCTTACTGGGAAATCCAGGAACCGGTTAGTGGGCTGCTCCCCCATTTTTCAGACAAGCTAACCAGAGATAGGAAAAACGACCGTTGCTGGTCTGTACGCCAAGTTTCTCACCGAGATGGGCGTTCTTCCTGGAGACTTTATTTCCGAGACGACTGGATCACGGCTGGCGAGCGATGGTGTCAAGGGCTGCCAGAAGCTGATCGATGAAATTCTAGCTAACGGGGGCGGTGTCCTCTTCATTGACGAAGCCTACCAATTGGCTCAAGGAAATGCTTCAGGATCGCAGGTGATTGACTTTATCCTAGGGGAGTCAGAAAAGCTCACCGGGAAGGTGGTCATTCTGCTTGCGGGTTACCGGAAACCTATGGAGAAGTTCTTCGCGCATAATCCTGGATTGCCGAGTCGCTTCCCGCGGGAGTTCAGCTTTGATGACTACAGTGACGAAGAACTTCGTCAAATCCTGGCGTATAGGATTGACCAGAAATTTTCCGGGAGAATGAAAGTCGAGGCGGGGCTGGATGGGCTGTACTGTCGTATAGTCGCACAACGTCTTGGACGCCAGCGTGGAAAGGAAGGCTTTGCAAACGCCCGAGCCGTTGGAAATACCTGTTCCCGCATCTTCGAGCGGCAAGCTCGCCGTTTGAAAAAAGAAAGAAGAGGCAAAGTGCCGGTTGATGATCTTTACGTGACAAAAGAAGATTTGATCGGCCCCGAACCTTCAGCTGCACTTGAAAGCTGCAATGCATGGAAGAAGTTGCAGTCTATGATTGGCCTCGGTACAGTGAAAAAGAACGTCAAAGCCCTACTTCAGAGTGTGCAATTCAACTACCATCAGGAATTGAAAGAGCAGCCGATAGTGGAGTTCTCCCTTAATAGAGTCTTTTTGGGCTCACCCGGCACTGGGAAAACAACGGTTGCAAAGCTTTACGGCCAGATTTTAGTGAATATTGGTTTCCTGAGCAATGGTGAAGGTCTGTTAAATCTCCGTTCTCTAACTTTCTGCGTGTTTCGTTCTTTCACATCCAACCTTTTGTCAGTCGCTTGCAAAACGCGATAGCTGATTGTTTTCCCCTGCAGTCGTTGTCAAAAATCCAGCAGACTTCGTTGGCAGTGTTGTTGGCGAATCCGAGAAAACTACCAAGGGCATCCTGGCCTCCACAATTGGAAAGGTCTTGGTAATTGATGAGGCTTATGGACTCTATGGTGGAAGTAACTCCCACGGAGGTGCCCAGAGTGACATCTTCAGAACTGCTGTTGTTGATACAATTGTAGCAGAAGTTCAGAGTACACCTGGTGATGATCGCTGTGTTCTTCTTCTTGGATACGAAGACCAAATGAGAATCATGTTCCAGAGTGTTAACCCGGGATTGACACGTCGGTTTCCGCTGGACTCGGCTTTTACATTTGAAGATTTCACTGATGACGAGATGGGGCAGATCTTGGACATAAAATTGAATCAACAGGGATTCAATACTTCCGCACAAGGTAAAAATGCCGCATTGGAGGTTCTTGCGCGGGCTCGCAATCGGCCAAATTTTGGCAATGCTGGTGAGATTGATATTTTACTAAATGCTGCCAAATTGAGCCACCAGCGCCGGCTATCAGAGAACAAGGGATCCAATCATTCTTCTCAACTGGAACCTGAAGATTTTGACGAGAATTTCGATCGTGCAGATCGCGAACACAGTGATATTCTGATGCTCTTTTCTGGAGTGGTCGGATGCGAGATGATTGTGCAGCAATTGGAAGGCTATCGTCAAACGGTGAAGAACATGCGAGAACTAGATATGGACCCACGAGAGCAAATCCCGTTCAACTTTCTTTTCAAAGGTCCACCAGGTATGACAAGACCACTGCTTTTCGAAGACCTAGAGACTAAACTTACTAGGCACTGGTAAAACATCTACCGCCCGCCGAATGGGAAAGGTCTACTATGACATGGGCCTCCTTAGCTCTGGCGAAGTCATTGAAACTTCAGCAACAGATTTCATAGGGCAGTACGTTGGTCACACTGGACCCAAAACCCAAGGCCAACTAGAGAAAGCTCTGGGGAAGGTTCTCCTCATCGATGAAGCCTATAGGCTGGGTGAGGGCCAATTTGCTACGGAGGCCATGGACGAGATTGTCGACTCTATCACAAAGCCCAAGTTCTTTCAAAAACTCATTATCATCTTGGCAGGTTACGACAAAGACATCAATCGCCTTATGATGATCAACCCTGGCTTGACAAGTCGATTCCCAGAATCAATGGAATTCAACAGTTTGAGCCCGGAAGACTGCAGCCAGTTGTTGACGAATCTGCTCAAATCTCAGAAAAATTCCCTCTCCAAAAAGGGGGCCAATCTCGAGATGAGCGTCTTGGAGTCCCAGACGGCAAATTTCAAAACCGGCTTGCGTCAGCGCTTTGCCAGCTTGACTAATATCGAGAATTGGGCAAATGCACGAGATGTGCAGACATTGGCCAAAGGGATTTTCGGAAAGGCGATACGCAACAAGCAGTCTCAAGGAATCGTGGTAGATGAATGCCTGGTCAATTCTGAGTTGGATCACATGATCAACGAGCGGAGTGACCGTCAGAGCGCAAAGGCATATGGGAGAAACCCTCCTTTACTCTCAGAGAAAGTCGCTCATCTTGATGCCCGATCTTCACCCATAAATTCTACAAAGCTGGAGACCAACACGAGCAGCGATACGGTGAGCGACGGGATGCCCCAAGATGAGCAAATTCAAACATCAAAAGCAGGTGCTAGTATCAGAGACCAGGGAGTTTCAGATGCAGTTTGGCACCAGCTCGAGCAAGATCGACTTGAAATGGAGGCTCGTGAAAAGAACTGCCAGGGGCTGATTGACCAGGAGAAAGAATCAAACAGAAGGCTTAAGGAGCTTGAAAACAGCGAAGCACCTTCAAATGGCCAAGGAAACAACGATGATGATGGCGAGAAGCAACGTCGTGAGCAAGAGCGCATTTTGCACGAGATTCTCCGTAGAAAACGTGAAACAGCCGAGCTCGAGCGCCAGAAGGAGCAGCAGATCCAGCAGAGGCTTAAAAGGATGGGTGTGTGTTGTATGGGGTTTCAGTGGATCCGGCAGTCCAATGGATACCGATGTGCCGGAGGATCTCATTTCATCTCGCATGAACAAATTGGAATTTGATCGGAATTTTTGACATTTACGGTGGGCTATTGCGGAGCCGAGTCTACGGAAATAAGTGCACAAGGTCAAATTGGGAATATGGATAGTAGTGTTATGAAGACATTTAAGCCAGACTGAAAACGGGGGGCAAATTGACTTGAAAAATTAACTCAATTCTAGAATTATGAGGTATCTCTACATTGCATCACACTCGCATTCAGATAAACGTCCCTACACCTTGCCCGAAAGCAAGACGAACCAGGAAGACAATTTATATTATAGAAGAGAAAGCCGCTCCACAAAAAATGCTCCATCAATCCTGCTATACCCACAAACACCCAAGTCAACGGGTTGATTTATGTCTAAAAGCTTCAATTTCGAGATATCTTCGGGAACGGCGGGTTTGGCGAAGGTTATAGTTCGACCTAATGTCCAGTATTCTGCAAGTTGGGCTATGATGCGCTTCGCCAAATGAGTTGGATAGTGAGAGTGCTCGTAGCCACGCCCCTTGCTTTCGAGTTCTGGCCATAAGAAGTCCAGAATATACTGAAAAGTCGAATCGGATTGCCACGAAAAGACAAGTTGAAGCAGCACCTCTGTTAGGCTGAATGTATATACGTCGAACGTAATGGATGCATTGAAGTCCAAGCCGCTGGCAATTTGACACACGGTGCTCGCTACACTTTCCATAGACATCGTGGGCTCTGGATAGGTGGAATTCGTTTCTCTGGATTCCTCGAATATGAGTTCGCAGAGTAGAGAGTATAGGGCGTTCATGGCATCCCGATGTGTGGGGAAAGTCTGTACCGGACACAAGGAGAGAGAAGAGTCGGAGTCGACTGGTGAGAACGCACTCACAGGAGATATCGCGGGCAGCTGCTTCGGTTCAAGTCTTGATCTCCAGACCTTCAATCTGTCCTCTTGCACATCCAACAAACCGAGCAGATGCGAACGTTGCATGAACTCTTCCCGCGCTTCCGTATACTCATCTGGTTCACATTCGCGGCCTGAAATATTATTCCAGACTTTATGAGCAAGACTGCCAATCTCACTTGACTGCTCCGAGACCTGGTAGGCTCTGGCCGCACAGCGAAACAGGACTAATTTCGTTCGGATTTCCAGGGTCTTAATCAAGATATCGTAGATGAGGTCATCGGAACTCATACCAATGATACAATGTAGGTAGAGCTGATCCGTCGCGGACGGCAAAATCCTCGGTCCAGATGATGTCGCTCCTTCGCCTTCCAACCCCAAAGCAGGCGGCTTGGCTGGTCTGTGGGATGTACACATCCGATACCACATTTGCAGTACATCGGCCCCACTGGCAGAGTTGAGCAAATTTGATCTATTCAGAACAGCAAATAACACGGCCTCGCCCACTGCTAGTCGGAATCTCAGGTGATCTGATGACGCGTGATGGTAGTAAGCTAGTAGGACTCGCGTGGCGAGATAAGCGGGTGCTTCTAAGCTTGTTTGCTCAGCGCTTGCGTTGTGACAGTGCCAGAGGGCTTCATCGTAGTATCTCCGGGCTGAATCATGATGCCTCTTATTCACTCGAGGGCTGAAGACAGATCTTCGAGTGCTATGGGGCAAGAAGCGGGATTGGACTTCTGCCTTGAGCATCGACAGGTTCGAGGCCGAAATGCAAAGGAGGGCGCAGCGAAGACTATTGGATCCTAAGAAATCGGTGGAGAAATTCGGGGATAAGGAGGGGAGGATATGCCGGACGTGAGAGTGAAAATGGCTCGTGTAATTTATCTCAAGGTCTGCCTCCGAACTGATTCCCCGTGGTAATTGAGCAGCCACAACTCTCTTAGGCCACAAAAGACTGGGCTTGGAGCGCGTAGCCGAGATTGTTGGGGCCCTCTTGGTCACTGAGTGTGACTGGAACTGCGCTTTGTTGACGATTTGAAAGCTGAAATCCACGCCATAGCTGCATTCAAGCGACAGCCTTGTGCATGCTTGACAGCGCGGTTTGGTCTCGTCGCACTACCAAGGATCAGAGAATTTTTCACGGCAACATTGAGGATAGCTGACCTTCTTGCCTCTTCTGCGACATGATTTACAGCCCGTATGGCTTCGATGGATCTTGCGTGGTTTCTTATTGCCCGTGGAGGACAATTTTGGGGGCATCTTTGCTCAGGATGAAGAAGGAGAGTTGACGACGACGGACGAATTTGGTCTAAACTTACGCGATGGTACGCCAGCGATACAGAGATACATGCGATCGGCGACGTAATTATTCCCTTTAGGTAATATTATACGCTCTCCGAGGTATTCCCTTTACCACTCCTTGTATGTCGCCCGATTCTCTCGGGAGTTCGCCGGTCGACTTGATTGTCTGATTGCCGCAATGTATATTGAGTCAGATCCACAATTGAACCTGTCTTTATAGTAATAGTTGTCTCGCTATCATTGCTCATCTGTGCTCGTCGGTGTGGAATCGAGGCATATTTTACGCTGACCGAGCCCGGCTGATTGTCATGCACTACGTCCCCCATAAGAATTGTCGATGATTTAGACCATTTTATAATCAAAATCACGCAATCATTTCTGGAGGAGTTATAAAATTGGATGATCTACAAGTACTTTGCTATTCCTGAATTAGGCAGAGACAAATGACCGAGGATGGCTTTTCTTTATTGTATCTGTTAACATACATTCCTTTTCCATGCCCATAACCACGTGCAATTCTTTTCTCTCTCCCCATCCTGTTTTCTTTCCATAATTTTCTATGTCTCTATAGAGATCCTATCTCAGAGCTTGGAATATGTCTCGACCTATAGAGGCCGACGAGCGAACGCCTCTAATAGTTGATAATCCACATACTTCCTATACGTCCGACTTGGGTTCATTGCCGGAGTATGAACAGGTCGCACAATCCAATACGTCTTCATCCATCAAACATTGTTTATACACGTCCCATTTCTTGTCAACATGGAACTCCCGTGTTTTTGAGTTTGGGGCTGTATTATATCTGGCTTCGATTTATCCCGGTACCCTTTTGCCCATGTCAATTTATGCGCTGTCCCGAGGCATAGCAGCGATTCTCTTTGCTCCTGCGATAGGACACTATATTGACGTTGGGAACCGGTTGCAAGTCGTAAGAGTCTCGATTGGTATGTTGAATCTGTCATAAAAATGGACATTGACAAACTGATTAACCTGTTGGCGTGATTGCTTAGTCCTTCAGAGGATTGTGGTCGCGATATCATGTATCGTCTTTTATCTCTTAGCTATTGACATGCCGATGCAAGGTGCCATTGAGAAAGGTGCATTGGCTGCTCTGGCGCTTTTAGCTTGCGTTGAGAAGTTATGCTCGATTATGAACCTTGTTTCAGTCGAGAGGGACTGGGTGCGTTTGAATCATTGTCTCACCATAGATCGATAAAGTAACGAAGATATTAGGTTGTTGTGGTTGCCGGAGATAATCCTCGGAGCCTTGCAAGTGAGCTGTGCTTCTCTTGTTCCCAAGACTTCGTCTTGCTAACGCCCACCAAAATTAGCCCTGAATGCAGAAATGAGACGGATTGATATGGTTTGCAAGCTCATCGGACCGCTCTTCATCGCTCTGCTTGATGGCATATCGACGGAGACTGCTATACTGGTCAATTACGGAATGAACATCTGCTCTTTGGTTGTCGAATACTTTTCGATTGCGAGGGTATGTATCAACTTCCTGATCATTCTACCTATTTCAAGCCTACGGTAATCTCTGACGAACTGTTTAGGTTTATCGAAGAGTGCCTGAACTTCAACAACCAAAGCAGATGTTAGACTTCATGTCCGTACAAGATTCTCTGTGGAAGCGCTGCGGCGACCTGTTTAAGAAGAGCGTTCTTGATTTTAAGTCTTATTTCCATCATCGTGCCTTTCTCCCGTCCTTCGCCTGTGCTCTGCTTTATCTGACCGTACTGTCATTTTCGGGTCAAATGGTGACCTGGCTCTTATCAACGGGCTATGACTCAATGCGTATTGGTCTTGCACGGACTATATCTGTTGTCTTTGAGGTTCTGTCTACTTGGACTGCACCCTGGCTCGTTGAACAGATCGGCCCAGTGCGAGCCGGCCTTTGGCTAGCCAGCTGGCAGATCATTTCGCTTGTGGCTGGGATGACTACCTATTGGGCCTTCCAAAGCCGACCTACAATCTCTGCGTCTGGTCTGGTTGGAGGTACAATTGTCAGTCGACTAGGACTAAGAGGATTTGATCTGTGTGCTCAGATCATTATTCAAGAAGTGAGTTACGATTCCATTCCCCCGTACTAGCATTCCCATAGTCCCACATTGCACGTCCGCTAATGGAAACAACAGACCGTCGAGCCTGAATTCCGAGGCTCATTCTCATCGGTTGAAGCCGCATGGCAGAACGCCTTTGAGATTTGCTCATATATGTCTACGATTGTTTTCTTCCGACCGGAGCAGTTCAAATGGCCTGCTCTTATTAGCGTTGTTGCTGTCGGCCTCGCGGGTTTGCTTTATGCTGTTTTTGTTCGTGTCCGAAGGGGCATCTAGTGCATCGGCCCAAGGGATTGACTTTCTGAAGTGAAATAGCGTGCCATGGGCCTTGCTTTGAACACAAAATCATGATTCTCGATCCTCGAATATGCTAGGGGTGTTATGGAAAGGTTATGCAAAGATGACTCATTTATGCATGCATAAAAATGGACGTGGTCCAAGTTTTTTTCTTGCAACAATTTCATGACATTCTTGACATTCTTGACATTTGTGAAATTCTCCCTCCACAAGGAGTTGAAGGTGAAATTAAATGTAAATCCAGTGAAATTCAAATCTTCGTATCATTTGGGTATGGTTAATGCCATGTAGTCAACATGCGAATGTCAACTGCTACCATTGCAAAGGCCATGAAATTTCTGAAATTTGAAATTTGATTTGACATTCTTGGCAGTCTTGGCACTCGGGACAATTTCGGTCCCTTTCATGCCGACATTTGCATTTGCCGGGGATAACAGGGAAAACGAGACTCCAGGTCCGTCCCATTGAGTCACTTGTCATCGAATTTGTGTCTTGGGTATTCGAGCGATCGTTTGTAGACTGCTCATTTCCATTTCAGAGCTTTCTAATCCGCACAAGATATTGCGATATGTTATCCGAATCCACGTTTCATTTCGTAATATATAATTTAAGTGCATGCCCTCAGTCGATCAATCATCTCGCGACCATGTATTATCCCCAGGGCCCCAATTTCCTTGTTCGATTTGCTCTCGCGTCAGCTCCATCGTCCCTGTGCATTCCCCTCCCCAGCCCATGACCAGCATGTGACGGATCTCTCCAGCCCCATGGAGGAAATAGATTTTTGCCAAGTCAATCGAGCCTAGAAAGACAGGCACGGCGGACCCCTGCCTTCCGTAGGATGCGGCAAACCTGCGCTTCGTGAGAGACTTCTTCCCACAGCCAAGACGTAGTGCCTTTGCCCAAGACAGTGTAGCCATATTCTATGCAGGTTAGCTTGAACGGAGCGCCATACGAGCCACAATGGCCACAATGGCCACAGGGAATGCAGCGGTCTATATTTTCGCCAAGCTGGGCTTTTAGCATGTTCACCAAGTCCTTTGAAGATATGGGATGCCGAGTAAGGTCAACTTGGCCCAGGCGATGGTGTGCTACATTTGGACAAAGGTCGTCCAAAATACCCCTAGACTGCAAACCGAGTAAGCATCGCTGTGTACAGAACTGCGTGAACGGTGAGGGGATGATTTGACTGTATCTGCGTTGCTGACCAGTTGCCTGGTTTGCATCGGAGCCGGAAGATTCTGGAGGCCGTGCACAGCTAGTTTGAGGCTGTGTAGGCACCCGGCATTCCTCTGATGGAGATTGTGGCGGTGGTGATGATGATGGCTCATAGGGTGAACCAGATCCTGGACTCAGAAAACTTGGGTTTCTACCATCGAAGTGGAGAATCTGCTGTAAGTCTTCCTTCGGAATCTGCGAATCTCTGTGCTCAAAGTTTGTCTGCCAAATAGGGATATCTTGGCGCAAACGGGTTCTCCATTCTTGCCCACGAATAGGTGAGCGAAATGCCATCAAACAAAGGCATAGCACCCGTGCAACCGAAGTCTTTGATAGCTCCGAGATAGATTCACTGTCCAGGTTCACTTCGCTGTTCGGATCACAGAAGTAGTAGTAAAGCGTGCTTGGCTCACCATGCGGGACACGGAGTAGAACTCGAGTAATTCCATTTGTCAGATAGGAGTATTCTAGACCTTCTTGAATCATCACGTGGTACTCCTGGACGATAGCAGAGCAGGCCAGCCGTTCTGCGTTGTCCTTCAACTTCGCTTCCTGGTCTGTGGATATAATAGTTGACCTGACCATGTCCTTCCATAAGTCCCTTGGCCGAAGACCCATGCGAAGGGCTGTAACAGGAAGTTTATGAGGTGGCTTATACCCAACGGAGGTAAGAAGGGCCGCGGTATTGCCGTCAACCCGGTGAATACAGGATTGATCAGGCCGTGAGTGACCTTCGGCCTCTCGCAAGGGATTTGTATGGCCGTTGAATTGGATTCCATCGCCGAGGCCGAATTCGTTTCGAGCCGCTGGGAGTTTGCACAACTCGGCAATTACGTCTTGGACATAGTCTTCCACGGCAAACCGCTCGTAGGCATTAAGTTGCCGCTCGCTGCTGAGTGGATCGCGAACCAGGCATCGGCCTATGCCGTTTAATACAACCAAAGACGGAAACTGTCGAGGCGTCGCTCCTGAATCTGAGTGAAAGTAGTTGTAGACAGAGCGGTAAACTTTCGAGAGTTGTCTTGGGCAGTCGGTCCAATGTTCCAACCGAGTCGGGCAGTATGTTCCGGTGGGTGTAGGTATCTGATCTCACGGAATGTTGTGGCATACATATACAAGGCAGGACTATAGAAGACCAAAATCTTCCTACGCACGAAATGCTTTGGCGGGTTGTTCCTGTCCCGCTTCTTACGAATCCACCTTCCCGATTAGGAATCGTATTTTGGTAGAGCCTGATTCAGACTATCATATTGTCAAAGTGAAAACTTGATATCAAGGTATGTACTCGCATACCCGACCCGACGTCCCCAAACGCGCTGTAGTGAGAATACCAACCCGTATATGTGATAAATAAATTAACATCTGGCATAAGATAATCACCACTTAACCGGCCCAAACTGCCCCCCTTCTCCAACAGTCTTCCGATAAGCCGTATACAACGCGTCCTGTTTACCCGTTAGTGCCTGCCTTCCCAATGCTACCTTGTCCCCAGTCAATACGCACCGTAGTCTCATAAACGGCCACATTTCCCCACCAATTCGGAATCGACACGTTGGGCAAAGTGATCGCAAAGAATATAATGATGGTAGAAATTACAAGTCCTGAATCAAGCCCTGCCGCCGTGATGTAATTGTATGTGTGCCACCAGCCGGGCCAGCGACGACGGATGAAGTAGTTGAACAACAGACCGAACATGGCCCAGGTGGAGAAGCTCAGAGGGGTTGCTCTATTTATTCTTGTTAGTTGCGTAGACTGGAATACGGGGCGAGGATACGTACGGCGGAAGCCAGGCCATTGCGCCGAGCATTCTTTTCGAGGGGTTAGGCTTGGTTAGTGATCAGATTAAACTGCGGGGAGCTCGAAATGAAGAAGATACGTACACAGGAGCATTCAAGAATCGGAATGGAGAACGAGGCCAGAATCTCATTAAAATATAAAATGCAATAGGGAGGAGAGCACCGAGCAGCCAGAACCATTGGATAGAGGTGTAGATTGCTCCCGTCCCAAACATGCGTTTGGGACCAATGACACCTGACATCCAAATTGTTAGATGAGATACGTGTCCCGAGAATAGATGAGCTCACCCCAGACAATGCTTGATGAGAAGAACGTCTTCCCGTTCGGACAGGTGAAATGTGCGGATTGGTCACTGCTCGGCCTTGATTAATCGCGGCGACACAAGAGTCCAAGACGGAGGTAATACATACGGAGTGCAGACTTGGTCGATGTTTGCAAGTGTCCAGTTCATGACGGCCACCTGAACGAAACAGGCCCAGATTGTGGCCGCGACCTGGCAGGTAAATACGGTTCGTGGTGGGATTTTCATGTAGTGTGCCAACTGGGAGGAGTCAGACTGAGTTCGTATAGGAAGCTGTAGAAACAGACCTTGAGATCCTGGCAGTATGATTGACTGTTTCTGTTAGAACTGAGCCCCTCCTTTGGGAAAGAGACCTACGCTTGTCCGAGGGTGATTGTGCTAAACACTTTGAAGATCATCACACCGATGGGCTTCCCGGGGATCATGAACCCGGCGAGGAAGGGTGAAATGACGTTAAGTGCTGTCTTATGTATTAGCAAGAATGAACTTTGGGGGGAGACGAATAACACACAAAGTGTGATATTGGTGATCGCCATGATCATGCAAGTCGGAATCTATCAAGTCAGCACATATTGGCGTCAAATAGGACCGTCACATACAATAAATACCACAGCAATGATGATTGATACGAAGAATGCCCACCCTATAGTGCCAAGGTTAGAGCTGCGCACTGTTTGAGCCAGAGGGAAATACATACACGGAGTCTGTGCATCGTAGGACAAAATTCCAGCCAGTCCTAGAGCAATGGACAGCAGAAACAGTGCCGCGTACCACCATTCAGGTGCTTCTTTGTAGTTCTTCATCAGACGAAGATGGACATCCGGCTCTTGGTTCTGCGCCGTCCTGAATCTATACCATATCTCCTTGTGATGGAATACAATCACATGAACAATTGCTGCGGTCAGCGCCGCGAAGGAGAGACCGTAGTTCAGAGCAAAGGTTGGCGCCAAGAACATAGGCGAGTATTCTTTGTATTTCTGCTCGTCGAAAGAAAATCCTGGTCCAAGAATTCGGGACACATTGTACGTTTGTTGGGTGTTATCATACGTGGTTGAGGTGTTTATGGGAAGATAGTCGGAATACCTTTGTTGTTAGATGTTTTGACGTGGATAGAGGGGGTGACCTACAAAGCACCTGTATAGGAAATGCCTATTGTGGCGATGATCACAAATACGACCAGTCCAATGAGCGTGTTGAGAAGCGCGTGGACTGGTGCGAGCAATGGATCTAGAAGGTACGCAGAAACATAGCTGATCTGTTAACAGTATCCTCAATATTGTAGCCAAATCGGGTACTCACGTCCAGTCAAAGGTGATTGGAATCAACGATAGACCACTGAAGCCTCCAAAGAGTTGATTGAGGACTACATGGTTTGGTTTGATCCCTATTTAATTAGTTCAATTAATCTTTTGGCGAAAGATTAGGTGCGTACATGTGACGAAAGCGAAAACCGATAGACCTTGCCAGAGAACGCCAGGAATCCTGATCTAGTAAGATAAATACTGGATGGAAATTAGGCAGTCAACTTACCAGTACCATGCAAAAGCCCCAAGCATGACGTATAAAAAGTACCGATATCGCGACACAGTCCACCCATTGGTTTCGGATGCATCCGACGTACTCTTGTCGTGGAGAGCGTAGAATAGCGAGGAATTCGCGAACATGCCGGGCCAGATCATAGCGGCAGGCCTAAAAATTTGAATTAGCAGGAATCTTATGAAACGAAGAATCGACACGTACCACACCAGGAATCGACGGAAAAGACCCGCTAGCGAAATACCGATTAACTGGCTGCTCAAGGTGAAGAGAAGCTGGAAACCCCAGCCAATATCCAAATTATACAACGCTACTCTGTCAGCAAACGTAGATTGACCCGACCGGCTGATAGTGATTGCTTACGTTTTGCCTTGAGAGCCAGAAGAGCATCTGTGCTATATGCATATCCGATGGAGACACTACAATGGTCAGTATTATTTTCCACGGCGTACTAACGACATACTTTGCCATAATCTGATAAATGTTAGCGACTATTATCAGATAGTATTTGCTATACTCACCGTGATTACTGTATGCTCCTTGATTGTAAAAGGCCCCGTGTTTAGCGTCCATTTCAAACCGAAGGTATTGAACACTCTAGTCGGCATCACTCTCGCCCATAAACAGGCAACCGGATACACAAGCAATTGTACAACAATAGCCGGAAACGAGATTGCAGGACTCCTGGTTCTATTAGCTCGGGCCCGAGCCATTCCCTGCAGCAGAACACACCGCATGCTTAAAAACATATTCAACCCACTTCCCAGGGTTACGAAGATCATCCCCAGCACCCACGCGCGCACCGTGTTTGCCACCTGCCCCCCGTCTGTACTTCTGACGGCTGCGCGAACAGATTCATATGGTGAGTCCTGCAGGAAAGACTTGTCCACTTCTGCTGCTTTTTCCTGGTCGTCGGTGTTGACGGCCTCGTTGATGGCGTCGACCTCTTCCTGTGGCAAATTGGGATCCCATTGGTGGGAATTTTTGATTTTGGGGAGATCCTGGATTATTTCACTGAGGGGATGCGAGGAGCTCGTCACAATTTCGGCTTGGGATTGCCCAGGGATTTTGTTAGACGGGGAGTTGGTCATCTTGCGCTTCAAGCATTCACATTCGGGGATAGAGACAAGATTACGCCGCGGCGTCTAGGTTCATGTCTTATCCTTTATACTCTCCGTTTATATCTCGAGATCAAGCCATGGCTCTACGCTATCTTGCACCGAATACTCACTTATCTGCTCAGGCCAATGTAGCATCGAGCTAACACTAGCGCCAGCCTTAGCACGCTTCCCCCGCACGGCAAGGCTTGTTTATCAACGCTTGACCCCTCCGTAGCTTCATTCCTTGGCTCCTTTCTGGCCTCAGCAGCCATGGATCGCTTTTTTATCCTTGATAAGAGAAATGCCCTGATTCGCCTGGCGGATAATCCGACCACCGCGTGACTCTGCGCTCTGCCAACCACGGAGAGGGGGTTGATTTTATCCCCTAAATTAGCCGAAAGGACTATCTCGTTGGATTGACTTCTGGAAGAGCGGGGATTGTTCCAACCCCTTCACGGATGTTACTGTAGCCGTGAACGGGGGCGGTTTATTCCGTTGTGTGACGTTTATAGCGTGTACACGGTGCCTTTTATCCCTTGCGTTGGCCGCTAGGAGAGAGAGAGCAGATGTTCATACTCCCGCCTCAATATTAGATCAATTGGCAGCATGGTGTCTACTACCTCATTCCGCAGACTCCCATTTCATCGCGCTGAAACTGTCCAGATGCGCGATCGCATCGAACGGGTTACAGAGGATCTGAAAGAAATTCAAACCATTCTGTCGATAGGTATATCTTCGAAGCGAACGCGAAGATTAAGAGAATACATAACCACCGAACTGGGATCGCTTAGTGAGCAACCATTCGATCTCTATTACCAAGAAGAAAAAGTCGACTATCTTCTTCTCAAAAATTATCTGGAACGACAGCTCCGCGACCTTGAATTGAATGTGGAACGGGACGAGAAAGCGACACCCCTACTGCCGTTTGCTGCAGCATTGGTCGAATTATGCGAGGCACGGGAGAATGTGGTACCAATGATACCAAAGGATGTTGCTGGCATATTGTTTCGGACGCAGAAGGATGTCGCCACCGTTATAGGCACGGTAGAATATACCCCGGAGAAAATAAGCATCAACAAGTCGAGCGCCTTCCGGGCGGCAAAGACCGTCGATGACCTGCGCGAACATCTTTGCGAGTGGTTTGACTTTTACAAAGGCTACGACCCCTTGTTTGACTGGTGGGTGGCCAGTCCCTATAGTGAGATTGACGACTCTTTGACACGACTGTCATCGGCGATCCGTGAGAAGCTCGTTGGTATCAAACCTGGCGATGAGGACGTTATCGTGGGGGAGCCAATCTACCGCGAGGGATTGCTCGCCGAGTTGAAAGCGGAAATGATCCCTTACACGCCAGAAGAGATCATCGCGATCGGAGAGAAGGAGTTTGAATGGTGTATTAAAGAACTGAAGAAAGCAGCGCAGAGTATGGGATTCAAAGATGACTGGAAAAAGGCACTGGAGGAAGTCAAGAATGATTACGTCGATCCAGGGCAGCAGACACAATTGGTTAAAAAGCTAGCGCACGAAGCAATCTCCTTCGTCGAGGAACTTGGCCTGATCACCGTGCCTCAGATCGCGAAAGAGACGTGGCAGATGTTCATGATGTCGCCGGAGCGACAGAAAGTGAATCCCTTCTTCCTGGGAGGGTCATCGATCATCGTGTCTTATCCGACGGAAACTATGGACCATGAGGCTAAGCTGATGAGTATGCGTGGAAACAACATCCACTTTGCTCGCGCGACTGTCTTTCATGAACTGATCCCCGGCCATCGCCTGCAATTCTACATGAACGCGCGGCATCGACCGTACCGGCAACTGTTCGACACTCCATTCTGGATTGAAGGGTGGTCATTGTATTGGGAAATGATTCTGTGGGATGACGATCGGTTCGCAAAGACACCGCAGAACCGCATTGGAATGCTTTTCTGGCGGTTGCATAGATGCGCCCGGATCGTCTTCTCAATCAACTTCCATCTCGGGCGTATGACAGCGCAGGAGTGTATTGATATGCTTGTCGATCAGGTTGGGCACGAACGAGCCACGGCGGAAGGTGAGGTAAGAAGGTCACTGGCGGGCGATTACTCGCCGTTATATCAGGCTGGCTACATGCTAGGAGCCTTGCAAATTTATGCGCTGCGAAAGGAAGTGGTCGAGGGCGAGGGAGGTTTCATTCGGGAGGTGGATTTCCATGATCGGTTTTTGAAGGAGAACCGCATGCCTATCGAGCTGATGCGCGCGTTAATTTCTGAGAGCCCATTATCCAGGGACTACACTCCGTCCTGGAGGTTTTATCGGGTATAGGAGCTCGGAGTCATACCGAGACCCCTAAAGGTAAAGCGATCTGAGGACCAAAACAACAGTGCAATTCCTGCGGGTGTACGTGAAGCAGGAAGGCTGTAGAACTGAATTCGATTCGCGCGTCTTGAATACTTGAACAGGTAGCTAGTTTCAGTATTGGGGAAAAGAAACAAAGAAAGAACAAGAAAAAGCAAAACCCACATAGAACAACGTTTCAGATGCCACAGATAGCGAGTATAGTGCAGTAGTGAAGTTAACGAAACAGAAGCGTTACCGCCATTGACTCTGTAGTGACATGGACCCTTGGAGACTCAAGAATTGCCAGAGAAAGCAGTTGAGCGTGTTCAGAAAAGATAGGAGAATTATGGGGCAGCACCTTCAGGACTTTGGGGTCATTCGACGACGAAATAGAAAAATCGTTTGTGCTAGTACTCCATTGAGCAGCGATGGATAGAGGCAAGGTAATGCCGGTTTTCATGCAGCCGATGACGAGCACTTAAAACAGTGCGTTTTATAACCCAGATGATTGAATTCACGGGGACCTCTTTCATGTTAATCATCTTGGCCTATCATTCATCTGATCCACAGTTTAAAAGATGATAATCATGCGCTGCCAAGTCCTAGGGTGTCTCGGATTAGCAGACAGTGAATGGAGTTTCTGACTTGGCAGCAGATGGGAAACGCCTAACAAAGAAGATTGATACATCGAATTCAGCCTTGGAAGTAGGAAGTTATTCACATTCTCCGTAAATTCTACGACCAGGCCAAGTTATACTAGGTCAAAGAGGTCGGAGCTTGCTCGACAATATTTCAGAGTAAATTATGAACGTTCAATTGAAGATTATTGACAATAATACTGTGCACTCTGTATGGCCAACATTGGACAAAAGGGGCACACACCTTATTCAACATATAAGGCTTTTTTGGCCCCAAATTCTAATATTAGAGCCGCACCCACGTCATCTCTTAATTCCTCTTGTTGCAAGGGTAACCTGTTGAGTTCCAGGCTACAGAAACCTCAGCTGGCCACGACTGGCACCCATACCATCAGGAACATACACCTCATTAGCCTCTAGTCTGCCTTGGCTTGTAGACCAACGAGCACGTGAAACAATGGTGCACCTGGACTTATCGATAGAGCCCGAAAGCAATCTCATCTTAGAGGAGCATTGAAGCCACAACCATTCAATGAAGGGGCCATGGCTTGACGGGGATGCCGAGCTTGTACTGTCCAAAGGAGTTCACGGAGTACTCACGGAGGACTCTGTACTCTGTACGGTGTAGGCAACCGCCAAGAGCTGTCTCACCCACCTGAAACAGCCAGGAGCAGCTCAGCCACCAAGCGTTGACTATTATTGAGCCAGGACGCGGGAACAGGTGGATCGTAGGAATAAGCACCCAGGTTCCTGGATCCTTTGCCCTTTGCTTGTCACCTTAAATTTGACATCCACGGGCCACCAATTGAAAATTTAGTGTCGATCTGTGGGCATCCTTATGCGGCTGTGGAGCTAAGAAATGGAGTTTCAGTACGTTTGTCAACTGAAAATAGAAAAATCCGTGGTGCAACTCTGGTCAAATGAGGACATCGACGTTTTCAAATCGACATCACAGTGTGCCTGATATCCAGTGTCTTATTTATAAGAAGTTGGAGGAAATGATTAAGTTCGTACAATATCTCTTAGTTATTCAAAAGAGAAAATCTCGTGGATGGGGAGGAATGGGTAATTTGTGAAAACTCATGGATGCACGTCCTCGGGAAGTTGTGGACCATCGTACACGGTAAACTAGCCCGTAAAGGCATTCTTTGTTACAAATGGGAACTGGTACCTGTTTCAGATCGAAACCCGTCCGTCTCCCGATCTAGTCATTGGGAGCTGTTATAGGGCAACAGGGCGACGCTTCGGTGGGTCTTTCTCGGTGCCTATCTGCCAACACAGCCAACGATCGGCGAGAAAGCGCCTGGGGAAAAGGAAGAAAGGAATTTTAGAAGAAAAAAGGATATCTGGTCCGCCAATGATGTTGTGCATATGCCAAAACTGCCAGGGTTCAAGTTCGTGGATGCACGGAATTAGAGCGTATTAATATACGGTGTACACAGGAGTAGGACAGCTCCGGGGCCAGCTCATACTTAGTACATAGGAAGACCAGAGACAATTTCTGAATCGTCGAAAGATCCAACTCATCTACGTTCTATTATGGCTCCTCTAATACAATCGCGTCGTCTATATAATCAAACCCTTACACTCATTCATAAGAATCTCTTGATATTCTTCAAATCCCCTATCGCGACATTTGTCAAGACACTTCTTCTACCAATTATCATCACGATCATTTTTGTTTACTTGAAAGAAATTCAACCTGACATTAGTTCATCCAATGGAATCACACGCACCGGACAGCCTGTCCTGGACCTCGCAGATGCCATTGACTCTAGTTCCTCGAAACGACTGGTCTTTGTGATCAATGGAATGAGGGAGAAGCGACTCATCGACATTTTGGAAAATATTCGAGACTCACCTGATATGAAAGGGCGTGACTTCAGAATTCTAGATGATCCCAACGAGCTCTATGAAAACTGCAGACAGTCCATTCATGGAACCAGCGATTGTTTTGCCTCGGTCATGTTCACCACCTTCAACGCAACCCATGTCGAATACAACATCGGAATCGATGAGGATGTTATCAAGAACACACCTTACAGCTACAGACCTGGACAATCTGCCCTGTCGAGACGCGTTCTTCCGATCCAGTGGGCCTTGGATTCCCGGATTGGGGGGTTCTCCTCCACTAAGAAGCCAACCGAGAGAATGTTTAGTGGATATTTCGACGAATCTGGCTCCAGTACGACTGATGTATCAGGCGAAGTATACTGGCTTTCCATCGTCAGTTATTTCGCCGCCCCTTTATTTGTCTTCCTCCTTCTGGTTGCAACCTACCACATCAGCAGTTTCGTGGCAGGAGAGCGACAAAACTCTGTCGCGGAGCTTCTCATGGCGCAGGGCGTCGGCACGATTCCTCGCATTTTGTCAAATATACTCTCATTTTGCATTCTCTATGTTCCAGGGGTCATCATTTCCTCGCTGATGCTTGGCGAGCTGCTTTTCACACGCACCTCGACTGGGCTCATTTTTATCCTCATGCTTCTCGCGTGCTTTTCGTTCGTCGTTTCGGCTCATTGCATGGGCTCTCTCTTCGCGAAATCTTCGACAGCCGGTCTGTGTACTTGCATCCTCACATTCATTCTCGGAGTTGTGACAGTCGCGCAGAGTATGACTTCCTTCCGAAATCCAAGCGAAATTGCCGGCCTATCGTTCGTCTTTCCTTCCTACGCCTGGGCGACCCTCATCCGAGATATAGCGACAGCAGAGTTTACGGAGCGAGGCTTCCCAGATATGCAAGCACAGGAGGAGGATCAGGCCATAAATGGATATCTGTTCCTTCTTTTCTTTTCCTTGCAAATACTCATCTACGGAGCCGGCACGCTCCTCGTGGAACATTTCCGATGGGGTGTACCAAAACAACGCGAATGGACGGAGTCCTCGAATGACGTGGCCCTTCGATTAGGACGCCTTTCAAAGACATTCAAACGTGGCAAAAAGGCTGTGAATGATTTGAGTTTTGAGGTGCAGAAGGGTTCCGTTACCTTCCTGTTGGGTCCGAATGGAAGTGGGAAGACCACTGCGCTGAAGTGTATATCCGGCATGACCAAGGTGGATCAAGGCTCTAAAATTCAATTCAGTCGGGAAGGACACTCATTTGGCTTGTGCCCGCAGAATAATGTATGTTGTTACACCTCTGTATTGAGTCTATGTGCTAATGATTAAGGTTCTTTGGGACGTTCTCACCGTGAACGAACATGTTCGAATCTGGGCGAAACTTAAGACTGCCGGCGGCGATGCGTCTGTCATTAAAAATGCAGATGATGTGATTGCTGAATGCGATCTGACAGGAAAGGCTCATGCAGCATCTGAAACGCTCAGTGGTGGGCAGAAGCGTCGACTGCAGCTGGCTATTGCATTTGCCGGGGGATCGCAGGTGTGCTGTATAGATGAAGCATCCAGTGGACTGGTGTGTTCCCTATCTTTGATTCTCATAACCATCACTAAATCACTCAGGACCCATTATCTCGACGAAATATCTGGAATATTGTCCAGGAAGGGCGACGTCATCGCACCACTGTTCTCACTACCCACTTCCTAGACGAGGTATGCATCGTGTGCTTTATGCAGGTCCATCTGCTAACAATCAATAGGCGGACGTTCTGGCCGACCACATTGTGATAATGTGCAAGGGGAGCCTAGTCTGCCAGGGCTCTAGCACTTTCCTCAAGTCTCAATACGGGGATAGCTACAGAATCCGTATGGACGACGACGACGACGACGAAATCGCTTGCAAGGCTGCGACGTCCGCAGAAGCTACTCAGAAAGTTCTTGAACTCGAGCGGATACGAGATGGGCTTGCCTGCCATATCACTTTCCCTACTCTTGAGCAAGTCTTCTTGAAAACAACGTCAGAATACGGTACCGCTGTCAACGCCATCGGTGGTGATGGAATTGTCGGCGAGCAGGAGATACCCGATGACTCGACCACGGCTGTTGAAGATAAGATCCTCGCTATGGAGAGTGAATATGCTGGTCAGGACCTAAGCTTGGATGTCGGACGTTCAGTGGGAGTGTTTCGCCAGATATGGGTGCTCTTCCGAAAGCGCTGCCAGTTACTCATGCAGTGGTCTGGACTGACTGTGTACGCGGTCAATCTTGTCATTCCGATTTTAGTCGGAGTGGCCTTGACCAATGCCATGTATGATTGGAAGGCCCTCGATACGTGTGAGAATATGTATCAGAGGTATGAACATCCCCGTGGGGCTGAATTCCCTCCGTTGATGGAGGCGATGACACCGAATATTCCGATGACTACAGAGCGAGTTTATGCGGGTGTCCTAGGACCACAAAGGCTATTTTCTAGTGATACACAGGATATTCTCTATCTCGAAAGCTTGTGAGCCTACCTTTGTTCAACTATAGGCTTCTAGTGCTAATCAACATAGTGCGTCGATGTTCTCCGGGTCCAAGTCACAAACTTTGAAAGACAGGATGCTCGTCAACAGCCAAGATGATTTTGAGAAAGCTATGTTCAAAAGTTTTGGAGATATTCCTTTCGGCATATACGCTCCTACCCCAGATAACGCAATCTTTTACCACGATGCAAGCTATTATTATGCTGGTAGGTTTGGCAACCTGATGAAATTAACTTCGGCTAATTTTCACAGCAAACGGAATCAATGCCTTCAGCTTCCTGACAAATCGACTTGCCAACTCGACAGCGGACAATCAGGCGAGGTTGGTGTCGACGACACTGCGGACATTTCGCCATGTACAGCCGGTGCATGACTGGAGGAATATGCCGATCTCTATTTTAATAGTAGTTGCATTCATGGCAGCTGTTTCGACAACTGCCATTTATCCAAGTACTTTTTTCTTTTAATGAGGATCTCAGAACTATTTGCTAATATCTACAGTGTACGAGCGAATTTCCAAGGTACGCGCGCTGCAATATAGCAACGGTGTCTCCCCATTTGCGCTCTGGACAGCGTACCTCCTATTTGATTTCCAATTCATTCTTGTCGAAGGTATTTATTTCAGCACGTTTTCTATCCTCGGTGACTGACTCCGTCTAGCTCTGGTTGTCTACGGACTCCTTTTCGTCAACCCGATCAACGATGTCTGGTACCGACCAGATTGCATTTTCGGCGCTTTTATTCTCTTTGGAATAGCATCTTATCTTGGTGCATATCTCATTTCTAACATGGTACGTCGCGGAGGGTTCTTCGCGGCGTTGGGAATCCACATTGTGCTCTTCGTTCTCTACTTCATCTCCTACGTTGCGAATCAGTATAGCGGCTCGGTTGATTCTCAGCAGGACAGTATGTATTCCATTTTACTAAGCCCCCTGTTCCGAATGTGTAACTAATCAACTAATTTGTGCAGTCTACGACTACCTCCAAGCCGGGCTCGGTCTCATCGCCCCCGCTGCAAATCTCGCTCGCGCTCTCTTCGTCGGCATGAACACGTTTGACGTCCTGTGCGGAAAGTTCGGAGACCGGTATACGGCTTATCCCTTCGATTACGACCTTTATGGCGGTGTCTACGCAAATCTGACCTACCAATGTCTCTTCCTCATCGGTTGTCTAGCGCTCCATGAATACGGTAGCACAGACTGGTTCGGACCCTTGTTTTTCTGGCGCCGAAGGCTTCCCGTCAGAGTGCACCACAGGGTGGACGATACAGAGATGACTTCCTTCGAGAGCACGCGAAATATTGTCGGCGAGGAGAGATCGCAGGCCGTGCCAGAAAACGCGATCCTCGAAGTCGATCGCGTCAGCAAGCACTTCGGGAGCTCGTTCGCTACGCAGAATGTCTCACTTTCCATCTCGGCGAACGAGACTCTGGCACTATTGGGTGGGAACGGTGCCGGTAAGACGACCACTATTAATATGATTCGCGGGGAGCTGAAACCGGACTACGGAAACGTCTACGTGAATGGTATTTCGATGTCTCGGCAACCTGGACAAGCGAGGTTGAATATCGGAGTGTGTCCGCAGGACGATGCGGTTGATAATTTGACCGTACGGCAAACGCTGGAATTTTATGCCGCCGTGAAGGGGCTGCAAAGGGTCAAAGAGAATGTGGATGAGGTCATGAATGCGTTGGATATCACGCAGTACCAGAAGGTGGCGGCCAAGGCGTTGAGTGGTGGAACTAAGAGGAAGTTGACAGTTGCGATCGCTTTACTTGGTAGGTTTTTCAGGAGCTCTTATTGTGAATGTGCGCGATGCTAATATCTTTTCTATAGGGAACCCGTCTTTAATCCTCCTTGATGAGCCTTCTACCGCGCAAGATGCCGGCGCGAAGCGGATTCTATGGCGGGCACTTAAGAGGATCCGTACAAACAGAGCTATCCTTCTAACAACGCATAGTATGGAAGAGGCCGAAGCTCTGGCTTCAAGTGTTGCGATTATGCGAACCAGGTTGCTCGCTTCTGGGACGCTGAATTCGCTCAATGACTCCTATGGCGGTGCTTTTCGACTACGAGGTGTGCGCTGCGAGGATGTCGGTACCGAAATGGCCAAGCACGAAGTGACGAGGTCCTTTTCGAAAGCAGGTCTTCATGCTATGAAGTACTCTGATATGAAAGGATTGGTTGAATTTTTTATTAAGTACGAGAAGCGGAACTTGGGACAGATCATGTCCATCATGGAGGGCTTGAAGGGGAGTACCGCGACCATGGGTAGCCAAGCTTATGCTGGTAGCGCTGGATCTTCGGCTCCAGAAACGAAGACTATGAAAGTGTTTGAGGAGTATACCCTGATCGAACCAACTTTGGAGGAAGTCTTTATGAATGTTGTTCAAGAGGCCGAAGCTTCTGAAGGACTATGATTATTCCAATTTCTTCTCTGTCACCATTCTACACGCGACCTCTTGGCGCCTATCTTGTCATTAGGCATTGCAGTTCTAGCACGTGTTTAACCTAAAACACGCCGGTCCAACAATTTCCGGTCATATCATCTTGTTCATAAAATATTATTATTATTATTTAATCAGGTTTATTGTCCATATCGAGCCCTAGAGCTATAACAGACCGTATTTCATGAACCTGAGCCCCAACATCCGCCCCATGGTCTCTTGTTCCAATAAGTTCCTGGGGCTCGCCCCCTTCTATAATCATTCTAATCCTTTTCCTCGCCCCAAACCGCCTGTGTGCGCAGGGCTTTTGAGCCTCCCGGGAGTGCTCTCCTTGTCAAAGCAGGATAGGTATAGCCTAAACTGGCCTAGCCAGCTTAGGCTACCCTTCTTGTTATCCTTCTCCTGTCCTATCCGCTTCTTCTAACGCCTCTAGGCCCCTTTCGTCATCGACACGGGCTCTTTCTGCAGTCTTTTGCAGGTAACCTTGAGTAAGAGCTATTTTAGTGTTGGCTAGGAACTGCAGCAGAGCTCCCGTGGCCTTGGGCTCCCCAAAAAGTCTTCCCTCCGGGCAGCTTTCTGCAGCAGTAGGTCTCATCATTCTTGCCTTTTTCAGGTCCCTGTAGAGCTTGCCCCGCTGGTGTCGCCATTGTCGACATTCAAAGAAAAGGTAGTATAAATTTTCCTTTGATACTCCGCATCCCTAGCATTCCATGTCCTCCCGGGCCTTGATCCGGTGTAAATATACCCCAATAGCTGCATGTCCTGATTTCAGCTGAAAGTAGCGGCTTAACAGGTGTTTGGGGGCCACTGCGGTTAATGGATCAATTTGCCAGGTTTTGTATGGCCTGTAGGACTGTTGGGCCTGTTGGGATCGCTGATTGAGCTCCTTGGTAAGCCATTCTTGTCTTTATGCCTGAATAGCCTCTGTCCGGGCTCTGCGGGCAAAGGCCAAAGATATCTCTCTTGGACCAGCTCCTGGAGGTCTGCTAGCGGCCAGTTTTGCTGCCTGATCAGCTCTTTCATTTCCTTCTATCCCTGCATGCCCTGGGACCCATTGTATAGTGGGTTTGCGACCCTGGGTTTACAGTTCCTGAGCAGCTGTATGCGCCTGCACTGCTAGAGCCTGTCTTGGCCCTGATTGGGTATGCTGCAGCCTGGCAATGGCAGCCTGAGAGTCTAATAGGACTGTTATCGGTCTCTGGCCTCTTACCGTCTTTGCCATCTGTAGAGCTCGCACTACTCCTAGAATTTCGGCATCAAAGACCTCATGTCCTTTATCCAGTGGAAAGCTTCGGGTTTTCTATATCCCTACTGGGTTTTGCCATACAATTCCCGCTCCAGTTCTACCGTTTTCTAGCCTTGAACCGTCCGACCAGATAGCCTGTCCAAAGGGAATAGCCTGTGCAGCTTTCAGGGCCTCCTGACTAGGCAGGATCTTTATAACACCCGGGAAACAGTTGCTGGTTGGTTGTAACAGGCTTTCAAAGCCACTGGATGGATCTGTTAGCAGGATGTTAGCTAGTTGTCGGGCTAGGTATTATTCTAGTGACTATAGTCCTCGACTACTGCTTTCTGCCTACTGTCGATTCCCTGGGGTCTGTTCGCTAGGCTGGGCGTGTTAGTCTCTCTCTCGAAAGCTCACTGGAAAGATTTTTTTAGCAGGATGATCTTCTGGTAACCCAAGCAGTCGGTTTGTATATCCCAATTGCTGGGCTTCTAGTAAGACCTCAGCTGATATCAATCCCGTTTTACGGACTAAGGGGCTAACTGGAGTAGTTTTCAACATGCCCGTAATAGCTCGAGCTTGCCGATTGATCATCAGCTGTATACCTTTCTGCCGGTCCCTCTGACCTTGCCACCAGAGCTCAGTCCCGTAAAGAGTTATCGACTGTACTGCCGCAACCTGCACCTGGCGTGCCAGTCCTGGGGCGAGTCCATGACCCTGGCATAATCGTAGCACTCGGGCCTCCGCAGCTCGGGCCTTGCGCATGCAGATTTGATAATGCGCCTTAAGATTTAGACCGGAATTAAGCTATACCCCAAGCTATCTGGTAGCTTTTAAGTTAAAGGGAACTAACTGCTTTCCTAATTCCATGCGGGCTCGCTGAATCTGGTCCTTGAGTGTACGGTCACGCTTGCGGGTAAAGAGAACTGTTTCTGTCTTTCCTGTATCAAATTGGACTATATTCTTATATCTTTACTCAATAGCCACCCGGGCTGTATCTTGCAGTTTGTCGCAGATTTCTCTAACAGAGTGTCCTGAGGCTGTCAGACCTAGGTCATCTGCATATGAGATACACTGGATCTCTGGTACTCTTCTTTCTATTACCTCAAAAATGCCGCTGAGGTATATGATAAAGGGAGATACCGGTAAGCCTTATGGCACCCCTGACTTAATAGGCTGTAGTAGACACTGTATATTGTCAATCTGTAGCTGAACCTACCGGTCAGTTAAGAACGACTGTACCCATCGGATCAGGTCCCCATCTAAGCCTAATTCAGCTAACCATTTTATCAGCTTGCCCGAATTGACATGATCAAATGCTCCTTTGACATCAAGGAATAGAGCTCCTACAAGCTGCTGTAGTTTCCAAGCTTCATAAGTAGTCTGTATCAGACATATTACCGCATCTATAGCATTTCGTTGTTTGCGGCTGCCCATCTGTCCTGGATGCAGGGCTCCTATTGTCTCACAATAACTGGCAATTGCATCTGCTACTATCTTTTTAATGACCTTTCCCAGACAATTGAGTAGTCTGATTACCCGGTAAGCCTTTACCGCTGAGTAATCTGGCTTGTTAGGTTTTCTGAGCAAAATGCCTTTCGCTATCTTCCATGTCGGCGGGTGTAATCCCAGTCAAAAACATTGTTAAGCGAAAGTAACTATTCTGGAACTATCCCAGTCCTATAGGAGCCGGAGAGCCCGAAAGTTAAGTCTGTCAATTCCTGGTGCCTTCTGGACAGACTGATAGAATAGAGTATGTCTAACCATCTTCTCATCCACTTAATCGTGCCAGGACCCTTGAGAGACCTCAGGGACTTCACTAACTTCTGTTGCCCGGGGGAAGGCTATTTCCCGAACCAGAGTCTCTTTCTTATCAATTGAGCTAGCAACTTGTCCCTGCGGTCCGCGCAGAGTTAGGATTATTGTAGTAATTCTTGGTTTCGTATAGTGCAGAGCTTGCCAGTACCTAGCAATGTTCCCTGGGCCTGGCTGGTCTGCTGCCCCTTCCGGGAAGGCTTCCCAGCAGGTCCGTTTCGCTTGCCGGATAGTACGGTAGTAATGATTCCGAACTTCTTTTAGCTCTGTTATAGAGATTTCCTGTCTCTGCCATACCCGTTTTGCCTGGCTGTAGGTCCTGCGGGCTTCTTTAATCTCTGAACCTTACCAGCGTTTAGATCTTGGGGTTACCCGTAACTGGTTTGCATGTCGGTTCAGTACTGCTGTTAGGGTCTCCTGGATCCAGATAGCCTCTCCGGATAGGTCTTCTGATGAGCAAGTATTTTTCAGAAGGGGCCTGGTTTTTGCTTCTATCTGCCAATCCTGTTTCGCTTTCTCCAGAGCTTGTGTGTTAGCCTGAAGTGCCTGAATTTGCTACCCTATTATCTCCTGCAAGGGTGCTGTCGAAGCTTCCCCTAGGGATGCCCATTCTATAACCGGTAGTTTATGATCCGAGCCGGTTAGGTGTTCCTGGTCAATTGTTTATATCTCTAGAGATCCCATACTAGCTGTAATCAGAGCCAAGTCTATAATTGAGATCCCTGGGGTTCTTTTCGGCCTAGTAGGGACCCCCATCTCATTATTGATATAGAGACTTGCTACACCTATTAATTCCTCCAGTGGTCTCGCATTCACTCGGGCTCTTATAAGAGGGTTCCATAGAGGGCTATAGGCGTTAAAGTTTCCGAGAAGCAGATATCTTCCCTGAATGATCTGATCTTAACTAACATTTTCTAGAGCTCTTCTCTGTCTTTCACTATACCCCTGCCAGTAATGGCCAGGTCCCAGCCAGTTGTCGTAGCAGTTGACTATCCGGGTTCTTCGGGTTTTCTTTCGGGCTCGATTCAGTTCCCATACATCTAGCACTATAAAGTATGGGTAATTGAGGAGGTCTGTTCGCGCCTCCACAATTACTTTACTCATTAGATCACGCCGGATTACTATTGTCACCCGCCGGTCCTTGAGGGACCCTGCCTCTGGCCAGTATACCTGATATCCTGCATGTTAGAACTCCATAGCAATATACGGTTCCTGTAGGCACGCTAGTCCCACCCCTAGCTCCAGCCCTGCCTCTAAAGCCGCAATGGTGACTGCGTAAGTCTTGCGGCAGTTATGTTAGAGTAATTGCATTAATGGGGCACTGACTCTTCTGGGGTATCACTACCCACTATCTCAGTGTCCCCCTGACTGGTATTCGGCAGCCCAGACCCCGTATTCTGCTTGGTCTGGGGGCTGTCGGGAGCGGAGCTGTTCTGTAAATGTGATCTATACCGGTCTCGGTTAACTACAGTAAACTATGGCGAGTTTAGAATGGCCGGTTCCTGGTTGATTATCTGCCGGGAATCCTCAGTTACCTGAGAATTGTTTTTAGGCTCTGTAGCTCTTTTTCTCAGTTCCTTCCTCGCTGCCCGTTTAGCTGGACAATTCCCCGCTGTTGCTGGATGTGGACTACCGCATGTGCCACACTTGGCTGGAGTGTATTGGTAGGAGGCTCCTGGTTTAGCCGGGCAATCTACTACCCAGCAGACATGTTCGCTGCCTTCGTGAGGGCCTGCGCATATAAAGCAGCATGGTGGGCGGTCCCTGCAGGCCTTGAAACTGCGGTAGCCCAGCTGGCAGCATTGGGGGCAGACTGTATCTGCTCCTATTTCCCAGTATTGCTCTGTCCTGTACCGGGATCCTCCGAAGCGAATGCCATTGATTAGAAGTCTCCGAGTCTCTTCTAGTGAGCCAACTGTGATAACGATAGTTG